ATGAGGATGCCGCAACGCTTTCCTCCCAAGAGCAACCCTCTCCCATCTGGAAACGTTTGGGCGCCCGTCTTAGTGGTGCCTTTAGCGGTGCAGACCCTCGAGTCTGTGTCGCTTTCTGGCTCTTTGGTGCGCACCCTCAACCAGCCTACCTGGGCAGCTGATCAGCTTAGCTAACCCCCATACCCGGCAGGCCTTATCAACAATGTCCTATATGTGATCATCCTCTCGGCAGCCGTAGATCTAGTCGGACCCGATGTACCCAAAGGCGTTGTTCTCCTCGCGGATGTGATCCCGTCATTCGCGACCAAACTCGTCGCCCCGTACTTCATCCACCTGGTCCCATATTGGATGCGTATCCTCATCTTCACCTTCCTGTCATCCGTGGGAATGCTGGTCGTCGCTATGAGCCCAGGTTATACCGACGGGGGAACAATAACCTCTAAGATCGCGGGAATCATCCTGGCTAGCCTTTCTTGCGGTGCTGGGGAGCTGAGCTTTGTGGGTCTCACGCACTTCTATGGCCCATTCAGTCTGGCTGCGTGGGGAAGTGGTACTGGCGCCGCTGGGCTGATCGGAGCTGGTGCTTATGCCCTCGCAACTTCGGCGCTGGGCTTCTCCGTTCATGTCACGTTGTTGGTTTCGGCCTGCTTACCGGCCATTATGGTTCTGAGCTTCTTTGTCGTGCTACCCAGGTCCCCCCTGAGATCTGCCGAACCCGGCCCTGATAGATATCGCGTGGTTGAGGGCGGGGAACAGGTGGAAGAAGACGAACTGGATGATGGTGCTGGTGGAGAAAATGAGGGGCTCTTGGGGGTGTCGCATAATTCCCCCGCTCACAAGTCTATCCATGTCGACCAAGGTGGCTCCTGGCAGGACCAGACTCGCTTGAATCTACACCGAGTCAAGGGACTTTTCATTCCTTTGTAAGTATCCGAGTCTTTCTGTTCTCCCAAATCTAGGCTGACAGATATCTAGCATGGTCCCGATGCTACTGGTCTACATCGCCGAGTACGTGATAAACCAAGGCGTGGCTCCAACTCTGCTTTTCCCACTGCGTGAATCGCCCTTTGAGCATTTCCGCTCGTTCTACCCCACCTATAATGCCATCTACCAGATCGGCGTCTTCATCTCACGCTCCTCGACCCCATTCTACCGCATCCACAATCTGTACCTGCCGTCGCTGCTGCAGGTGGTCAATCTTGCGTTGCTGACCCTCCATGCTATGTTCAACTTTATTCCCAGCGTATGGCTTGTGTTCATCATTGTATTCTGGGAGGGCCTCCTCGGCGGAGTGGTATACGTCAATACCTTTGCTGAGATTGCCGATCGTGTTCCCAAGGAGGATCGTGAATTCTCACTGGGGGCTACCACTGTCAGTGACTCTGGCGGTATTTGTATTGCGGGTTTCCTCAGTATGGGGTGGGAGGTCTGGTTGTGCAGTTGGCAGGTTGGACATGGGCGTGATTATTGCCGACAAAAGACATAGATCTACAAATACCTCGTCATGCGAACATAAAGATATAAATACACAAAACATCAAACATCAAACATCAAACATAAAAATATGAGAGATCTACCCCGGGGAGGGTCAGCTGATGTCGTCACTGGCATGTGAATGTGGGACCTGGTTGACATGTGATTCACACGGGTTGTTCTCCAATGACAAGGTTGCATTACTTTGAAGTACGATGCTGATTGATGGCATTAATTTGTGGTGGCTTGTCTCAAAATGTCGTTTTGTCTCGCTTTGGTTCTTTTTGACTATCCTTTATACTCTTCATGCATTCTTATCTGGGCTTCACATAGACTACACACAGGCTGAACTAGTTAGACTGACTAGTCTCAGCCTTCACGAAATGATAGGTATGCAAAGAGTATTCCACTTGTAATTCACCAGGCTAATCGATGCTTAGACCACGTCTTAGGGAGACCTTCAACACGCTTCCGCAAGATCCAAGTATTTGCAGTTGTTTCTTTCTGGTCTGTTTACTTATTAAGGTACGGCATATCCAGTCCACATCAGTCGAAGAAATTCCAACCACTGAACATCCACCAGAGCAGATAAACATGGCCCGCCGTTTATTCGATCACTCTCATCCCGCTTCACAGGAAAGTTGACAACATGGCAGACAACTGTTATCATATTCCTCTGGCTCTACCTCAGCCGGAACTTCGCCAAGATAGTTGGGCTCGAATGCCCTGAGCCATTGGCAAACATGTACTCGCGGTCCTTTTTCCGAGCAACATGGATTACCACTGGCTTGGATGCTGGATTCTGGACCGCGATGAACATAAAGCCAAAATGGCTACGAGATATAGCGTCGCTAGTCTTCACGGCTTACTACCTGATCGCTGCTGAACAGGCCGACGAGAAGGTTCGCCGGGTCCGTGCTACACTGACACTGGAGCACCTGCGTGTGTCTTGGAACAAAGCCACCAGCCCTTACCTGTGGTCAATGGCGAAACTGCTACGGCCACGAATGACTCGGTTCCCGGCCCGAGCGATTCGTATTCCTCGCCCAGCGCAATCTGTTTACACCGATCCAGTAAATGCGTGGTTGTATTTCGATGGCCCATTAAGTGCGCTCCGAGATCAGAGTCTCATCGTGCTGGATGTGCCCGGTGGTGGGTTCGTGGCTATGAGTCCTAGAAATTCAGAGGACAAGCTATTGTCCTGGGCCGGGCGACTCAAGGTTCCCATTCTCAGCATTGATTATAAGAAGGCACCGGAATTTGCATACCCCTATGCGTTACATGAATGCTACGATGTATATCATAGCATCGTTGCTACGAACGGTCGTTGCATGGGTCTGAGTGGCAAGACCCGTCCTCGGATTCTTGTCACTGGCGAGAGTGCCGGTGGCAACCTAGCAGTAGGCATGACCTTAATGGTGTTGCAGTCTGCGATGGCTCAGGGTTGGCGTGGAGAGCATGTGCTCCCGGCACCAGATGGTGTGGTTTTGGGATACCCTGCATTGAATATGAGAGTTGAGAGCTGGATGAGCGATGAGCAGATGTCATTGATTCAGGAGAAGAGCACCCGTCAGACAAACCGCGGTGTTCTGCAACGGAAACAGGATCAATATCGTAAACTAACACCATTCACATCGCCAGGTGGCTCTGTCGACGATTTAACCGCTATCTCACCACCCGAGAAGGCAAAGGATAACAAAGGAGCCAATGTGGCCACTCAGGCTGCCAAATCACTGGAGAAGAAACTCGAAAAGAACGATGACATAGCTTCAAAGCCTGCGGTTAAAGCAGAAGACGAAGTCAAGCCAATCAAGACCAGACTAGCCGTCTCATCCATGATCACCTACGTCCACGACCGCATCCTCACACCTGAAATGACACGTGCGATGATAATTCTATACATCGGGCCTCACCATCGCCCAGACTTCAACACCGATTTCCTCCTGTCTCCCGTCCTGGCCCCAGATGCATTACTTGCCCGCTTCCCGAAAACATACATCATGACCGGAGAGCGAGATCCTCTGGTTGATGACACAGTTATCTTTGCAGGAAGACTGCGGCAAGCAAAGCTGCATCACTTCCGCGAGCGCCAGGACCTGGGGCTGGAGAGGGCGAACCGTTCTTTCAACGAGAGAAACTACGTCGAGATCTCCCTGATCCCTGGCATTTCGCACGGGTTCATGCAGATGGCTGGCTTCTTCCCCGACGCGTGGAAGTATATCCATCGCAGCGCGGACTGGCTGGAGAGTCTGTCCCTGAAGATTAAGACCGACAACTTTGATGCGGATTCACTTTACCCTGAACAGGATGTGAATGCCTTGAATATAAACACTTCACTCAAATGGTCTGGCCCAGCAAAAGTCGAAGCAAACGATTCTGATAAGGGACGTAACCACCATCGCAAGTTCACTGGTGAGTCCTCCGGTGACGACGACAGACCATTGGAAATGAGCATGAGCAAGATCACATCCGTTTCTGGTAGCGAGGATGCACTTGCATCAAAGTCTGAACATCGCACGCGTCGGAGGAGATCACGATCCTCTTTTGCTTCCTCGCGAGTTACCGGGTTTACATCGTTGGGAGATGACCGCAATGCTAAGGAGGATTTCCTCGCTAAGCTCCGATGTTTGGAAAGAGCGGGTCGCTCTGACCCCTTCGATCCAGATGAGACAAATAGTGCTCCTGAAAGTCCGGGTGCAGTTCGTCCAAGAGGACGAAGTATCGCTTCTCTTGACAGTGAAGAGGATTTGCTGGACCGTCGGATGAACGGACTTGCTGGTGGGTTGATGGGGATCGGGGAGGGGGCACAGACTCCCGGGCTGTGAGAGGACATTGGGGTTACGATTTACGACTGGAAGTTTGGGAAATATCTTGGGTTAGAGTGAGATCAAGAATTTGTGTTCTAGAAATATATGCCCTTTTACCTGAACTGGAAGACGTATATCTAGGTAGAAATGTAGTTTGCGTATAATATAGGTGAGGACGATCGTTTGGAGAGTGTGAGACTCTAAGATCATAGTGAATTAATAGTATTTTTCGGTTTATCATTTATTGTGTGCTCACAGCAGGTAAAGAAGACAACTAGGAAAGACCAAGGGATGCTATTTGGTCGGTAAAGTCGCAGATATCACTCATATAAACAAGGAGATCTTGCGTTGATGAGTCTGCATACTGAACCCATCTGTGCTGCTCTGAAACTGTTTCTCTTGTGATACCGTTCCACCATACCCAGTGGCCATCAGTAAGAGACAATTGTAACTTCCACTTCCATCATTCATTGATGATCTTGTCTTGTCTTGTCTTGTCGTTCCCTACGTATGCCTCCCTAATCAGGCAATTCAAATCATATTCCTGGAAGGCGTGATGGTCTCCACCTGCGACTATAAACCCAACCTCCCCCCTGTCCCTTCCCCTGTCCCCTCCTCCGTCCCCCGTCTCCCTAGCTAACCAAACTCCATCGTTCATCATCAGTGTATGACGGACTTCTCGCACCGAGGTCACGGTCCGTAGTTGAGTCGCAGCTATGATCATGCTGGACTAGGCAAATCCATCACCATCCACTCGTCAGGTGGCCTGTCGATCCCATTGAAATTTGCCCCGAAGTATTGATCTTGCTGGCCGGGCGATGTAAACATCCCGAGGGAACCAGTCATGACAAAAGGGTCGGCTGCCGCATGGTCAGATCAGTTGATAGATGAAGTTCGGTACCTCAGACTCACGATCAAATAAATTCATGTTGTCGGGGAACAGCAGTCCTTCGTCCAGATTTTGACCTGTGCCTTTGGCGCCATTTCCCTGAGATGCGTTTGTTTGAACATTGTCTTGCACATCGTGAGACATCTCTTGGTTAGTCGTGAGGCTAGGGTTGCGACCATCGCCGGCCTTGGCGAGAACGAAACTAACAATTTCAGCCGCTTTCGTTGCCTCTTTGGAAGTGGGACTTCTTCGCATCCAAATGGACCTGGAAAGCTGAAGGGCCGCCCGTATATCTTGTTCTCGCTGTAGTGTCTTCCCACGATGGAGCATGGAACTGAGTACCATAGTAGCCGTGAGGAACTGATGGTTCATGATGGACGTCACTCGAAATCTCATGGTATAAAGCTGCCCACCTGGACATGTTTCCTCATCAAGCACATGTTGGATATTCAGCATACCTAGCGAAGCATCCAAGCAGGCTTTCTGCGAGTAGCTCATTGAATCATAATGTGTATTGGCCGAAGTTGTATATAGAAATCGGCGATGAAGCAAAATCAGCCCCTTGTAGACCATATGACCTAAGAATAAACGCGACATGATAATCTGCGGAGTATCCGTCACACTCGTAGCCATGGACTTCATCTGCAAGGGGGGCGGAATACTGGCTGCTGCTTCTTGGAATATGCCGTCGACGCGCATCACTTCTGTATAACTACATGGTTCAACCGCATCTGCGAGATCGACCACTGTTCCCAGCGCTGCCAGGATGCGTCTTCGTGCGATCAGACCTAAGGAATTGGTATTTTCAGTCAAGGGACGCGACGGAGGAAGTTCGGTCGACTGTTCGTCAAAATCCGTGTCGTTCAAATTCCGCGGTTCCACTGTGTCACATTTTAAATCGGAGATCATGCGTGGCATGCCCATTTGGTTTGACACAAGTATATCGCCCATCAAGACTGTCGCCCACAGTCGGCGACGCATCTCTCCCTGGAAGGGGGAAATGCCCGGGAAATGACTGGGATCGCGATGGTAGCCCATCCGCATGGCAAGGTTTACTTCCAACGCCAGCAGATACCAGGTATCTTGATCCGCGTCGGCACGGAGACAAAACTCAACATAGACGTAGTTAATGACCGTTTGCAAGACGTACGGTCCCGCTCTAGTATACTCGCCCAGCACTAGGCACTGGACGATCTTCTCTCGATAAAGCTCAATCTGAAGTGACAGATGTTCGACTTCGGTATCTATTGCATCCGCAGTCAAGCAAGCAAGACAGATCATGCTGAAAAGAAGACCAACCCACATGATTGGCACGCTGGATGGATCCGTCCAAAATGCCTCATACTAATTCCGTCAGCAAAAATGTTCCAGTGTTCAGCGTGGAGAACAAAGACCTCTCTTAAAAAGCTTAGGCCATGAACGACTGCTACAAGGGTAGTCAATACTGGATTTGCGGATTCATCTAGGACACAAAAGGGAGTACGAACAAGAGGAAACGAGATCTAGATAGTTAAAATAGCGAGATATGTAGCGATCAACAGCAGCCTTCGGGGGCAAAGCAGCCAAAATATCGCCGCGAGATGCCGTCCTGCGGCACCCATATAGGAGTAGCGCATACCCGGACCTGGGTCGAGAAAGGTCATGCCCTGGCTCATCTGCGAGCCGATCTGGGGTATTGGCTAGTCGGAGTTGCTCGTCACGATCAAAGTGGTCCTTTAAATCCGCGATCCCATCGAGAATAGCCGCCCAATGATCACCACCAACATACCGAAGCTCGGACTCACTGATCCGCATGCTGCCACATTCCGAGTGCCCGTCGATGGGTTGTTCCATGACAGCACCCACAGCCGGGGTCCCTTGAGGCATCGATCGTACAGGGTCTGGAACTGAGGCAGATTGGCCCTTATTTGCTGAATCACCCATCAGCGAGAGTACCAGTCGCTCTAGCTGTACCAATCGGTCGTGGACTCCTGGTGCCGCAGCTGCAGGCTGGGGCTTTGAAATTCCTGTGATGCCTGAATTATCGTTATATGTGCAGATCTGTCCTCGTCTGGAACAGAACGAGCATGGACTTTTACGATCACATCGCGATCTGGACAAAAAAGGGGGGAAATAGACCCTCGAATGAGTTCTGGCCACAAAACGAGTTCGTGGAATGGTGTTCTTACTTGCGGCGGCGGCACGAGTTACAAGATAATTGTGGCTTATCCCGTTGCCGACTTGCTGCTGTTCGAGATTGTGATATACAATCGGCCTCGGGAACCAATGGTTCTGGTTCCATCGAGGGTGTTGGATGAGTGTTTGACATCAAAGGGCTCCTTACTGAAATTATGTATGATATTGTCGAATGGTCTCATCAATGTCAATATACTCCACTTTCGTATGAGTAGTTCCAGTCACGCAAATTCAATGGCCCAATTTGAGTCAAAGACGAAGTTTTGTGAATGGCAAGCGAGTATGTTGTGTTGTACGTAGAAATTCCAGGAGAAGTCAGCTGATCTCCGACCCTCCGACCCTCCGATCGTCCGGTCCGGTCCCGGAGTGGGTCATAGATCTATACAGCCTTGGATATCCTCTTCTGGCTTTCCCTGATTTGAATCGGTTGCTAGTATCGGAGCACTATTATGATCCTTCCTTTGATCATGGTCACCAACACCTATCGCCATGATCCACTCCGCCCTAATTAAATGGCAGTGTAATGTTGGAGAAACTGACAGCTAACATTCCATAGTGATATTATTTTGAATTTGGTATTGTTTTGCATTAATATTCTTACACGCCTTACCGTGAGAATGTCTTCGGCCGCAAGCTCCATCAACATTGCCCCAAGCCAACTAGATGCTGGCGTCGGAAAGAAGGACGACTTTATGGACCTGAAGATCGTGAGAATCCCTGAAACTGGTCATCACACAAAGGATAGGCGCATGTTATCATCCCGATATTGACCTTGATTGCGTATCTCTCTATTTTTATTCTGAGCTTGCTTGCTCGTTATGCTTTTGTACCCTTGCCCCGTATCCTCTGTCCTATTGAGATACTGTGCCTTTGATTTCTTGGAAACTCGCTTCCAAGATTTTTATTTATATAAAGTTTGGTATTACTTTTTAGTTTGGAGTGATGGTAATAGTGTTAGATGGTGTCACGATGAGCTGAGAGATTCAATTTACGCAAGCAATTTTCTAAAAAGGTGTAAACACCTACAGCGTGATCTAACTTACTCCCAGTGCTTGCCAAAGAATTCCAGCACAGTCTTATAGCCTCGACTATACTCCTCCTGTACACGGGGATTAGAAAGATCAGCACGAGCAGCCATCCAACCATGGACTTGATCCTCAAAAGTCTCCACATGGTTAGGCACTCTCAGGTTGTTTTGAAATTCCTTGACATCTTCAGCGGATTCTTCCCCGGATGCCAGTAGAATATACGGCACTGGAATTTTCTCCGCGCCGGAGGGATCAACCATCGCTGGGTGGCAGGCGGCAGCCACCTTGAACGGGTTGTCCTCGCTAGCAGTCACGAGCTCAGCAACTTTACCTCCCCAGCAGTACTATATATCCAGTTAGTCTTAATAAACTCACACAGTACAACTTATTATCCCAGTAGCCAACTCACCCCGATAAGTCCCCATGAGTTGATAGAAGGATTCGCAGCCTTGAGGGCGGCAATATAACCAGGCAGTGCAGCCGCAGGACCTTGCGGCATGTTTCTACCAAACCACTCACCCAAGTGCTTCTGTTTCTGTTCAGTATTGGGAGGGTACCTGTTTTCGGCTTAGTGACCAGTCGCTCCGTTGAGTAGTGCAGCAAGTCTTACCACTCAGCAGGGCATGGGCTGCCATTGAACCAGTCAGGCATGAACACCTTGTACTTTTGGTGATGATCACTCGTTGCCAGGATATCAGCACCCTGCAGAGTTTGATCAAAGTAGCCGAAGATGTCAAAAACAGCGACAATTCCTCTGGTAGCTTCCTCTGGGCCGGTCACATCTGCGTTGGGTCTTTATTAGCTAGGTGTTTAACAAAGAGGTTGAAGGAGCGGTTAGTATATACAAGTTTTCATTCCACCAAGTTCCTCATACAAGCCCTTAGGGACATAGTCCAATGAAACAACAGGAGGGATGTTGCAGCAGGCCTGGCTGTGGCCATGAGTTGCTGGCATTGTAGACATGGGTGCAATTTGGACTCGACTTGAGGGTAAAGCGATATTGCCGGATGGACTGCTTGAAAGAGCGGAGGAACATGCTGGGGTAGATGGCTTTATAAATGCCTGTGGTGCCAATGCCAACCTGCATGAGCTGGTTCTCGACACATTCACAGGAGCGACCGGGGCACGGCGGGGGAGACGGAACGGGGAAACCATTGAATCAGAACGCTAGGATATGAGATAGATAATGTCAAATCCTGAGTTTGAATGCAATAATCCGCCGTCTTATACCTTTTTCCCTAGGTAGCGGAAGTGTCGGAGGAATCGGAGCATCGGAGACCCCTTGTTTGACTACCACAGGCTCTCTTTTAAGCAAAATGGTGAGTTTGGCTTACTACTGACGACCCTCCTACTTATTTCTCTCTTCCTCTCTTCAATTGAACTTAGGTGGATACCATCTACGGACCTACATTTAATGCAACCATCAACGGCGAAGTTACTGCTCTGACTTTTGTCAACAACCGAATCTCTAGTGATATTGATATCCCTCTCATCTGTGCCAATTAGATACTTCGGACCAAACAGGAGCGGTTCCATGGCCACCTCTCAACGAAATCATAACAGGGATCTTACATAGGGATAAAGGTGGACAGAAATAGAGAAGAATATATAACGTACTGGCTATCAAGGAGAGGAAACGAAGGAAGAACCTAGCACTAATACTGAGGGGTCACCTGACCATATTCACCAGCGCAACAGCACACCATCTTGATGTCTACATAGTTCTCTTTAGGTTGAAAAAAACTCATGAAAAGACCGGGCACGATTACCCCGTGAAAACAAGCAAGGACCATGTCGTTGTGAGATCCATTAACTGGTCATTTCCTATATACGCTCGAACAAAGTATGGTATGGATGACATACGAGTATTCAATGGTATTCGACAACCATCAATTCCCGTTGTGGACCCCGCCTTTGGAACATTAATTGAAACCCTCATCTTCCCCGTCTGCTTTCTTTCCCTCTTCCCCTTTCTCTCACACTCTCTCTTTCCACAATTGAACCGCTTGCATGAGAAGAAACATAACACGAAAGAGAAGGAGGACAACAAAGTATCATGGCAGAGAGCGATTCTCCGATCTCAGACCCCTTGGACCTCCCAGAATCCCCCTCTCAAATGATTGGCAGGCGTAGAAACTGCCTCGTGAACATCATTAAGCAGAACGACCTCCCTCAACTCCGTCAATTTATCACCTTATGCTCTCCCAACGATATCATCGCCCCTGGGACACCCTACTTGGAGGACACCTTGTTCAATGCGGCCTCGTACGGCAGCCCCGAGGCTCTTCATATCATCTTGGAGGTGTACGCTGCGGCCCCAGAGGTTATTAAGAGGTTCAATCCCAAGTTCCGTCTGCTACTCGACGCATGCGGCGCGGCAAATATTGACGTGGTACGCTTTATTTTGGACATCCATGATAGTCCAGATAATCGGTTACTGTTCGGGTCGGTAGACTTGCACCAGAGAGATGACTCCGGAGATACACCGATCCTTGCGGCTACGGGGTCGCTGATGTATCTTGATATAGTCGCCGATGAAGTAGAGATTCGGAATCGGATTATGCGGGGTCATCAGTTGATTAATCTCCTTCTCGACCGGGGCTGTTTAGCGACAGATGTTATTCCGCCTTTGCCAAATGATCTCTCCCCCTGCGGAAGTCAGGTACAAGACAGTGTGCTTGGGCTTGCTGTGTCAAGGGCCAATGGTCGATTAATTCAACGGCTCATTGATTCCGGTGCCGATATCTACCTTAAGCATCAACACTTCCATCATGCTAGGGTGCCGTTGCAGTCTAGATTCGCTAAGGGTCGGGGTCACGCGTATGATGTCACGGCGCTTCATCTAGCAAGCTTATTCTACAACGCTGATGCTGTTAAATTGCTTTTGGACCATCAAAATTATAACAACAATGCCAACCCTGAGCTGATTTCCTCCTGTGACAGTGATGGGCGACTCCCACTGCATTGGGCAGCTAGTGGCCCTGGGGGATTTCATTGTAGATTCCTGAATGAGCAGCCCAGAATCACAGGGACTCTTCGACTACTCCTCGACCATGATTGTACTGATATCAACCTTGTTGACAGCACTGGGTCCACGCCGCTACACTATGCTGCTATGTGCGCTTATAGCCAACACACTGAGGTTGTTATCCGCACTTTACTCGAATACAGGGCTGACCCTCGTATCCCCGATGGCTCCGGATGTACCATCCTACATATTTTAGGGTACCACTCCCATCAAGGTGACCCGGTTAAAACTATGCTGCTGGGTTTAATCCTATCACACGGTGCCGATATAAATCATGCCGAGAATAACGGGAAAACGGCATTGCACGTCTTTGCTCAGAATTTGCGGCAGGTCTCAGCGGCAAAGTTCTTAATTGAGAATGGGGCGAATTTCCGGGCTCGGAATAGTCTCCGGGAGACGCCCTTTCATACGGCAGCGCGGGGGTTTTTGAATGATCATATACGCCGTGATGGGAAAGATGACGAAGTGACAACTACGAACAAGATCAGACTTCAGGATGAGATAATGCGTGCTCTGAAGGAGGCTGCCGGGGAGGATAGTATTATGTTGATGAGCCAACCAAATGCAGAGAGCAAAACCCCGCAGGACTTACTGGAGGAGACCAGAAATCGGTGGCAGAGAATGGAGCAGCCCATACTAGGCCCTGGAAGAGGTAGAGGTAGAGGGCAACCAGTAAGGGTATAATTCCAGTTAAGGAAGAATATTTTATAAGCGTATAGCTTAGCATTTACAGAAGCATTAGACCTAGAATAGATGCTAGATATGATGGAACTGAGAGGAGATTTTATTAAATTTGACTGCTTGATAATCGTAAATATTGCTAATGTGCAGTCTACCACATTGGGAGGTTTCTCATAATAATATGTTTCCTTCAACCTCTGCTTGGCAAGAATATTTACATTAACCACTTCATTCTGCGCCCCACTGCAGCATCAAGAGTAAGTGTAGCCTCAAGTCGCGCCCAAACCACAGCTAACGTCGCCACAACTAGCAATACGCCGACCATAATGCTGGTATTTTCATAGCTTCGCGGACCAACGCTCTTCTCGTGATTTCCGCGGATCAGTGCACCCGCAACTGGGGTTCCAACTAATGTTGCAAAACCTCGCACCATATACAAAAAGCCATTGACACTGACAAAGTTTTGTACACCGAACAACTCGACCAGGCTTGTCGGGAAGAGAGCGACGTATGCTGATGCAAAGATGCCATAGAAGATTGTGAAAGTGATGAACAGTGTGCTCCCGGTAGATTGCGTGGAGGATAGACACGAAGGAAGCCACAACGCAAGGACCGAGACAGCTGAAATGAGGGTCGTTAATACGAGGGTGTTGAGTCTTCCCATACGGTCAGCTGCATGACCAATGACGACCTTGCCTATAGCATTTGCAGCATTCGAGATGGCAATGAAGTTTGCCGATGTTGCCTGTGAATAACCTAGTGTACGCGCAAAAGACGCGAAGAAAAACACCGGTGTATAGTACGCAGCGGACTGTAGCGCTGCACCCAGAGCATGAGCGACGAATTTGCGGCTTCGGACGACGCGCCAGTCAACCAAGGGAAGGCGGAAGAAGGTCGAAGAACGGGAAGAAGCGGCGTTCTCGGCTTGAATACGAGTGATTTGGCTAGCAGGCCAGCGTATAAATGCCCCCGAACCGCAAATGAGTACGAAAGAGATTCCAGCTGTCACGCGGAGTGTGTTCCGGAATCCGACAGACTGAATGAGGTATCTAAAAGCCAGCGGCCACGCAACACCGCCAATTCCGGTTCCTGCAAGAATTATCCCCATTGCTAGTCCGCGGTGCAGTGTGAACCAGGTGGGTGCCACGGTTACAGATGGCATGTAAGTCAGACACGTGGCCATGCCGAGAAGAACGCCTTGAGTGAGAATGAATTGCCACAAATGTTGACTGAAACTTGCAAAAAGTAGAGCGCTTGAGTGGATTATTCCGCTAGCCCAGATGACATATCGAGGGGGGTATTGCTTTGTCCACGCTGTTGCGAATGGAGCGCCGATTGTCATCAGTGCGATTGAGAGAGTACCGATCAGGTCAATTTGCGCGGGTGTTGCGCCGGTGAATGGCGTGTTTGGCTCCTTTGACATGGAATCGTACAGTTCTTGGAAGACACCGAATGCGAAGTTTATTCCACATCCTGTAAAGACTAGGGTCGTCGAGGCGATGATGATGATGGCTGGTTGTCTGCGGCTGCGTTAGTTTAGCTCTTGTGCTGGTGGCTGTCGTACATACAGACGAGTTCTTGAGGTTGCTAGATTGCCTCCATCGACCTGCATGGGCGTTAAAGAAGGTTCCATCCTTGATGGCAGTCTAGCCCGTAGTTTCGATGGTTGGGGTGAATGTGTGATGTTGAAATTGTGAGCAAAAAGATGTGTGTGAAGGCTGATGCGTGAGAATGAGGTGCAAACGAGGTGAAAAAAGAATACTGATGTTCTTGAAAACATAGTTGGTTGCCCTTGTCATTTGAGCTTATATTAACCGGAGACCCGGTTTAACCCTAACCTTCTGAGTCATCGCGGGGTATACCCGTAGAACTAGCCTGGTTGATCAATGCCATTTAATTATATAGAGATGAAGAGCACTACTGCTGCCATGAAGCCATTTGCATAGCTTCATGACAACAAAGGAACAAAAGTCTCAGAAGTAAGAATATATATAGATCCAGGGGTCGACGGCGGGTCTGATAATTGCCTATATAAGCAAGCAATGCCCGCCTAACTCATCGAATCTAAAGTTGGGTTATTATTTAGATGGAGTCTTCACATAATGTGAACTAAAATATTACTTCGTCTCATTCGTCATCTGGCTATAAATTAGAAGTGATAGTCAGTATTTTATCTTGCTGTTCAAATAAAGACAAGATTTGCTCTTCCAGCACCAATAGACAGCTTGTAATATGGTTTCATTAGCACTTCGTCGACATCAATGGTAGATAGTATTTAATAATCAAAGGTATACGTTCACGAGACTAATAAAAAAATAACTTGGGGATAACTGAACTGACTACAAGTTCTGTAGTAGACAAGTAATAGTTACGGACACCAAACCCTACATCAAAATGAACTGGTTAACGTCAGCCATACTCCGACAAAGATAGAGAAGGAAGATATATACTTTTTGGACACGTTTGTTTGCTTACTCCAAATCCGGAAAACTGTCACGCCTTGCTGCTGTTTTCCTGTCTTCCCGGGAAAATCGTACCATTCGACCCCAGTTGTATCGCGTCGATGGATCCTCCAGGGACAATAGAGAACGGGTTACCCATGCCTCTTAAAAGTAATTGGGAACTATCAGTCTTCACTGTCTCCACTTGGAAGTATGGTGTCTCAGTTGGCCTGGCGGGTAAAGCGGCTCCCCGCTTAGAACATTGCAAGAGCTTCATTTTTGGTATTATCTACGGCAGCGAGATATTAATGACCAGGCCTAGATCATGTAATTGATTTCCAGGAAATTAAGAAAAATGAGATGCCTCGTCAAAAGGTCTCCGAACTCACCCGGACGCTTCTTTGGGTGGAGCACTGAAGGAAGTGACGGAAAGGGGAATTCGAATCCTGCAAATTGCATATTACTGATCTCATGGCCATTTACCGGTGGTTAGAGCAGTAATTTTTAGCAAAGAAAGATACTATCTTCTGGCGACACCTCATTATTCGATTCACGTGGCAAGCCCTTGGGAAACGATTAGAATGTGGTTGTCACAGCACTATGTTATACCAGCGGATGACCGTGAATATTGGACATCATAGCAATTTGTATCCCCACATAGCGAGGTCGGTGGTGCCATATTAACAGAAACCCCGCGCGGAAAGGCCATTCGTTCGCATCTCGTTGAGGTTATTTCTGACAGCAAACTGTAGATCGAACGTATGATCTAGATGATGACCCACCTGTGGCACTCCGCCGAGTAATTGCCGAGGCATGGCTGAAATCGTCATGAGGCTCTAAGTATTATTGATAATGAGTGTGAGATTTGGGAAAAGACTAGAGCTAGGATGGAAATTTCCGAGTTTGATATTTTTCAGAATGGGACATTTTGAGTGCCCATGCCTGGCTTGTCTCGGATGGAAATAACTAATATAGAAAAAACAAAGTGCTATATGAGATTTGGATCTATCGTTTGCTGGCTTTCATGGATCCATTTTTGTAATTTCCAAAATATCGTATGATAACTATTTCGCTAGCATCTATATTAATAACAGGTTGGATCTAGACTCACGAATGTGCGACTATCCCCACAAAATGGATCCCTATCATTTCCAACAATAAGCGAAGAGGCAGGGAAAATGGCTTTGTATAGATGAACTCGGCCCCCACTGGTGGCTTTCAGAGTCCATGGATCAGCTATGTTTTTATTTGACTTCATTTTAATTGGCTGAAAATTCTGCCGACTAATGTAAGGTTGTGCATCGGGGTTACCCTACCCAGGTAAGCTGTGTGCGGATACACATCCGTGCCTCGATCCCATGAAGCTTTTAAGTTTTCTATCCTAGCCACGTCACCTGGTGTCCACAATATTCCTCAAGTCTCAGATTCTGCAACTTCAGGGCACGAGAGCATTAGACATGAAGAGCTTTTTTTGATCTCGGGATATATCGCGTCGGGAGACCTGTCGCCTGGGCCCCACTATCAACCTTGGAACCATTTCCCCTGACAGCTGCCAGACTAGCCCGATATGGATGTAGGGGTTTGATATTTAAATAGTAAATACCTACCTAGGTACATATGTAGTTATATCCCCAATATCCAAAGATATTCGGGAATCCCTGGAGGCATGGAAGCAACAAGGGATTTTGGACCTGTGCCTCCAGGCATTGACCTTGCCGTGAACCGGCAAACCCAGATGCTGGGTGCAGTCATTACGTTGATGGTTATTGGAACCCTAGCGGTTATTTTGCGTGTATATACACGTGCAAAGACATCTCAGACAAATTTCGGTCTTGATGATCTTTTGATCTTTGCTGCTTTGGTGAGTGTGCATACAGTTATAATGGTACTTACTCATCCTTTCGCCTGGTGGCTTACCTATCTTATAGTGGTTTGCCTACGGCACTGGTATATGCGTGATCATCAGTAAGTAAACCCAAGAATATCCAGCATCTCAACCTTCTTGACTGACTCTTGCTCTGTAAAGGTATCAAGTACAAAAATGGATGGCACCAACAAGCTGTTACTGATTCCGAATTCATCTCTCTCTGGAAGCTCCTTTTCGCACATGTTTTCATTTACTCGACAACGGTCACTCTCACTAAATGCTCAATTGTTATGTTCTATCGTCGCATCTTTAACCTGCGCTGGTTATCCTGTTTCGCCATAATCATCATCCTTGGCTACTTCGTCGCTGTCATTGTCACCATGGCGGCCGCATGTCGCCCGACGTCATATTTCTGGGAGCAATACACGGATCCCACGGCTGAAGGGACGTGTATAGATGTCCCTCAATTCCTTTTTGCCAATGGCATTGCTGCTGTCGTCATTGATGTCATGATTCTGTGTGTCCCAGTTCCTGTCATCTGGAGATTGCAAATGCCCAAATCCCAGCGCGTTGCAGTTACTAGTATCTTGCTGCTCGGTGGTTTGTGAGTCGATCCCTGGATGGGATCCTAGGGATTTCAGAACCTATGCTGATCAAAATTACTACAGCGTATGTATCGCCGGTGTCGTTCGCGTTATTTTCTTATACAAACATACACATTCCAAAGATCCATCGTGGACAATTGCCCCGGTGTTCATGTGGTCTTGCGTTGAGCCTTTCATCGGAATTGTATGCGCCTGTCTACCAACCTTTTCACCCTTGTTCCGTCGCTGGTGGGCTATTTTGGGGATTAAAAAGGGTTCCAAGAAACAGGGGGATTATTATGGTGGGGGTTCTCAGACCCGTCGTTCGAGACAGCAGATGTCTGAAGACGAAAAAGAGGGCCCTCACGGTGATGAGGTTCAATTAACTAGCTTCCCTGGTTGGCCATTGAACTTCTTACGTGGGAAGGGTAACAGAGATGACGTGAGATTGCCTGACTCGAAGATTCGGATCAAAGAGGAGGTTACAATCTCGTATTCTGTGGGCGAAGCGGCTTGAAGGTTTTGGAAGCTAAAAGTTTTCGGGTCAAATTTCAATCAAGTTGAATTGTTACATTATTTCCACAAACTAAAGTTAGATTACACACTTGATAGCCTGGTAAAGGATTGACACAGACTGACGATGTAGCATAAGCCGGCTATTCGCGGAACGTATGTTGATCGCCCACAGAAATGAATCAAGCAACCCCTTCAGAAAGAAAGTATGAGAAATCTACAATAGCCAAATGTCCATCGAACGTTGTCCTCATCGCTCACAAGGCAACCCCCTTTTAGGAGATAGTCATGTTTCGCATGCCCAACATCAACTCAAGTTCCCCTCTGTTCAGTGTAGGCGGAGTGGGATATCTAAGATCCTGGACTCCCACGAGGTACTCCACGAGCCTGGTATATTATTAGCACGCATGTCGAGCTTGAGTAGATAGCACATCGCTTACTTGTTGTGAAACAAGGTTGGAAAGTAACATCTGAATTCTCCTCGTCGGGTCTCTTCCATGTGCAGCCAACCTTTCGTGAGGCATGACAGCATAGCTTCACTGTGTGGGTTAAACAACAATCCTTCGCCACGGGTTTGCTGATCGATTTGCTGAGCCTGGCGAAGAACTTCAAACTCCTGTTCAGGAGGGAAGAAGGTTTCCGGCGAAAGCGGAAGACCCGCGAAGTCTAAAATCACAACGATACATCCTTCCAGGAGGCCACGAACTTGAAAGAATCGACTGATTTCGTAGTCATCGTGGGTTATTTCATCAAGTTCATCATCCTTGAAAAAGGCGTCGTACCACTGGGCAAATTTTAATATAGCAGAAAATACTAGCAATGCTTGCAGATCACATACCATGTCGCAGAGAAGCATGAATGCATTCACTAATTTAGGCTGGCCTGTAGTTAAGCCATAGATGATATCTTTTAAAATATCGCAGATTTCGTAATCGGAACCTCGAGCCTGGAGATGCATTTCCATGTGGAGATCGAACTCTTCTCGGGTGTAGAAAAGTGAAATATCCTCGTCAGACCCCTCTTTCAATAAAAGGCGTTGGCGCTTGTTGAATACCAGCAAGTCACTCCCCATGTTGTGTGGCATAACACCCCTATCGGGAGTACCGAATGCACTGAACAAACAGAAACTGGCACCTGGTACGTTCGCGAGGCAACCTTGGTTCACCGAATTCAGGATTAACCATAACTCGGAGTTATTGTAAGTCGTGTGTGCATCGTCAATGAGAAACACGAAGTTGTCGCGCAGAAGGCTGTGGCCAAATGTCGGAAAACCTTGGATGTGACAGGCCTCGACCAGATAATCTAATGCGGAGGGGCCACCCTCTAAACTAATGGGGAAGCTTTTGATATAGATCGACTTGACTCCCTGACCACGGAGGTAGGTATGAAGAGATCGGGCGAGAAATGTCTTCCCTGATGCGGGGATCCCACGAGCAAGGACCACTCTTTGTTCATGGATGCGATTGGCAAGCTTTCTCACGGTATTGTGTCTTGGTATGAAAACATGGCTAACATTAGGATCGCTTGGGTGTACTAAAGAATTGTTAAAGTCAAATCAACATAGAGAAAGATCACTTACACCCAATTCTAAAATGATTTCTGAGTGGATGTCCGCACTCCAGACAAGAGGTCGACGAAGATTCGGCCACATCGGGCTGTCCTTGACCACGGCAAGGGCAGCAGTAAGAGCCATTGCCACTCCAATAACAAGCTCCAGCTGTCATTTTGTGAGCTAAGAACCAGTCAAATAAAGTAGATATGGAGCGTGAGATAAAAGAAGAGCAGTGGATGCGTCGCGCAGGCTCATTCAAGCCGTGTGTAGGTGGAGTGGCAATGAGGGAGGAATAACGAGACAGTTGCGGGAAGAGAAAAGAGTTTAAGAGGGAAAGAGAAGGTCAAGCAGCAGAGTTGAAATGTGGGAAGACAAAAAAGTAAACAAAGTCAGGTATGATGCGACAATGGAAGGCACGTGTGTCGTTCTTTCTGCTTTGGCTGAGACGTCAACAAACTGGGGATCAGATATTAAAGACATCTCTATTTACTCCATCCTTCTTATTACCATCCATCTACTATTCGTCTACTATACTGTCTATTTCGTCTATGTTGTAGTCCCCGGGGACTATCACGGGTACAATCACGGCCTTATATACTTCTTCTGTGGTTCTATTGGCTACCGTTATTCCCAAACCTTGGAACCCCGCATGTCTGATAGGAGATAAGGACTCGCAACCTTCGAAGGTCTCCAACCGTGGATATCTGCCCTGTCTCTCCAGATCCGCCTTCTTGACTTTCACTAGACTCCTCTTGTATTTGGCTGCTATTTCCATGACTCTTGATCCAGAACCAAATCATGGCACGAAGCGTAAGCGCGGAGAACGGAGACGCGCTTCGCTGGCGTAAGTACATTGCTGCTCGGCATCATTCCGCGCCTCACATTGACAATTCTCAAAAAGTTGCGAGACATGCAGAAAGCAGAAAGAAAAGTGCGAGGGTGGTCAGCCCTGCTGGAGATGTCAGCGACTAGGACGATCATGCCATTTTCAAGGCCACCCCATTCCAACAACTACATCCCCTTGCTCCTCTTCAGTTCCCGTCGTGTCTGTTCCGAGAGAGGAGAATCGGCGAATACAAAGTCTAGAACATATTGCTCGCCATTTTCTCGGGGATGTGTCCTTGGACGAGGAGAACATAAGTCGTATTGCGGACAAGTTACGAAGCTCGACGAATACCACCCTGCCGGAAACTGCCCTGGATATCAACGAGTCGTTCGACGTTCATTTCGTGTCAAATAATATGGCGCATTACTCGGGGGAATTTTCTCACTGGAACTTTTCCCAGAAATTACGCCGTAAAATGAGCTGCCAAATAGATCAGATTGATTCTAGGGTTTGTGTCTCTTCCCGCAAAAGCTCAAGCATGTCTCATGATATACAACAGGTCAAAGAATACTGGCGACCAACCCAGCTTCAATCCTCGCCCGAAATTATGGTGGAGACAATGATGCATTTACCACCGAGGCCTATTGCCGACTTTCTTATCAACATGTTCTTCAAGTATGCTGAGATAAACTCCTTTTACATGGAGCGGAAATGGATTGAAGAGAAAGTAGCCCTCTGTTATAGCTCAACAACTACATATACGGCCATTGATTTTCCCTGGGTATGCTCTGTTTTGGTTGTTCTGGCTATTGGAACACAGGTAGCCCATATGGAGGATGAAAAACCAAAGCCCGATTCAGAGATCACCGAAGAACTCAACCTGTGCTCTGAGGACTCTGTCGGGCTAGTCTTCTACCACGCTGCATGCAAGCTTATTCCTGATGTCCTTTTAGTTGCTTCTCACGAAAGTGTACAGGTCTTCCTACTTCTCGCTACATATTCACTGCCTGTTTCCACGGGTGGGCTTGCATACACCTATTACGGTCTTGCAATGAAGATGGCGATTCAAAATGGGATGCATCGCCAATATCAAGGGGGTAACTGTGACTCTAGGACTATTGAAGTCAGAAATCGGTTATTTTGGACAGCATACACTGTTGAAAGGTATGATATCCCAGAGGGCATTTTAGAGAAAAGCTAACCATTACTTCATAGATATATCAGTATCATGCATGGACGCCCTATGTCAATCGCGCGATCGGAGATAAACGCCGATATGCCAAAGGACTGCCCTACCTTTGAGTCGCCACGGTTTGCCAACCTAACCGCGTTCCATACATTGATTTCATACTTGGGAGAGATCTCTGAAACACTGTAAGTGGCTCGGCAAAGTTAAACAGTTCATCAACGACATACTGATGCTTCAATAGTGCACAATTCAAAAGATGTCCGAAAAGGCTTCTGTCTGAATATTCAGAGCGGCTCTTGCGGCTGAGGGCGAGTATCAAGCAGTGGTGGGATTCACTCCCAGCCACTGAAGAATGTCGAGACTTATGCTCACAAGGTCCAAATTTCCGACAAAACTCGCATCTCAGACTCTGCTATCTGCTTATATATGTCTACATGGGCCGTGCTTTTATATTTGTCGATGACAAAAAAAAGCAGAGTGAACCTGTAGTTGGTGCAGACCATGATCCAGGACGGGTTCGTCGGTCAGTTTTGGTGGACGACTGCGTATCAAGTGCTTTGGACATTCTAAATACTCTACAAGCTTTATCCGACCATGTCGGTTTGTGCCGCGCTTCTTACAATGAATTTGGTGCTTGTCGTGCGGCTATTCTAGTCATCCTTGCAGAAAGCCTCAACTCAGGGAAGTCGCAGAGACTCCAAGATGGTCTGCACCGTGGAATGAGTCTTATACGTCAGATGGTTGGAGGATGCTCTACAGAATCCGAAATATCTTACCTCGAGTCTATCGAAGCAGCTATCAGCCAGCTTCTAACCATTCCCGAACAAGACTCCATTTCGCAATCAAAAAGCGACCAGAATTCCGTCTCTGCCTATTCGAAGTTCAAAGACTGGACGCAGTCACTAAAGAAGGACAAGTCTGCAAGTGGAAATGTGGACCTGTCTTCTTTTAGTCCGTTGTCGCATTTCACACCTGGCACAGAAGGCTTTACGAATCCGGAGCTGAATGATATGACGGCTTTCTTAGACCCTGATTGGTCAAATGGTGATTTCGAGTTTGATGCGTATAATATTTCATCACTGTGAAAGTATTCCAAATTGAGATACATAGAACTAATATCCTTGTTGATTGCTTCCCTCATCCTATTACTATGTACAGAACACGTTTCGTCCAGGTTTGGCGCTTGTTCTTCTCTGGATCCCGCTCCGCATCTTCCGCTGCAATAGCATTGATAAGATCTTGCTCATCAAAGGCTCTAGCAGGGCCGAAGTCCATGTCGACTGGCTTGACTATCTTTGTTTTGAAATACCACTGCTAAAGTCAGATATTTTCGGTCTTCAACCACAATCTGGAGGCACTCACCTTGTATACAAAATAATCAAAGAAGAACAAAGGAGCAGCGAGATAAGCAGAGAAGAAGCTCTTCACTGAACCCTTTTCTCCAAACGGCCAGCAAGCTAGGTAGAATTCACAACCAAAGACAAGCAGCACAATGATGAGACCGAAGTATTGCGACCATGGGGTGAGAAGACCTTTGAATGGGAGGGTGCTTAGATCCTTGCCTTGGGCACGAAGGCCTTGCCGGAAGCGAAGATGAGCAATATAAATCGAACCCCATTGGAAGAGGGTTGCTATTGCCACCTGAATAAAATTGTTAATCCCTCTTCACTAGACAAATCCGTTTTCTGATGTTCTTACCAAGGCAGAAAACTAACTATATACCAAACTGCCTACACTGTTGCAGTTAAGATAGCCCAGCCCACCAACAAGTCCCAAACTGATTATTAGGGATACATAGGGCCGACCCTGCAGGTCCTTTCTTCCGAAGAAGGAATGGATCATTTGCAGGTCAGAGAGTGCTGTCAAGCTTCGACTTGCGATATAGACACTGGTAATGCCACAGCTAATAACACTAAGGAAGGTGAACCCGTTGATGGAATTTGCTAGACCATAAACATCCGCCCGCTTGATTGCAATGATAAAGGGGCTTCCCATGGTCCCGCTGGCATTAACAAGATTAGTGTCATTGGATGGCACACACATTCCGACAAGCCAGATAATTAACCACAAAGAAGGTAAACATTCTCCAGAAAACGAGTCGCACTGTCTTCTTGATAGTGCGACGTGGATCGGCTACTTCGCCAGCTATAACAGCAATATGCTCGCCTAGATTCAGTCAGTATATTCTCCTTGGATTTGTGCTCGGGTATCATACCACCGCCGAAGCTAAACGCCGCCTGTACGAAGGCTTTAGCAATACCCTTTATTCCATTATTAAAAGCGCCAGGGTTCTTCCATTATCGGAACTCGATTGGACCGTTTGTTGCTGGTATTCCTCCTGATATCATGATGAACATGAAGAATATCATCAAGACAACTGCAACGCACTTCACAAAAGACGTATAATACTCGATATAGCCATAGCCTCTCACGTGAAACATGTTTGTGAGGGCGGAGACTACCAGAAACATAGTGATAAATCCCGCGAGAGGAATGACGTCTGTCTGTGGCCAATATTTCAGGACGAATATTGCTGCTGTACAGAAGTTTATATAACAGTTAGTCATCGATATCCGCACAGATTGTTGAAATAGCGGGTTTTGTCATTTTAGTTAGTTAGAGTTGTCAACATTGGTCATCTATACCATAAATTGTTCGCAGGCCACCCACTACGTGGTCTACTTCATGCACCGAACAGGTCTACTCCAGCAGTTCCAGTATATAACACCCGAGGACGACGACGACGACGAACCGACAGGCCTCGCGGCAATGGATCTAGGTGTGGAAGACGATGGGTATTAGCCAATGACGACAAATGATGCTGTGAAACGAGAACTCAGCCAGAGTCGACAATCACGCCAGTTGAATGGCCAGGACAACGTCACCATCAATTGAAACTGAGGCAGGGGAGGGTACAGAGAAAGAGAGAGAGAGAGAGAGAGAAGTGGGGGTTGGAAGGTGGAGGGTGCACTCCAACTCCACATCTATCATTATATATTAATTTCTTATGTATGTGTTTACGGGTTTTGAGGGTTTTATGGGTTATAGGAATGGGCTGATTCCGCACTCTTTACGGTCAGCATCTGTGTACTCTATGGGATGCACTATGTGGTTCCAACTCGGCGTTTGGCTTCGAGTTCTTGCTTCAGTTGGATGAAGCGCCTGCATAGTCATACGCAACAAGTTAGACTGCAACAGGTTAATTGAACTTTGATTGATTGATTGATTGATTGATTGACCATAAATTGTTTGTACACCAGCTTTCTATCAGAAATCCCTTTCCCGGAGCACCCAGAGTCACTCGATGGGTCTCCTGGGCCTTAGGAAGCAACTCCCTCGGAGCGGCCCAAGGCCACCGAGTAATGCAAATCCTGCAAATCTTTCGGGACGACACATTAAGACCTGCTTGTCTAGTCATATAGGCAAGTTGGGGGATCATTCAACGCGCATTTTCCTACGGCTTCGCCATCGCCAAATCCCTTGAAAGGCGGTGCCCGGCGGTTCCTCGCCCAATCTTTAATCTGGAATGTGTGAAAGGTTAGTGATCGGGTTCAAGAACTGCATACTTGAGCGGATATTCTACCTTTTCGAAGTCGCGACACTCGTGTACAACGTTTGCCATTGCGCGTATGCCAAAGTCTTTAGGGCTATACTGAAAGACATTCGGCGTTATATCCACAGAACACATTTGATGTTGTCTCAGGGCATCGATGCAATGGTCGACGTGGGTGATACCCATATTTTTGCCAATGGCCTGTAGCATCGAATCGATACCTCCGTCACCCATGTGTATATATGGGTTATCCTCGGCGGTCCATTTGGGGTCTGCAAAATAGTATAATGCCTTCCGTATCGAATCGAGGCAGTGCAAGTTGTGGAAAACATTCAAAACGATGAGATAGCCGCTCCCCTCATACGGTGCCTCGGGTGATGTCTTGTTGGGGAGTTGAAGGGCTTCCTCGTAGGATATACGAGTCATTTCGTCTTTGATTAGACATAGGGTCAGTATAAAGCTAACAAGGTTTGTTGAGTACCAGACAAGCTCACGAGCATAAAGTTCCTTCCATAGTCGGTTGTTTTCTGTGGTCGGCATTCCTTGATATAGTGTTGTATCACTGCTGATGCCGTTTTGGAATTTCACCAACTTTTTTGAGATGGCAGTGTCGGCCGGTGCTTTGATAAAGTCAGATTTCAAGGAAAAAGATATCCCAAAAGCCGAGGGGCGTACATGGCAGAGTAAAATTACCCCGTCCCTGTCCTGCATCAGACTTCTGCCCTTGGGGAGCATTGTACACAACAATGGCGAGTGCAATATTGATAAGAAATGATATAACAATCAGGGAAATAACAAGTACCCTACGCCGTGTCCTTGGTCCCTCACGTTGGCTTTCCTTTGCCCAGTCCGACCCCTCAGATTCATCTAAGGATGGTGACTTTGGATGCTGGATGAGCTTCTCGACAGAGGTCCTAGGAGATGTATCCATCGTTGGGCTGGATAAAATAAAATCATGCACTGATACCTGAAATAGCAGACTCAATTTGAGAGGTGTTAGCATTCAAATATCAGCGCAGATGGAGAGGCATAGATAGAGTCATAGTGCATAGCGTATTTAACTGAGTTATATGCAGCTAGGCAAATACTTCGGACGTAGAACGAGTTTCTATCGGCTCTACCTCCCTCACTTTCTTACACCCTAGTTAATTACCAACATTCGTAACACTAGACCAATGTAGGTAGGATTGTGCCTAATTAATATCAGCAGGGTTTTTATCGCTGAGCGCGTCATCCATTCCCGGTCGTACTATACCCCACTATAATACAGATTACAGGATCAACCCAGCAGGTTGAGCTGCATACCTATCCACTTTCTTAAATAGCTGAATGCATCCTGAGTGATAAGAATACGTGTCATTGAGTCTGCTCGTTGGTTCCAATTGGGTGGATACTTACAGTCACACATCAGTGTAAAAAGAATACCCAGGATCGCAATAATAGCGATAGAAACAATTTGGAACTCTCGGGAACACGGAACAAACTAATTAACCTGATCAGTAAGTGGGGAAATATAACTTGGAATTCCCAACGGTCCGGACCGGACCGATCGCCCAATTGACCGCTAGAAACTTGTCCCACTTTGGCCGGGAAAGGGGGAAAGTGGGGCTAAAATATAGAGACTGATTGCGCGCCCACGTTGGTACATAGTACTCTTATCGGACTCCGTACCGCTCCGTAACAATAATATAAATTTAGCTAGGGGGTATATAGAGCTAGACTTAGGATAACTATTAGGGATGCCTAAGGACATCGCTAGAAACTTATGCCACATTGGCCGGGGAAAGGGGAAAGTGGGACTAAAATATAGAGACTGATTGCGCGCCCACGTTAGTACATAGTACTCTTGTCGGACTCCGTATCCCTCCGTAGCAATAATATAAGTTTAGCGAGCTAGTCATGAGATAGCTATTAGGGGATGTGCAAGGACCTCACTTATCAAGAATCAACTAATAAGCAACTTTGGGCTGCGGAGAGGGCGAGACCGTGTCGATCCCACCCGGGAGGAGTGCAAGTCCGGCCGGAAGTCTTAAAAATGGGGCGGGCTAAACTTGAGAGTGCAAGTCCTCCCACCGGACAAATCCGTCCTCGATGGTATAATATACGTAGGCTTATAATGAGAGGAAAAGAGAAATGAGATGTGTGTCACGACCGTGACTGTCGCGGCCTGACTTCTAGGGTATTAATGGTTTCGGATGGTTTCGGATGGTTCTGCCTAAGCCTCTACGTATTTAATCTCACTCTGGTCTCTATTCTTCTCTCCCTTTCTCTCTCTTATATCTTTCTTCTTTCTTCGGTTCTCATTGAATAGCACTCTTTTATTATGAATAGAACCAACATATCATAACGTATAGTGTATTATAGGTTTGCATAAATGGGCTAAGAAAAGTCCCAAGCGGGATTTAGTTGATATATCAGACTTTTACCGTGATATACCGGGCTTTCAACTCAGCCACCTAGCTGTATGCTAAATGAACATTGTGGCGGCTGGCAGAGTGAGTAATTCCCCGGCTCCGGCCATACAAGGTCTATTATTGGGGTCAAACTCATATCTGCAATAATTGACATTCTAGAATTGAGCCACAATATCGAGCCTCTCCTTGGGATCAGGACTGACTAGCTACACACATAAAGTACTGAGTGCTGGCAACCACTCTTATTAGTTCATAGTTGCCACCCCCCTTCTCCTTTCTAATAGAAGTCTCACAAGCTGTATCTGTCGTTAGTAACAAACCGCGGGTTGGGTGATAAGAAGGCTAGAATACTATACCTTGACTAGCTTATTTTGTCTTCTCTAGATCATCATCGCGCTTCGCGGTCCAAGTGACGGGGTACAGAGCTCCCTCGGTCTCCTCGTCATCACGCTTCGTGGTCCAAGTGACGGGGTACAGAGCCCCCTCGGTCTCCTCGTCATCACGCTTCGCGGTCCAAGTGACGGGGTACAGAGCTCCCTCGGTCTCCTCGTCACCACGCTTCGTGGTCCAAGTGACGGGGTACAGAGCTCCCTCGGTCTCCTCGTCATCACGCTTCGTGGTCCAAGTGACGGGGTACAGAGCTCCCTCGGTCTCCTCGTCATCACGCTTCGTGGTCCAAGTGACGGGGTACAGAGCCCCCTCGGTCTCATCACCATTGCGTTTAGCCATATCGACCTGGCCGACTTTAAGAGTGGGAAGAGCGGACACAGCGGCCGCGTATAAGAAAATGGTCGTCAAATACATATTGGTTTTAAAAATGGCGTAATGTTTTAGAATTGTTGACGAAGGATGCTTCTGAGTGAGAAAATTACGAGAGCGTCTAGGTCTAGGGAACAGGCCTTTATAAGTAAACCTGAACCTGCATTAATTTGTATATGATTTCTTTACCCTTGTTTAGTACGCTATGACGAACTATTGCGCATACCAGGGATTGAGTCTAGGTTGGCAATCGATGACACAGTGTTGTTACTTACAGATATCAATTGACAATCGACGCCGGTTTCATCCTTCCATAGCTTAAAGCTAGAAACACCCCTGTCAAAGCAGTCATCTGTACTCCGTATTTGCCCTATCTCTTCCCGCCTCCCTTAGCCTGGGGGTCTCCATTCCCAATCTCGACTCTGTATTTCACAAAATTGGAAGCACGATGTAACCTTAACGCTCCTATCAGCCAGTGCGAAGTGCTGTTACATCCCACTATCCTTCCTCAAAAGTAGAAGCGGGGATAGGAATACTACGCCACAGATATGGTCAAATTATGGAACGCCGCTTCCAACTTGTCTAGCAAACTAGTTCCAGCTTACATCGGACTTCGCAGTAGTACTACCTCTACAGTCATTTCAAGTCCAAGAAAGCGATAAGCACAAAAGTACAATATGCAAGACCATCACTAGTGTGTATGAGAGAATCATCGTATTGCTGCGAGATGATCAATCGGCTAGTAACTAAGCCACGAGTGAATTAGTTCGAGCTTTCAAAATCTGGGAAGTGGCAAGCGCAAAATTTTACGTGTATGCAAGGCCGTCTCTAATACCAACATTATATTATATGATTGCAAGATGCTATTAATTAATTGGACAATAGCCTACGCCATAAAGTCTAGCCGCAGGCATCCAAGTACCTGAATCAAGGAGGTGCTTAGCTAGGTTACGCGGATTGAAATTAACAGCAGATATACCAGTATTTTCAATACAGAAAAGGAATACTAGATTGCTAGGACAAAGAAGGTGATAAGGAAATACGAATATAGAACACATGGAGCTCGGAATATGCACAGCTACCCCTTCGGTATTACATACTACTTACCGTTAGCGGGCCTATCTAACATGGTAACCTTGGAACATTCAAATGTTTTAAGCGTCACTCATTTACTTTCTTGTCTGGAGGCCTACCAATCTTTGTTTGTTTTTGCTGGCTCTTGCTTAAAACTTTTTCACTATGACGCTCTTTCGCGGATCCAAACCTAAATATGACCAACTTCCCAACGATACTTCGCCAGTCAGTATCCAAAGGCAGAGAAGGTCACGCGTGACACGTTGGCTGCTTTACTGCGTCGTGATACCGTGCAACATCATACTCGTCGCCTTAGGTCTCTATGGCCTCACATCATTTTTCATCGCGGGGAAGTTTCCAGCCGTCACGGCTATCTCTTGCGACTGTGGAGCAACTGTAGATGAGGCCGTAGCTATGGGTTGCAAATACGACGCCCTCTCCGTGTCGTGGCTTCCGCCACGGTGCCGGGATGACGAGCTAACGGCCGAGTTCAACCAGGCCAGTCCGGGCGGCGAATGGCTGTACTGGGCTGATCGAAACGGAACTGAACTGCTCACACTCCAGCAAGTGTCAGCGTTGGCTGACAAGCCGCTGGAAGAGGCTCAGTTCTGGACCACCTTCGGGTGGCATGTGAGCCACTGCTCGTTCTACTGGCGAAAAGAGTACAGGATGAGGCAGAAAGGCTTAGAGGTCGAGCATCGTTACGACAGGGAAAGCCACATCAAACATTGCCAGATGGCATTCATGTCGAGGGTGGCTCTTGATGAGATGAATACCAGGGCGGCCGTTGGGCTGGGTGGAGATAGAGTTGGAACAGTCAGAACAGAGGCCCAGGAGGGAAATGAGCATCAGCAACAACATAATCACCGTTGAGAGATGCTGGCTTAGCGATACAGCTGTCCAGAGCTAGGATACGTTTATGGTAGGGTACAGCCATTTTCCTGTATGGGCCTTGGAGAGTCGGTATACAGAGGTCGATAACAAAAGTAGGTAGCAGCGCACGTCCCATCCTATGTTCCACTAGTAATATAGAGAACAACCGACTACACACACTACCATTTATCATTACTAAATCGAGAGAAATCTTGTGCTGATCTTGTAGCAAGTAAGGAATTGATATATCTACTATGACTTCGTGTCGGATTCTTCGAAACGCTGGCTTAAAAAAGACGAGCCTAACTCGGAAGCCTAGATTGACAAAGAGCATGATAGCAGAACGACTTTCTTAGTGCCTTAAACACGAACATGATTGGACGCTTAATGATCGGAAAAATGTGATCTTGTCCGATCAAATCTCTGTTGTTTTACTTCATCAAAGTAGGGCGACCGGAAACCGCGAGATTGAGCCAATTTTACAAGGCCAATAGGAGCTTGAAACTTCTATACGTCGTGTAAACCTTCGGCGACAACCTGCTGGTAAGCGACCTACGTGGAAATACTATACAGACCCAAGTTTAACTCTGGTATTCGCGTAGAAGAACGCGAAAAAAAAAAATAAGAATAGACATAGAAATATAAATTAGTACAAAAAAAGAAAGAAAAAAAAAAGCGAAAGAAACTATTTTTCAACGGGACAAACTTATACAAATACCCAAATACACTATTTGAGAACGTAGGAATACACCTAATTTGACAATATTTCGAATCATTCATATGGCGGGCTACATGGTTGGGTGTCATATTATTACAGACCCTTGCACCTCGCGGTGGAGTATGACTGGTGTTAGATAAGGGTCCGGATCTACGCTGCCACTAGGTGCACGGAGAATACCAACTTCTTCCGGATGGTCTAACCGATCGCCAGGGATTCGGCCCACGAGCATTCGACTACAACATGGAGGGCAGCCCTGTTGGGCCGCCCAAATACTCTTGGTAGTACGCGTCATCTGATAATAACATACGGAGTATATTGTTGGTAATGGTGATAGTCTTGTATATGCCTTAGCGCCAGCCACTTTACAGATCTAGAATAGTATGAGTCTTCTGAAATTCGGTGCTCGGCATCTTCAAATGCTGGCACTAATGTTTATACCATCACATGACTCGTCCCTCTTTCATAATAAACCAAGGCCCCTTTACTGTTGAACGTTTTGAAATGCTTTGAGATATTTCCAAGACTTTTGTCCCTTATTAAAAGCTTACCTCACTATTGCCATGAACGCGACCGCGGACGCTACGTTTGGCCCCCAACTACAAGGGCATTTCGACTTTACCCTCCTCTTTGAGCAAAGTATTTTCTCAATTGGCCCATCGGCAATCTTGCTAACTGCCTCGCTTTTCCGGATTAATGTTCTGACCCGGAGAAAGCCAAGCTTTGAGGCGAGCACCTTGCTTTGGATCAAGCTCGTAAGGCTTCCAACATCGGATGCTGCGCTGCTGCTAACACAGGAAGATTGCCGTATTTATCCTTTTTGGGCTTCAGTTGACGAATTTGGCGCTATGGAGCATCTCGTCGACTGCACTTACTCAATTCGCGGTAGCAGCTGCTTCTCTCTCGGTCGCTGATGTCATAGTCATAGGTTCGCTGCTCTACGCAGAGCATCGCTACTCCTACTCGCCATCTTTGCTGCTTAGCGTCTACTTGTCGATTACTATCCTTCTTGACATTGCCTATGTCCGCTCACTCTTCCTTCGGGGAAGTCTAGATGCTATCGGTGCAGTCACCACAGCAATCCTTGCAACTAAGCTTCTAGTCCTTATGCTCGAAGAAATCCCCAAACGGGGACCGGCTATTTTCAAGACGTCCAAGGAGTTTTCGAGTGGCTTGTGGAACCGCTCTGCGTTCTGGTGGTTGAATTCAACATTCAGCAAGGGCTATTATTCTTTCCTCCAAGTCGATGATTTGTATAGCCTTGACCACCATCTAGACTCTCATCGCCTTGCTTCGAAACTGGATCAAACATGGAAATGTGGTATGTTGTCAGAATTACTAGCCCGCCGTTATGATCTTTATTCACGCTGGTTTGAATACCAGTTGATAAAGCCAGGAAATATTGCCTAGCGTTTGCGACATTTACTGCATTCCAGAGTGATTTCTGGAAGGCCGTCATACCGAGGCTGTGTTACACCGGCTTCAGTTTCGCCCAGCCCTTTCTCATAAATAAAATCGTCGATGTTGTCGGGACGTCAAAGTCGAATCACCCCCAGGGTACGGTGGGAGGTCTCGTTGGGGCCACGGCTCTAGTATATCTTGGACTCGCTGTATGTTTTGTTACTAAACTTAAGAGCCTTTTCTAAGCCTATTTTCACAGTTCTCTAGATGCCACTACACTCATCACACTTACCGTTTGATTACGTCTGTTCGTGGTGGACTTGTAACACTGATTTTTACCAAAGTCATGGATCTGGAGGCGTCCGAAGCCAAGGACTCTGCTGCTGTAACTCTGATGAGTACTGATGTGGACGGAGTCGCCAGCGGCTTACAGAAGATTCACGACATCTGGGCTAGCGTCATCGAGTTAGGCCTAGGCGTATATCTGCTACAACGACAAGTCGGCGCAGCTTGCTTCCTGGTACTAGTGCCTACTATTTGTACGTGAAACTCTCTAGGCTAAGTCTTCAACCCTTCTGACGATAAATCTTTCAGTATCGAGCCTTGCGACTGCTAGAGTTGCTCGAGGGATGGGGCCGGCTAGAGTATTATGGAATCGCAAAGTGCAGGAACGAGTCTCGACGACTTCATCCATTCTAGATCAGATTAAAGGGATCAAGATGATGGGACTCGAGGATCGCATCTTCCATCTTATCCAGTCTCTTCGTGTCTCTGAAGTCGACTCCTCGAAGACTTTCCGTCTATTCATTGTATGGATGAATATGATAGGTATAATCTGCAAAGCTCAAATCAAGCATCCTATATTTTACTGATATATATTATCGCAGCTAACCTTTCGGACCAACTAACCCCTATCCTGATCATTGCTGCTACTGTGTTTTGGAGCCAGGGCGGCCAAAATATAAGCGTTGCCGAAGCTTTCACTACATTATCCATTGTTGCCCTTGTTTCAAGTCCAATGGTGAACATCATTGCGGCTTATCCTACTCTTATTGGTGGCTTAGCTTGTTTGGGACGCATTCAGGATTTTATGTTACGCACCAAGAGGAACGACTACCGCCTTGTTGCCTCCTCTCCTCAGGATAGCAATTCCAAGTGTGAAATGAAAGATGATGATATCGAACTACAAGGAATCCAGATGACGGACTTCCTACACGACAGAGCAGCAGAGGCAAGTCCGGCTATCAGGATTGAAAATGCTTCATTCTCATTGCAGGGCGGGAACGAAGCAGTCCTTGAAAATATAAACCTCGTTGTACGAAAATCGAGTCTTACCATGATTGTAGGGCCGGTCGGTTCGGGAAAATCAGCTCTGTTAAAGGCAATTCTTGGTGAAGCTCAAATTCTGAGTGGCTCGGTGCGACTAGATTGTGGCCGGATAGCTTACTGCGACCAAACTGCATGGTTGCGATTGGGATCTATACGGGACAATGTTTTAGGTCCAAACGATCTTGACGAGGTATGGTACCAACAAGTTCTCTGGGCCTGCGCCCTGAACGAAGATGTCGCCCACCTCAAGGATGGAGACCAGTCTCTCGTTGGAAGTGGGGGCATTGCTTTGAGTGGTGGCCAGAAGCAGAGAGTGGTATGTTGTTTCAGTCATAGGCCCCCGGAGGAAGTGCTAACAAGTAGAATGCTTCTAGGCGCTGGCGCGAGCTGTGTATTCTCGGGCCCCGGTCGTTTTACTAGATGATGTCTTCAGTGCTCTTGATCACAGAACGTCCCTCAATATTTTCAGCCGCTTACTGGGCGGCGAAGGAATCTTGAGGAAACGCACAACTGTTTTGTTGGTTACTCATACGGGTAAGTGTTTTGCTAATTTATAGCATTAACAACTTAAGACTCCGAATTTAGCCTGTCCCTAATTGGACTGACTGTGTCTAGTGGAATACTTGCCCTTCGCAGACGATATCATCGTGCAGGATAAAACCGGTAGCACGGTGAACAGAGCACCATATAGTGAGCTTCGATTGAATGAAGTTTACCCTGAGATCCAGGTACTTGGATCTGTGAAGGAGAATCATCAGTTACCCCTATCAGAATTTTCAGAGGCGAAGCCTATTAAAGACAAACCGCAGGGCAAAGACTCCGCTCCGCATGCCTCTGCACACGAAGTGACAAGAAAGACTGGAGATCTGAAATTATACACGTTCTACCTCCATTCTGTTGGTCCCTTATTGTTCATCTTTTGGCTTGTATTTGCTGCAGGTTACATCTTCTCCGGAAAGGTACCCCGTACGTGTCACTACTCATATCCTGTGGCATTTTTCTCACGTGTTAAACATACAGAGATATGGCTTCGCATTTGGACAGAAAATGGTACCGCAAGCCATGCGGCAGCGTATTTTGGAGGCTACCTAGGTTTTGGATTAATATGCGTCCTATTTTCCGGGCTCTGCGTATAGTCAGTTCTATAATGGCCTAAAACAGGGAATCTTTGGTGACTGACTTCTGCAGCTACTTCATGATTATCATTATCCCAAAGTCCACTCAGCATATACACGCGTTGCTACTAGATGCTGTGCTCAGGTACGCCATGTAGCTTCGTCATTTATAAATAGGAGCTTGCTGATTGCGATTTTAGGGCACCTCTGTGGCTCTTCACAACAACGGACACCAGCACAATTCTAAACAGGTATGTAATTTTAAGCATCTGCTATCTAGCACACAGGCTCATGATGTTGGCAGATTTAGCCAAGATATGACCTTGGTGGACCAGGTCCTTCCAATGGCTGCATTCACGACAACATTCGGTAGGCTAGAAATCCATAAAAAGCACACTGCAAGGCTCACTACTTATGTCCGTTATATCAGATGTATACAATGTGATCGCAGGAGCTGCACTGATAGCTTCTGGTGCAACCTATGTCGCAGCCATCATTCCATTCTGCATATTGGGCATCTACATGATCCAGAAATTCTACCTTCGCACTTCCCGTCAAATGCGACACCTAGACTTGGAAGCCAAGTCTCCACTATATCGACTGTTCACGGAAACAGCCTCTGGTATTATCACAGTTCGTGCACTTGGCTGGAAAGAGGACTTGATGAATGAGCACCTACATAACCTTGATCACTCGCAAAAGCCTTATTATATGCTGTAAGTAAAGAACCCTCGAAAGGATACCTTCTGGTATCAACTTCACCGAGACTTAGCACATCAAAGTTAAATCTGTTGAAAAGTACAGACGCTAAATATTAATGACCGAGCATGAATTAGGTATTGCATCCAACGTTGGCTAAATGTGGTTCTTGATATCTTTGTTGCGTCAATAGCAATTATTCTTGTCGGGTTTGCGCTGGGATTCTCTAATGCGACAAGTCAGGGATCCATTGGGCTTGCTATGCTGAATGTAATGGAATTCAACCAGAGCCTTTCGATGCTCATTAACTCATGGACTGGACTGGAGACTTCGCTTGGCGCCATCGCTCGAGTTAAGGACTTTCTGGCTGAAGCTAAAGCCGAGGGCTCGGAAATGGAAGACGAGACACCGACTAATGAGTGGCCGAAAAGAGGTTACATTCAAATGACAGGCGTCACAGCAAAGTACAAGTAAGCTATGCTAGGTCCTCGGCATGCATACCTGCAAAAGTCAGCTAACGATGTACAACACAGCGTTGGTGATGTCCAATCTCAGCCAGCAATTCGCGATGTCAACCTGGAGCTACAGCCAGGACAGCAGGTCTTGATCACCGGCCGAACCGGCAGTGGTAAATCGTCTCTCATTCTCACACTGTTACATTTGCTTGATCTAGAGTCGGGGCGCATTACCATCGATGGAATGGACTTGTCACGTATTCCCCGTCCGGCTCTCCGCTCTCGCATCGTGACGATTCCCCAGGACCCAGTCGAGCTCCCCGGCTCAGTGCGCTACAATCTCACTCAATTTTCATCATTGGAAGCAAGATCAGGGGACAATGGAGAGGCTATGAAGCGCACACTGGAACGCGTGGGCCTTTGGGAGACGGTGAGCAAACGAGGTGGGCTCGACGGCGAACTCAACAACGTCGGGCTATCAGGCGGCCAGAAGCAGCTGTTCTCTCTCGCGCGGGCTCTTCTTGCGGTGCAAAATATAAGGGCCGAGGGTGGTATTGTACTCCTGGACGAGCCGACGAGCAGCGTGGATGGGGGGACAGAGGTGGACATACAGAGAATAGTGAGAGAGGAATTTGCGAGACATACCATCATCCTTGTGAGCCATCGCTTAGATGCGGCTAGGGATGCGGACATAGTTGTGCTCATGGAGGGTGGCAAGGTAGCCGAGGTCAGAAGAAAAGGGGAGTGAATTAATTCTGTGAGGGCGATTTAGTGCTAGACGGAGATAGAGGATAGGAAGAACCTGAAGATTATCGGATACAAAAGTCTATGACAATCCGGCGCAAAGGGCAAAGGGATCAGAGTACATACTGTTGGAGGACGGGCTACTACTACTAAGGGGGGGAGAAAGCAGAGGAAAAATCATAATTCTAGTAACTAGGACTAGCGTTAAACGGCTCTTTAATTCCGCCTACAATATCTGCTATTATCGAAGGGGCGATTGAATACTATTACTATCTAAGAACTTATAATATTTCTTTATACTTTAAGGTTTAATATCTAAAAGGCGTAGTATTGTTACGGAACTACCCGTCACCAATCGATGCTGCCCTACCGGGTACACAGGGCCACTGAGAGCCAACTGTCGAATATTAAGTCCGAATACATGGTAGAAACCAGGTATTATACCGGAAACATCGTATGACATTAGGTACCAGGCATAGCATACAAAAGTGTATATTACAGTTAGCCATCGATGTCCGCATCCATGGATAGATTATTAAAAGAGCGGGTTTTGTCATTTTAACTAGTTGGGTAGAGTTGTCAACATTGGTCATCTATACCACACATTGCTCGTACACCGGCTTTCTATCAATATGCACTACTACTAGTACTACTAGAAAGTAATACCGTATCTTTACCTTTAACTACTGCATAGTAGTGTGAGTAGAATAATTAAGCAACATACATAGTAGCCGTTAGAGTCAAGGACTGTCAAGAAAAGTTTCTAGAAGGACCTGGCTAACTCAATCAGAGGCATCGTAGAGATCAAACTAGTTGCCACGACAATAGCGTCATCGTCCCGGAAGAAATATATAGCACTCAAATCTCCGCAGACACATCCTTATTGCTAGCTTCAATAACCTGTCACATATCGCATTCTTTGAATGTCCTGGGTCTTGGATGTACATCGAAGACCAGGAACAAAGTAGGCGACTCACTAAACATGTATTCTTCACACTCGTAATAACTAGTAATAATAAGGGTATTATCCCTAGGTTTCGACAATTATCTACCATCTCACCGACAACCTCCCAATGCAAGCCCCCGCATAACCGGTGCGGGGTACAAGGATGATCCATACATGTAGTCTCATAAGTCAGAGATAAGTTCAACACCTGGGCAATAGGTAGTGTCTGGCTAATTACTACTTATCCGATCTGTCTTCCTGTCTTCATCTATTTGAAAGATAAATATCTTCTCTTGCAAGAGGTGCATGAGTATATCAATTCTTCCTCAAATCTTTGATAAGCAACTCCGGCATCAATACCCAACCATGTCCTCCTCTAAGCACGTTGTCTTTGACATCGTTGGCACCCTCGTTGCCTACAATCATGTTTTCGACGCCATCGATACCCGTCTAGGAGACCGATTGCGCGCAGAGGGAATCAAGCCCCGTCTACTGGGATATACCTGGATGGAAGCAGCCGAGCGCGAGTACACCAATCTGAGTCTTGCACAAAGCTACGTTCCCTTCGGCGAAGTCTTCCGTGCACTTTTCTACCGGATGCTCTGGATGGCCGGCATCGCTGAGCCGCGCACCTGGGCTTCAACGGAGGATCTGGAGTATATTATGGCGGAATACCAACTTCTCAAATTCCGTCCCGGGGCGGCGGAGTGCGTTCAAAAGCTGCGTGATGCCGGTTTCACTGTGTGGGCTTTTACTGCGGCAGATATCAACCGTGTTGGGGGTTACTTCAAGAACGCGGGTGTCGAGCTACCGGCAGAGAATTTGCTCTCTTGTGATGACGTCGGTGTCGGTAAGCCTGACTTGGAGGCTTATCGCCCCTTGTTGGAGAAGCTGAAGTCGGAAAATGATGGGAAGACGCCTTGGTTTGCGGCGGCACATATGTGGGATGTCTCTGCGGCAAGGAAAGCTGGGTATGTGTCTCATCCTTGAAGTCATGAGCTTCCAACGACTGGTACTGACGCTTGTATTACACAGATTCAAGGGAGCATACTGCTCTGTATGGGAGAAGGAGTCTCTGTCGGAACTCTTCGGAGAAATGGATGTTATGGATGATACTTTGCCAGGGATGGCGGATAAGATCATTGCCCACCAGGCATCATCTTGAGGTTTTACAATTAGTCTTACATACATCAATTTGAATACCGTACGTCTTATTAAACATATTAACTCCCGCGTACTTGTAAATGGAGTAAACATGACTATATCACTTAAGCCATTGTGGTATCAATATATTATATAGCCTAAGGCGGCTCCATGACAACCAATTTCAACCTCGACTCTTCTACCGATAATGTTGGTTTAGTTTCACACTTGTTTTATTATTTGCCTCTCGGTTATCGAAGAATACAAGTCAACTCCTCAGAATATCCGGTACCCCCGCATTGTTATCGCCTCCAGCGCTGTAGCGTTGTTACTTATCGGAGTGAACTGGACCGGGAAAGTTCCCGGTGGAAAAGCCGCCGGGAGAGGAGACAAGACAGTCCCCAAATGCCAATAAATACGTATGTAATAATTCTAATTCATTTAAATTTCCAAGCCGGCTAATAGTCTTGGGGTCTCCAAAATGGAAGCAAAACATACCCCAGTCCCAAATGGGATGACATCATTCTGGCGGACAGAGCCTCACTTTCTAGACAGCCATCGATCTACCGAAACTCTCCCCGGAGAGTGTGACATCGTCGTTATAGGAGGGGGATATGCAGGTGCTTCTGTCGTGCACCATATCCTCGACCAAGTTATCTCCGGGTCGAAGCCGCCTTCGATTGTGATTTTGGAGGCGCGACAGGCTTGTTCTGGTGCCACTGGTCGAAATGGTAAGATTGGAATGATCCTAAATGAGGAAGTTTGCCAATTCTTATTTCTTTTTTTTTTCTTACTATAGGAGGACACATGAAGCCTGATATTTATAATGGCATCGCTGGCTTGGCCGCTGATCATGGCGTCGAGGCTGCTGCTGAGGTTGCAGCCTTCGAGGCTAAACATGTTCCATTTCTCAAGGAGTTCATAGAAAGAGAAAATATAGACTGTGACTACTCAGTTACAAAAGCCATTGATGTTCAACTGTCTCGGAGTCATAGTGCAACACTCAAGGAAGGATACGAGGGATTGATCGAGAAGGGATGTGAAGCAACAAAAAAGGCAAAATATATCCCCGGCAATGACGCAGAGAAGGTGAGCACATAGTTTAAACCCTGAGTGCGTACATGTTAACCAACAATACCTCAGTTCTCTGGGGTCAAAGGTGCGCAGGCCTGCTTCACATATGACGCCGGTCACATTTGGCCATACAAATTCGTGCTGCACCTTTTGGAACAAGCAATTGCGCAAGGTGTAAATCTACAGACGCACACGCCGGTAACTGGGATGACACAGTCTAATACCTCGACATCGGGTTATCTCTGGACAGTGAATACTGCCCGAGGCTCCATTTCAGCCAAGAGAGTGGTTTTAGCAACAAATGCCTATACCTCGTCTTTGGCGCCTCAATATAAGGAGAAGATTGTCCATGTTAGAGGAACATGCAGTCGAATCATTGTTCCTGCAGGTACCACCGCCCCTCGCCTGACGAATACTTATACCCTGCGCTGGAACAATTGGAATTATGACTACCTCATCCCACGGGCCGATGGGAGTATAGTCGTCGGTGGTGCTCGCCCGGCTTTCATCAATGATCTGGACAGCTGGTACAATGTCAGTGATGACAGCCTAGTACTCGAGCCTGCTGTTCGGTACTGGGATAATTATATGCAGCGTAACTTTGTCGGTTGGGAGAATAGTAACGCTTACACGGACAGAGTATGGACAGGGAGTACGTTGCTCGATCTATGATACCCATACGCTGACCACCTGGCTGACTCGACTTTTTAATAGTTATGGGGTACTCGTTAGATGGGCTACCGCATGTTGGTCATGTCCCAGGGCAGAAGGATCAGTACATCATCGCTGGGTTCACGGGACATGGAATGCCACAGATCTTCCTAGCAGCTGAGGGCTTGGCAAAAATGGTACTCAAGGATGTCGATTTTGCGCAAACTGGACTCCCGAAATTGTTCGAGTCTACTCAGTCCCGGCTTGATAGTCGTCAGGACAAGATATTCGCGAGTACCCCCGGGGGTGGGAAACCGCAAGCAAGACTATGAGCAGGACTTGAGTTTTGAATGCTCAGATACTGGCTATTTGACGAGCTACATGTAGCAATATTACATGGCAGTACAGGCATAAAATAATCGGATGGAACTCGTTATTCTCTGTTGGGTGAGATAAGTACTCGCCGAGACACAAACACCACTAGTTGGCTCCAGGCATTTAGGATGCGTCCAAGACGAGGGACCCGTCTACAATTTTATCCTTAGATGTATATACATAAATGCAAAGCGATACAGCATCCCTCATTCCCGTCCTTCTAAATCTACTAAAGGGCAACAGGTAGCTCGATAAACCACAGACACGGGAGTAAACGTTGGCGGTGCCCTTTTGTACGAATTACTCTGATGGTATAAGTAGAACCTGAGGCGGGGTAGAGACATGAGAAAGGCCCCTTTCTCCTTGGAGTTCCTTGGGGTTCCTTCAAGTTCTAACCGATCCTCTAATGAGGTCGAGGTGCCTACTTCTCCCTCAACCCCTCCTGCCGATTTTGTTGGTTATTGTTTCAAGGGTAAGAGCATAAAGTGACTCATTCGAAGTACAATTTGCGAAGGCACCCTAACTAGTAATCCCAGCAGGGTGCAGCCAGGAGGTAAGATATGACTTTCCCAATACATAGTGTTACTGAAGTGAGCTAACCCAAGACAAAGGACACCTACAAGCAAGAGTGGTGGGCCCAGCTTAGGACTCTCAAAATGGAATACGAGTCAGAACCTGCCGCCTCAGCTATATCCACACCCAGCGATGATCATCAGACGCGACAAGGCTCAGGGGAGCCTAGTAACTGCTCTTTGGCGGAAGCAAGGCGCGGCTGTTTGTATCGGGATAATCTGAATGTCGAAACAGCCAGGGCAAAGATGCACCATCGCAATCGTCTTGCTGACGATGCCCAGCGAAGTTTCTGAGGTTTGGCAACATGCGCCTTGGGCCCGAGCATATAATCAAGAGAATTGAAGGAAGATCGAATTGCACCGAGTCCTTTTGCGGCGTTCTCCGATTATCACGGCTAAGGGTGATCGTTAAATTTTCCACTCTCAATTGCAAACGCCCCCAAACTTCTAGCAATACCATCCCGATTGCTAACCCGATGGGTGTCGATAACACCTCTGAATCCGTTGCTCGTGACCTTCCAAAGGCAACTTTGGAAGGTGGATTCGCTCGGAGCATAGTATCGACCCCGCTAAATCCCCTCCCAGAGCCGCGCGTTCGACTGCCTCCGCCAAGTGGTTCCAGAACTTCACCTGCAACAACAGCACACGCTGGGTCGTATCGAAAAGAAGCGCGACGTCAACTGTTGCCAACTGGAATGCACCGACATCAAGCAGAGGCGGAGGCAGGGTCAGCCTAAGCCAGGTCAGTGGTTTCCCGATCTGAGGATGAAATGGCCCAGCTGGAAATTGCGACGTGGATATGGAGGGCTGAGATATCCCTCGCAATCAGGACAATTTTTTTCTGCGTGATGCCATGTTGGTATCGCCTTTCTTCTATGGTTTGTAACTATTACCCATTGCAGCTATGTTCACTTTATCCTAAATAAATACACTACTGAACTCTGAAGATTGCAGTGAGATTAAATGCGCCTGGTCTTGGCGTCTTGGCGGATGAGTGGTGAGATACTCCGAGGTCTTATTGTGCAACCCCTTACATAACTACGATCTATTGCACATGTAGTTACACCATGCGGATGGATCCAACTACTTTTTATAAAATCATGATTTATGGATTCGAAAAATGTGCGAGTTTAACATGAAACCTCACCTTATCCGACGATCATGCAAATGCAATCGCCAATCTTGATTGCGTGCTTCACGCAATTCACTGCACAATTGCGCGATGTCCCCTCATCTTGAATATCTTGAGCTTGTAATACTTATATCATGCACGTCGCACCCGTGGCTTTTGAGCTCTTGGCAGTCTGCAACCCCCCTTATCCGAGCTATATCGCACCTGGGGGCTTTCACCCTTGAAGCTCACTATGGAAGCTGTTGGTTCATCTGACGGGCAAACTGCAACCATGGAATTTTCAAAGGAGACTCTTGATCTTGAATCCAACACGCGATTTGAATACGACCCATGGCTTCTCCATGATCATCCCCTACGATCATATCCGACTGAGTGCATTCCAGGCTTGTCGCTTTATCTTGATGAATACTATGAATCCATCGGAAAGCGAAGGGCGATTCTCTTCCGCGCCGCATGCCTTATCCTCGGATGCTTGTAAGTATTACCGCAATATCTACAACGTTGTAGTCCCTGAGCTACGCCAAGCTGACAACATTCTTTTACCAGAGCCGCATTCCAATGTCTCCGATTACTCCCAACCAATATCAAACGGATACTCCCGCCTCATGCATCCATACAACACACCCAGATTCAACCCCAGAATAGTGCGTGCACGTTCCCTACACTAGACACGCGACAAGGTGCCCTCAAGTCCTCTCTCAACGAGGGATGCGATGGACTGCGAACGGCCGTGTGGATGCACCACGGCGAGCTGCAGATTGGAAACGCCGTTACGGAAACCGATCCCGAGGACTTCCTGCAGCGACTCGGTCTCGACCCTCTTCTAGCGAAACTTGACTCTGAGAAAGATGCCACCGCCCGGGCATCTCTTAACCATGAAACACCAGGCAGCTTTCACGCTGACTTGGCGCAAACTTTCCTTTTGATGCTTGATGCCAAGACACCACTTCATGAACTGTACCCCCATCTCGTGGAACAACTGGATACTCTCCGGCAGAGGGGGTATCTCTCTCATTGGGATGGGCAGAATGTTGTTCAGCGCCCTGTGACCGTCGTGGTTACCGGCGAGGCATTCCCTGAGAGTGATTGCGTCAATCATTCTTATTCTGATATCTTCTGGTCTGCTCTACCGGAAGGACGCTTTACGACGAGTGAGCTTACGATGGATAACCTTCGACATCTATCGCCGGTGTGTATAGTATGAGTGTTGTTGACTGCTGTGATACCCAATTTGAGTTTCTTTTAATAATGTGAATGATATCGGTTTTCAATATTGTGTTTGTGCTTTGAATACACATCTGCGACTTCCCATCTACAGCAAGGAGGGTGATAAGGTGATCCACTTTGGAATCCTCTCAGCTCTCACCCTGCAGCTTCGTGTAACGTGATATCAATTCCTGGGTTAGAATAGATGTGCGATCGACCATGATGTAAGCTAATTATGTACCCATGGACTCTTTATATAGGGCAAATATACGTAAAACTACACATTATGCAAATTGATAGAATCAATGTAATTAATTATCAACGGATCCCCCCTTTATGGATCTCCCATGGGATCCCAGTCATGATCAGACATAATCCATAGAAAGGCAGGAATCCCATCTACATTTATAGTGGCGTTTCCGGTGCCCACCTTAATCCCGATATTGGTTTTATATTAACAGCTTGGTGACGAATTCGAGTGGGTGTGGATCAGTTCTATCACGGCGTTCTTCAAAGAGTTTATCGGTACGGCCTTGTTAATCTGCATCATTCTAGCTCTTAGTGATGATCAGAATTTAGTGCTAGTGTAAACTCACTAATCATTGGTTTGGTTATTACTCGTCTAAGCATGTGCTTTACCTATTAAACTAGGGCGACGAAGTCACGACTTTGGTCCCCGGCTTACCACTATTGTCATTTAGTTCTATAGGCCTTGGAGTAGAGCTCAAAGTGGTGGGTTTAAAGGGTTGCCTATATGGGTTCTTCGTCTTCACTAGTGGTGAATTCCCCCAACTACCCGCTTGAGCGCACCCAGCGCGCCATGGCTAAGAGTGGAGATCGACTGCAATTGAAGTAAGTGGTTCCACGGTCAAGTGTTGAATATTGTGTTTCCTATAACATTTGAGGGTCTTTGATTGGTTTTTTGCATTATCTTTGCATTATGTTTGCATTTGATTACCTCGGTATATAAAGATATATTAGGACAAGTGTCCGGTTGAAGATAGTAAGAGGCTAAAATTGAAGTATACCCAAAGCCTAGTATAATAGGATACTTTTTTCCTTCCTGCCCAAACAAGGTCATCCTAGCATATTTCCTGCATATGCAAGTTTCCAAATGGGCGTAGCACACATCCCGACACACAAGGAACAGGTAATACAAGACACAAACTCCATGATTTGGAGAAGCATGTGGGTTGGGCATGAATCTGAATGAAAAAAAAAAAGAGAAGATATTTTTAAAATGAAGATATGTAACTGTTGTAATTATTTTTATAATATTCGATATCTAAATGTATCAACACAATCTATATACAATGTACAACATATACATTTACAATGTAAAATGTACATCCCCGCATGCATAGCTTTTTTTTAAAAAAGGTCTTGGCTCCGCTAACACCGTCATCGCTTCACCGTTTTTTTCTTTCCCCCCAACTTTAGGAAGAAATTTTCTGTAAAAGGGGAATTCATTTAAATTGATTGTTGACGGATTACACATTTCCACCTAAACGCCCTATTTCTGCACGTTCCCATTGTGCTATCATCCGAGTTGCGCGATCAACCGCTGATCCTGCAGCTCTGGCCCATTTCCATTTTCTCTTTTCTTCTGCGTTTCACTGTTCCACCGCCATTCTGCTCTCTAACCTTTTTCTTTCCTCTATCTTACTCTTACTACTCAAACACGGTTTTGGCCATGGAATACCGACGACTACAACATTCATACCCTCCACGGCCCTCGCCTTTAGGAGCCTCGCAAGAACCTCGCGATCCACAGTTCGCCACGCCTTTTACCGAGTCTCGTCAAGAGGCTGACAAGCCTCGCCCATACCCTTCTCCCTCTTCAAATACCACACCCTCTCCGTCACAGCTCTACCAGTCAACCGCTTCACGGACATTGAATACTTCTGGTGGAGATACTTCCAGCGCATACTTTCCGAGGAATGACCCAACACAAACACACCGTCGGCATGGGAGTCTTGAGACGAGGAATCATGAACAAACCCATCGCAGGAATAATTCGCAACCTCAGGCTGTTCGATATCGTGAAGGTAGGCAATCTCTCTAGGGTTTTTTTTTTGTTTATTTTCGCCTGCCCAGATGGTTCCGATGCCCCAGATTGAGGATTCCAAGGATCGGACTTGTGCCGTGGTTGGCCTCCACTTTGTCACCTTGTTCCAGTCCGCTTTTTGGGGTATGCGCGACCGGAGGAATGGGGTTCTGTAGCCATCAAATTCAGGTCAAATCTATGTGACTACATCCAATCCCATTCTCCAAACTTCCCCTCTCTTCTCTTGCCCCAACACACTGCCGCCCCCTGATGGATTTTCCCCGGTGGCGCAGATCGACTGGACGACAGCTCGGGAGCGCTAGTCCAGGTCGGGCCTAGCGTGTCCAGAGGAGCCCCTGCCCTTTTGGGACTAGCGTGTGAGCTTCTGGAGTCACGGGTTCTCTCCGATCTGGCCCTTGCTTTCCCTTTTGAACTGTTGCTCACTCGTTCTCAGGGCTCTTAGGTGCTTCCGTTATGAATCATATGCCATCACAACACGAAACAGCACGTCGTACTTCCCAGGGCAGCAGTGCGAGTCCCGGATTTCCTGGTGAGCATCCGACTTAGCCCCGAGAGCCCCGTGCAACCGTCCTTGTCGCGATACGTGGATTTCGTTACTCACCCGATCGGGGCATGCGCGGTTATCTTGGAATCCCCTCGCTGTAAAGAAAAAAGAAAAAAAGCATAGCTTATGCTAACTTGAACCCGTCTGATAGGTCCGAACGAACAGTCCGCGCCACCCGCGTTTGGAAATCGCCAAATGCCACCACCATCCCCTCCACACACATATTCCTCGCGAGCACAATCAACCCACACGCCTGGGGGATCCTTGATGCCGCGCGATGTACCTGGCGCTCAGGCGTACCGACCGGGGAGTAGCATGTCGATATCCGCTATGTTAGGTTCGGACGCGGATCGGGCTGCGCGAGATCCTGCACGAGAATCAGCGCCGTTCTTTTCGCGACCACCTGCATCGTCGATGTTTGGAAATGCACCCCCATCATCGTCTTCCGCCGCCATGTCCCCACCCACCGCCCCGGCAAGACCTTCACCACTCGATAACTCCTTCTTCCGTCGTTCGCACACACCGGAGAAGTCATTCTCCAAGCCTCAAGGGCCCCGTACATACCGGTCTGGGTCCGGTGGCGGTTCGAGTCAGGGTGGAGAGCAGTCGGTGTTTGGGGGCTTGACGCGCTCGTCGCTCTCACAGTATCCTGAGAAGCCACACTCGACGCACCCTTCGCCTCGAATCTCCACGGCAGAGCCACCGTACACCGAACCTCGTCGCATGAGTCTCAACGGTCCAATCACTCGACCTAGTAGTCAGCCGCCCCATGCTGACGCACCCACACGACCCCCCGGATACAGTCCGATCTCCCAGCCCGGCGGGGTCGCAGATCGCTCTTTCGAGACCGGCCCTCGGCCTGCAGCTGGTTCGTACGGAAGCCATGATCCACAGCATGGTCGGTTTGCAAACATATTTGGCGAGCGGCACTCAGAGGATCCTGCACAGCGGGAGCGAGACCGAGCTCCAACCCACGGATCAGATGCCAAGTTGAACCAGCCTGGATCATATCAGTATGGCTCCCACTATGGTGAACGCGACCCGCTTGATCGGCACCAGAGTAGCTCTACATGGGACCACGGTCGCTCTCACCCTCCATCACCAGAAAGTAAGCGCTTCCCTGCGCCGGAGCACGGGTCGGGTTTCGGGTTTGGGGCCATTCAGAGCTACACTAAATCACTAGGGTCGCAACCGGGTGGGAATAGACAACCTCAGATCTCTCTTCAGTCTCGGAGCAGTCAACCCACTCCTCCCCCGCCCCATGATCCATATCTTAGACACCAAGGGCAGCCTTCACGGATAGGATCAACCCCTGCCATCACCGCATCGACAGCTGCCGCGTCATCGGGTCTAGCAGCCCTGGCTGATGAGGGTAACCGCAAAGGAAGCGATGAGCTGCTCCATCATCGCAGTCTGCTGACCGTTGGTGTTGATGGGAAACGCGGTGGCCGTGCATCGCCGCTTCCCCAAGCTGTACAAGGCGCCCAAGCTCCATACATTGGTCCTGCTAGTGAGCCAGCGATCAAAAATGAACTAGGGCGAGTATTCTCCGGTATTGGCAGCGGTGTTGGTGGTGTCACCGCGGCTACTGGTGGCAGCGGACCATCAACACCGTTGGGGACTAGTCCTTTCAAGCGCGATAGCCTCACAGGTCGCTCGATGAACGGAGAAGGGACGGATGAGGCGTCTAAGCTTGCCCGACCATCTTCTGCAGCCGGCAGACGGTCGAGAAAGACGCGCGACGAGGAGCAGATGGAAATTGAGGCCAATGACGCCCGAGGCTTACTATCCGCACGTAACGCCCGTCGCTCTCGGCATTCCCACCACCATCACCATCAGTACGGTCTACCCAATCAGATACCCTTGATTATCATCCACATACTAACATTTCCTCTAGCCACCACCACCACCGTCGCCACAAGGCAGACGAAGAGGCGGTTACCCTGAGCTCCCTTCAACGTCCCACCTTCTTCCATCGAACATCCCCAGCGGAGCCTCCTGCCACACACCATCACCACCAACATCACCATCACCATCATCACCATGCTCCTCGACCAGCCACCATTCCGGCTGCCTCTCCTATCCGCGAGCCTCGTACTACCGTGAACCTGGAGCCGTTGCTTTCGAGTGTGGCCCATCTTCCTCGGCACCACCTTGGCTCAACGCTTTACACACCTCGCATCAGTTCTCCCACTGCCAAGTCCTCTTTGGACAGCTCCAAGTTTGGATATACAACAACCCCACAGCCGCTTCCCCGCTTCGAACAGCGGGAGAATTGCACATTTACCGTCCGAGTGCCCCGCTTCCGAATCAACCAATCTCACCGAGAGGAAATTTGCGCCCGGCGCGCCCTCTGGGGTACCGGCGTTTATACGGACGATTCCGACCCTGTCGCCGCTGCCATCCACTCCGGCTTCATTCGCGGTGCGTGGGGTGACGACGTGGACGAGTCAATGCTCGATCTCGAGATTAAAGATACCTACCAGCATGCACCGCCACCCGAAGCCACTGATGGCGACTCCACGCCTAAGGGCCCACGCCTACCACCGATCCCCCCCCACCGACAAGGACTTGCACATCACCCTGCTCGTTCTTCCCCGCGTGGCGCAGTATGACAGCACTCTCATGTTCGGGCTGAAGTCCCGCAAATGGGCCGGTCAGCACGACGGCATGAGCTTCAAGGTCCATGCCGTGGACTGGGTGGACGAGGGCGTTGCTCGTGGTGAAGAGCGCAGCGGCGAGGCCCGTCGGAAACGTCTCCGTACGCTTATGCAAACCGGTCGCATCTGCACGGGGCCTGCCATGGCTAAGATCGATGAACTACGTCGCGGTGGGGTACAGGTACCTCGACCTATCGATGGCCAGGATCAACCGGCAGCTGTGCAGCCAGTCTCCTGATGGCCTATCTGGGCTTGATCTACCTTGAAGGTGTCTATGATTTTTTGACTTGTTTTTAATTCCTTTTCCCCGTGCTCGATGTACTCTGGGATATTCCCAAGTTGGATTTTTTCTTGTCAATTATATTTTTTTTTTTTTTTTGGTTGAAATTTGTTTTGTTTTATTGGCCGGGTCAACGGGATCGGATGAAAGGGAGATTTTCGATTTATTTTTCCCATCTATACATAATCTAGCGCTTTTTTATCTTTCTTCCCTTATTACTCTGTAACTATGTACATCGAGACCGTCCATGATCCCGTATATTGTATGTGTATATTGACGCTAGAAGCTCTCCCCGCATTGTGATCGCCCGGAGAACCGGAGTATTGAAGTTTGAGGTTTGGGGTTTTGTATATTTTGTAGATTGTGTCTTATGGTTTCATATGCTTCATACAGTCATACTCCCTTCTCAAAAGAAAATAATAACACATGTGTATTATATATTCACATTCTACTATTCTCATATTCTCAGGTGATATCCACCGCTCTTCCTTTTCTTCCTTGTGACTGAAGATCAACGAGGAAATGGACCGAGGCTCCTCGGTGGAGCATTGTATTGGTATTTCCGTATTATATCTCAGTGGCTTATAAGCCGAGTTGAGATATAGCCAACACCAACACCAGCCAACACAATAAGAAAAAACATTAAACATCAAACAATTACTCATTAGATCTTCAATCTTCTCATCTCCTCATCTCCTCATTCTCTCACTCTTTTCCCGTGGGAAAAACAACTCGGTCGGGACTAAGAGACAGACCTTCCACTGGCCCCCCCCCGGTACCGCGTTTTACCGGCTTCCCCGCCAGCCGAGGCTTTCTGTATCGAGCGTCATTCGGCCAACTCTTCTTATTTTCCCTTTAAGCTTCACCTTCACGTTCACTTCTCTTTATACCCAACGATTTTATTTTTCATTTAACCAGAGGGATGTTCACTGCTTCTGCCCGAAGCCGTTTTTCTACCCTGTCAAGGCAACGCCTTCCTCCAAGCTCTCTCCTCACCCGCTCAGTAAGTCCTCTCGTAATGACAGATGTGGATTGCTGTGGATTGCTGTGAAATCTCCTGGAATCAATCCATTGACTCGCATATAGACTCTCACAATGGCCCCCCGACGAACGGTATCTTCCGTCCCTGAGGGTGAGTAACACATGCGTCCGGCGCAACGCGGGCTATCCCTTAGCCCATCTACACCCAAATACGAATCAAACTCGCTAACAGAAGAACAGGATACACGGAGGACCTCTCCAAGGGCAAAATGCTTCGTTTCGAAGAATCTCTCCCCAAACTTCCCGTTCCCTCTCTAGAAGAGACCAGCCGTCGGTACCTCAAGTCCGTCCACGCCGTCGTCTCCGAGTCCGAGTATGAGCGCACCAAGAGTGCCGTAGAGGAGTTCGTCCGCCCCGGTGGTCAGGGTGAGTCTCTACAGAAGCGTCTCTTGGCTCGCGCCGCCGACCCTAAGATCAAGAACTGGCTCGCCGAGTGGTGGAACCAGGCCGCCTACCTCACCTACCGCGACCCCGTTATCCCTTACGTCTCCTACTTCTACTCCTACCGGGACGACCGTGAGCGTCGCAACCCCGCCAAGCGCGCTGCTGCCATTACCACTGCTGCGCTCGAGTTCAAGGCCAAGGTCGATGATGGCTCTTTGGAGCCCGAGTACCTCCGCAAGGAACCTCAGGCCATGAGCTCGTACGAGTACATGTTCAACTGCTGCCGTATCCCCGCCGAGGGCTCGGATTTCCCTCGCAAATATCCCGCTGCTGAGAACCAGCACATCGTTGTGGTCCGCAAGAACCAGTTCTTCAAGGTCCCACTCGTCGTGGATGGTCAGCAGCTCAATGTCTCTGAGTTGGAGAAGCAGTTCGAGCGCATTTACAAGGTCGCACAGCCTGCGCCACCCGTTGGTGTACTGACTGTTGCCGACCGTGATCACTGGACTGCTGCTCGCAAGACTCTCGTTTCTCTTGACCCTGCCAATGAGCTGGCCTTGCAGGAGATTGAGTCCGCTGGTTTCGTGATCTGCTTGGACGATGCCCGCCCTGTCACTCTGGCTGAGCGCTGCTCGCAGTACTGGCACGGTGATGGCTCCAACCGCTGGTTCGACAAGCCTCTGCAGTTCATTATTAACGACAATGGTACCGCTGGTTTCACCGGCGAGCACAGTATGATGGACGGCACTCCCACCCACCGCCTGAACGACTATATCAACAATGTCATCTTCAACAAGAAAATCGACCTCTCTGCTCAGACCGTGCGCTCCCAGCTCGCCGACCCTAAGCCTATCAACTTCAAACTGGACGATGCCGCCAATGAGGCCATCGACGTCGCAGCCGTGTACCACCGCAAGCAGATCGGCTCTCACGAACTGGTCGTCCAGGCCTACCAGGGCTACGGCAAGGGTCTGATCAAGAAGTTCAAGTGCAGCCCCGACGCCTTCGTTCAGATGACCATCCAACTGGCCTACTTCAAGATGTACGGCAAGAACCGTCCCACGTACGAGTCTGCCTCCACCCGCAAGTACGCCGAAGGCCGCACAGAGACAACCCGCTCCGTCTCCGACGAGAGCGTCGCCTTCTGCAAGGCTCACGAGGACCACACCACCCCCCGCGAGGAGACCGTCAAGCTCTTCCGCGCTGCCCTCGCCCAGCACACTAAGTACACCCAGGAGGCTAGCTCCGGTCACGGTGTCGACCGTCACCTGTTTGGTCTGAAGAAGCTTCTCCAGCCCGGTGAGAAGCTGCCCGAGATCTACCAGGATCCCGCCTACGCCTACTCTTCCTCTTGGTACCTCTCCACCTCCCAGCTGAGCTCCGAGTTCTTCAACGGATACGGGTGGAGTCAAGTGATTGATGATGGTTTCGGAATTGCCTACATGATCAACGAGAACAGGTAAGCATCAAGCATCCCCCCACCTTCTTTTCCATTTATGCATATCACTAACTAATCGTTTCCAGCCTCAACTTCAACATTGTCTGCAAGCGTCTTGGTGCTGAGCGCATGAGTCACTACCTCAATGAGGCTGCCACTGATCTACGTGACCTCCTCATGCCCGACCTGATTGCCCAGGCCGCGAAGCCGAAGCTGTAGATGTGTCTTGCATATACCCGGTTTTTGTTACTTTTGGTGCTTTTGGATTTTTGTTTCCTTACTCCAGCGCCCCTGATAGATGAATATATCTTTGTTTTTCCAACTTGGAATGTCTTGCATCTGCACTTGTTATTGTACACAATCTGGTTCATCTCTAGCTTTACGTTCTTGTTTGAATAGAATGAATTGAATCGACGAATGTGTCTATTCATACTTCTTATATACTGTCCCCAATTGTAGATATTCAAACTCCAGTTCTATAGTCCTACAAAACAATCTCGGTGATATGATCACAGAATGACACTATAATCTACTCACGGCTACTAGAGATCAAACCCGCCCCCTTGCCCATCTCAATCTCAACTCAGTCTACTCCCCTCAATAAAGATAGATACATATTGATTGAGCAATATGGTACACAGAGAAATACCCCTAGGCTCTCTCCCTGCTATCGCACATGTCCATGCCTATACAAATACAGAGACACCCACAGACAAAGACAAAGTTACAAATACAAACATACCAGTCTCGATGTCATGAGATACCTTCACACCTACACATCACAAACCCCCCATCTCCTCTATTGTACGACGGTATATCCGCCGGTCCGCGCGGCTCCTCAACTCCCAAGACCCCATCCTCTTCCAATATATAATGGCCAAGCTTACGGTGGACCCACGCCCGCCTGTTCGTGGTCCGTCTGCTGAACATGACCGCGAGGTTCATACCTGTCGTATGGTGAGGGATGTTTGGGGAGATCGGATTGATGGTGTTGCTGCCACCGAGGGCGCTTGTGGGATTCTTCTTTGTGACTTTGAGAGTGATTTTGAAGTTGTGGGTATCACGCAGACGGAGCAGGGTGCTCTGGGAGGGAGGGGAAGGAGAGGAAGGATGGTGGTCGCGGTTCGTTGCACGGTATGATCTGTTACTTGGATGGAAGGTCCGGTTGGATTTCGATCCCTTCGTCTCGGTGTTTTGGTACGGACTTGATCTTGTTCCTGCTTGTTCGGGGATTCGGTTGGATCGTATTCCCAGTGAGTAGTTGGAGTTTGAAGGCTGTTCAGAGGAGTCTTAATGGCATGGTTAATAACTTTGGAACCGGTTGAGCTTGAGCATCCTTTTGATTGGCACGCTGTTGCTGATATGATTGCTTTCAGGTGCTCTTATGAACTGTGGACTCTGGCGGCAGGCAATTTCTCTGTTAATACTCTTCGGGAGTGATTGAAGGGGTACTTAGGGTCTTTTATTGATCATAGGGACTTTGGGGCAGGGGGTGGGGGGAACATTGTTGGGTTGTGTCGGAATGAGCTTATTGCCCCTGTCGAGTCTCGGTGATCTGTGAGACTTTGACATCGGGGTTGTCTGAAGAAGGATCTATGATTTAGACTTGGGTAGAACGTGAGAAAATGCTATCTAGATATCGAGAGTCCCTCGTTGATATGGCGAAGCCTATCTGGGAAGACAGTGTAGTCTAGATGTATCTTACATAGATTCAACGCTTGTGAGTGTTTATCTACAGTGCAGAGAATGAAGTCAACACGTGTCGTCATGGATTTCTACATTAATTTCATGGTTCCCATATTGAGACCTCGACACCTCCAATGGGAGGTTTTGCTAGTAACAGCAACAGGCCATTCATCCTGCATGCATACAGATCACACTGCAGCTTTGACAAAAAGCGCATAAAGTCAAATTTGCACATCCCCACAAAAGAAATGGAAAAAGCACCTTCTGTCCTGAGAAAAAAAAAGAAAAAAGAAAAAAACGGGATATCAGTCAGAACCCAGAAGATCGATCCTTCACGAAAACCCAGCCGCCAAGATTGCAAAATCGCGCAACGTCCAATGCCTAGGAGGTTGAGGGTTTTTCGGTGGTTATTCTCTGTCATCGTATTGCATAGGGTATTGAACATAGTATTGGGCTGACATCCGGGGTATCGCCTGTATCAATCATATCGCCGTGTGGGGGTCGGGCTAAAACTCGTGCTAAATGCGCTCTTTCAGTCCTTGCCGTCTCGCGCTGAACCCACGGCAGGCGGGTCCGCGGTTTCGGTCCCCGCTTGCCCCGATACAATGCCTGAAGTAGTTGTTGCAGACGACGCACTCTGGGAAGTCGTTAGACCACCGATTTGTCTCTCTGTGGAGGGGAAAATTAGTATATGCGCTTAAACCGATGAACCCACATCTCGGGGTGGGGTTACTCTGTAGAATTAGGCTAAAAACGCTAACCCGGGATTTTCTTACCTAGTTCCCGGATTCGCTGCCGAAGGAGCACGTTTTCTCGGGCTAGTGAGCTCGCTTCGGCTTGATAAAAGGCACTCTCGTCCCGGCTCCCGCGCCGAGATGGACTATCCCGCAACCCCGGGAATGGCTCCACGCCCTCCGGTCCACGTGAGTCTAGCGGCCGCAGGTTCGGCGACGTCGCTTGACTTGAAGGTCGCGAGTTTCGGCGGTTTGAGAATGAAGAAGAGATCGATAATCTGTTCCCGGCTGGAGGTGCTGCGGGGCCGGGGGGAAGAAAGCCGACCGTTCCGATGCCGGGGTCGTGTCGTCGATTGCAGCGGTTGATTGCGGGTAATTTTGCTGCTGGTATTGATGCAATTGGGCCTGCTGGCTGCGGATCATCTGAAGAAGACGGTTCTACATTCCATCATGGTTACCTGGTTAGCTTACTACAATCTGGCGTCCGAGGATATAAAGATCAACCCACCACTTGTGCTTCCTGTTCTTGCTCCAGCTCTTGGTGTAGCTCCCCCAACGATGGTGCGCGCTGATGGTGGGGATCTGCTGTTGCGAAGATCGGGCTCCCACCGTGGCTGGATGGGCTGGCTGTGCGGAATGCATATCCGATCGAGCTGCGATGATCGCGGTGGTCTGATGCAGGTAACTCGCTGCTAGTTCCTGGACTAGTGCCCTGCATTTCGTTCGGGTTCAGATTCATACCGGCAGCGGACCGACGTCGCTCAGATACCGACAGTTGACCTATGCTTGAGCCACGGGAGGGCCTTGGTGAAGCGGTGTTCGGGTTCACGGGGGCCGGTCCAGTTCCAGGAGCGGGCATATTACGTCGCGGAATCGATGAGGAGGTTGAAGATGAGCGGGATGGAGGAAGGGAATTCAGGTCCGGTGACATCTTCAAGCAATAGCTGTGTAGGGGATGAAGAATATGTATGATTGCACAAGCTCTAATCTGTAGGTAACGTCAGAGATCCCGCCCGTGATGATCTGATGACTCAGCCTCTTGTTTCGCGGGGATTGTCACGTGATATATATAAAAGCCGTTTGTGGAAAGTGGTGCCTGAGGCTGGCAAGCCTCGAAATGTCGAATGCTCTAGAGGCTCATAGACTGTCGGATTCTCTCTCTCCTTACACCCCGAACATGTACAACTCGGATTCTTTTCTCTCGGGGCTTATAGGATTCTTCCGGAACCTAGGCCAGGCCAGGCCAGGCGTCCACGAATAAGAGGTCGAGCCACAGCAGATCATATCATGGCCCCTGGTTGCGCGCAAGCCAAGAAGGGAATCCGCCGGTTTCTCCGAGTGGCGCTCAAATTTACAAATTTCTTAAAAGAACCATGCTATAGAAGTTTACATGGACACGAATGCCGGCTGTAGGATCGCCGCAAAGATCATCAAAGCATCGCGTGGCGCTCTAGATACGATTTTGTCGATCCGAGCAATGTGATTTGCCATGCAGGAATGTATCAAAGTCCGGGTTGGGACGTGCGATGCTGTAGTTGTTTCCGGACGTATATTCCCCCTTGGGCGCTCAAGGGGCGCCCAAGGGCGATATGACTAGGAAAACCTTCTTTTTGGTCTTTTACCCCAGTGGGCAATGGCGGGTGAAGGTCAATAATCCTGGGGAAATGTAACAGTGGAAGGGTTGCCCTGCAAGGGATTCCGATCCAGCGTGTGGTTATGTGCGTGTGGTTGAGTACGTAATTGACAGCCTTCCACACAGTGTTCTGGAACGCAAAGCCGGGGAAGACCGAAGGATAGGTTTTTTTTTAAAAAAAAAAAAAAAAAAAACAGAATTGGATAATCAGGCCAGCATAGGAGAGGAAAAAAAGAAAGAAAAAAAAGAAGAAAAGAAAAATACCAGGCAATTCTTACATGTAGTTGATCACGAGGGAGGAGTAGTCGAGTCAGAACAAGAGTTATGGCCCCAGCCCTGATGGCGATCAACGCCACGGCCGTAATATGGACCATATGTTCTGGTGCGCTTTAGCCGTACCTGCCCTGACCTGACGTCACATACAGTGAAGGCAAGTAATGGGCGACTTGGCAATATCTTGTTTTAACACTACGAAGCAATTGATTTTTTTTTTTTTTTTTTCTTCTCAGCCCCTTTTATCATTATCATAGACTTTGCTATGGAGTCCCACGTAGAATGTCCATCACATATGGGGAACCATGCGGTCGGGCACGGTCGGCAATAACCCCGGCTCCTTGCTTCGCGGGGCATATGGGGTTTGATACGATCTGTAATCTTGATGTAGACTTGATGTTGCATGGAGAAAAATCGAAACTCGAAACGGACATTCCCTCGGCCCAGAGCGGTAACGGGGAAGTTGGCTGGAGATGTACTGTCGTTTTCTCCAAGGTGGGTCCGATTACCCCAATGCGAGCTTCCTGTTCCGGCTGTTTAGCCCTGGGAAGTACCAGAGAGAACTGAATCAAATTCTCACCCATAGACGTAGGTTTTAGGCAATGAAATAAGAATGGAACTGTATATCCAAAGGTTCCAAAGGGGTCAAAAGGGGTCAAAAAGGGTTAAAAGAGGCAAAGGAGGCAATAGTCTGGAGAGAGTCCGGAGAGAAGTCTGGAGAAAAAGAAAAAGTGGGGACATTCGGCATCCCGTCTGGAAGTGTAAAAGTTAAGTAAAGTACCTGGTACATCATGTATTTTGTAATAAATTAGGAATTAATCTCACTGGTCGATCACAAGAAACGTGGAAATTGACATACTGGAACTCTGTACTAGGATTGTAATGGAAATGTACTGACATGGTGAGCCTTGGAAACATTGGCTCTTACCTGCATTTGGCTCTTGCCTTTTTTTTTCTCCCCGTTTCTGTATTTAAATTCCTCCAGTTTCCTCTTTTTTTCCCTCTTTACTTTTATCTCTCTCTTTATCTCCATTGATCTTCTGTAGACTTCTTGCGTCCTCATTTCCTGGGGGTTTTTTTTGCAACTATCACTGGTCTTCCATACCAGTTTATACTATACTATCACCTCGGCATCACAGGTTATAACCATGGCGATCAGTCCCGAGAAACCCGGGAGGGATACTGTGCAGGCAGCAGAAGCTGCGCACGCCCAAGCAGTTGTCAATGCCGCTACTGAAAAGTTAGAAGAAGAGGATCAGCTCGAGGAGACCTCGCCTACACCTGATGAGGTAATCGAGCTCACCGAGGACATGTGCTATGATCAACTGGGATACTCGTTCAGTGAAAAGAAGAAGTGGACCATTATCACTACAATCTTCCTCGTGCAAACATCGATGAACTTCAATACATCGCTTTATTCGAACGCCGCCGCAGGAATTTCAGAGGAGTTCAATGTTTCCATGCAGGCAGCACGCTGTGGTGCCATGATCTTCTTGGTTCTCTATGCTTTCGGTTGTGAACTCTGGGCACCATGGAGTGAGGAGCTGGGTCGCAAGCCCATCCTCCAGGCCTCTCTGTTCCTTGTCAACATCTTCCAGCTCCCCGTGGCTCTGGCCCCCAACTTTGCCTCCATCATGGTCGGTCGTGCCCTCGGTGGTCTCTCTACCGCGGGTGGCTCTGTCACCCTGGGAATGATTGCCGATATGTGGGAACCCGATTGCCAACAATACGCCGTGGCTGCTGTTGTGTTCTCATCAGTTGGCGGATCTGTGCTGGGTCCGGTGGTTGGTGGCTTCGTCGAAGCTTTCCTGCCGTGGCGGTGGAATATCTGGATTCAGTTGATCTTCGGTGGTTTCGTGCAAATTGCCCACTACCTGTTGGTCCCAGAAACCAGAACTACCGTGATGATGGATCGGATTGCCAAGAATATGCGCAAGTCTGGCGAAAACCCCAACATCTATGGTCCCACAGAGGGCATGTCGTTCCGCCAGCGTTTCCCACCTCGTGAGCTTATGGCTACCTGGATTCGTCCCTTCAAGATGTTCCTGACTGAGCCCATTGTGTTGGTGCTTTCTCTGTTGAGTGGTTTCAGTGATGCCCTTATTTTCATGTTCATCCAGTCGCTTTCCCTTGTATACTCCCAGTGGGGCTTCAACACCTGGGAGAAGGGTCTGGCCTTCATCCCGATTGTGATTGGTTACTTCATCGCTTGGTTCTCTTTCTTCCCGGTCATCAAACGCAATATCAAAGAGCGCCGGGACAATCCGGAGAGCGAACGGGCACAGTACGAGTCCCGCCTGTGGTGGCTGCTGTATACTGCTCCCTGTCTACCAATTGGTTTGATCGGATTCGCCTGGACCAGTCTGCCCCAATGCCACTGGATTGGATCTATGATCTTTGCTGCCATCATTGGTATTGCCAATTATGCTATTTACATGGCCACGGTTGACTACATGATCTGCGCCTACGGACCATACTCTGCGTCTGCGACCGGTGGCAATGGGTGGTCGCGAGACTTCCTTGCCGGTGTTCTCACTATTCCGGCCACGCCGTTCTTCACGAGTAAGTTGTCATTTACAATAAATCTCGCATTGTTATAATACTGACAGATTTCGACAGATATCGGTGGCAAATATCATCTCGAATACGCCTCGACCATTCTCTGTATGTCTATCCTGCCCTATCTCCCTCCATGAGCCATTGGTCTAACGGTCGGTCTAGTCTGTATCTCCTTGCCGCTCGTCATTGCGGTCTATGTCATTTACTGGAAGGGCCCAGAATTGCGCAAGCGTTCTCCATTCGCCCAGCAGCTGGAGGATGCTCGCCACCAAATGCAGATCCAGAGCCGGCGCGGATCCAAGATCCCCCCGGCATCTCGCGCCAGTTCGTATGCGCGCTCCCAGCAAGACCTCCGCATCCGCCCAACGATCGGCAGCCGAGGCAACTCCCGCGTCAATTCGCAAGTAAATTCCCGCGTCAATTCACGCCGCAACAGCATCAACCTCAATCCTTAATCGCTGTTCTTTGTTGTATTTTTGCTGTGAATACTCATATCCAGTGGGGGTAGTGGTGGGACTGGAGTCACTGTCATGGGAATCTATGAGCATTTTCACATTTTTTTCTGTGTGCATGTTTACGTCGGCGTCAATCCTACGCTGTGCGTAGCTGGCTCTAATTATTCCACCTGACGCTCGGTGGATATCCCACTCCCGGTCTGTGGCTTTTTGACCCTGTGTACTTTGAGTACGAGGAGAACGGAACTAGAAGAGGAACGGGACGAACAGGCGCTGGTTTAAAAAAATAATTGTCTTTTGTTTTTCTGCGCTTCCTTTTGACTTGAAAGACAAGATTTGCGATCTGGGCGGTTGTCATGTATGCTAGGGGTTTTCGCGATTGAGCGGTACCAATTATGAATTATACCATTATTATTGACTGAGCAGATTGCTTTGTGGTTATCATTATATGAGTATACAATGTAGTAACGGTGTACATGTGTAAATATTTAAGTTCTTTCGGACAAGTAATGGCTGGAAGATATTGCCTAGGCAGTACGAGAACTCCGAGTATATCGAGTTCGATCTAGCAGTACATTAGTACGATCTAGTAATCCACTGATTACATTAGTACAACATTAGGTTTTTGATCGGACCCGACACTAAGGATACGGCAGAGACGATGTGGCATTCTTGCCGGAGGTCTGGGTTGATCCATGTCCGGTTCCGGCCATGACTAGATATAGTCAATGAAGCCTGGATCTCTGATCCAAGAGAAAGAAACCGCTTTTAGTATGGCCTACGAAATCACTAGACTCTCAAGCTTAGGTCACATCGAAGGCTTGTGGCGTTGTGGTTTCTCGAAACACCCGGGGCCAGACAACTCCGGACTGAGTTGAACGAGTGTTAAATGTTAAATGTAGCTTCATATCACTCTATTACTTCCAGGGTTACCAATGTTGTCATGTTACATACGGGTTTCTTCCGAATGAGACCTTTCCATATGTACATGCATGTATTTCCTGTATATATCGGATAATGGCTGGCACCGGGGACTTTTCCCTTTCCATTTTAGTGCTCACCCTCTTGCTGCTTTTACATGATAACTTAAACTTAACGACTAAGCAAACTTAACGACTAAGGCTAAGACATAGGATTTAACGGTGTCGACTAGAACGATGCATTCCCTGGCGGGGAAATAATAGCACTAGCCAGGATCATGCGAGTAAGTGGTAACAACGACGCGACATCCACCTTTCCCGCGTGAGCTTCCTGCAAAACATTCCCCAGTGTCCGAAGAGTCGCTCCACCACCATCTCTAGGAGGCTTGGATGAAATCGGACATCCTAATGTTTGTACACGCGCAAGCATCCACTCTTCGGCACTGCATGCCCGCCACATTTGTTCCGGGGCAGGAAGTGGAAGTCTGAGAATCATATTGTCGTTCAATGGCTCAAAGTAGTTCTCGTTTAACTTTTTTGTCTTCGACTCCAGGATGTTGATTATATGAACGAAGAAGACGTTCCGACGAAGGGATTCCATGAATTTCCATTGGTTCCAATCGTTTTCATCGTCGTGGTGGATTTGAAGGCCATTTGAATGGATAGTCGATAGTCGTCGGGTCATCTTCATGTTGGTGAGTAAATCAGGTAGACAAGGTTGAATAAGTGTGGCTCACCTTCAACAAAAATGAGCTATAGAGTTCGGCAGATCTCTCAAACTCCTGCCGTGGCTCCTCGCTTGGATTGCTAAACATTGGCTTCTTAACAGCAGCTGGTAAGAAGCTGTCACCGAAGAGTCCTAGAATCTGATAAATGCATACAGCATGCATAGCAGCCAGGCAGAACTCCGGAGTAGCGGTATAACCGTGGAAATTCCGCACAAGCTTTTCCCGCTCTCCAGATATCATACGATCGACAAAACCAGAACCTGAGCCTGCTGTGCTTGCATAGGCACCTACACACGCCAAGGCATCTGCCATTGGTGGTGCCATCCTGCCCAAAGAACAACGGTATAATGTGTGGTGGACGAAGGGGGACCAGAAGTCTCGGTCGAGAATGAGACTGGGATATTCCCGCAGATGCTTGAGTATCTCCTGACACAGATTGTTTGGATCAGTCCGGATTTGACGTCCCAGACCGACCGTGAATGTGTGCCCGAAGATGAGGTGGGAGGGGCTATAAAGCCTATTATCCAGGTTTAGGGACATTAAACGCTCGTCTTCATTGGAACTATTGGGCCATACTCTTTCTGAAGAAGTGGAATGCGATTGACTGCTCGCTGCGGATGGACTTGATTTATTTTTGGTGTGTTGGATGGGATCGAGATGTTTTGGAATAGATTGGTCGGAAGTTGAAGTAAACCCGGTCGGGAGAGATTGAATTGTTTCGAGCTCTAGAAGTTGTGTTATATCTCCATCCCATGGCAGAGAGCTCCCAGTCTCATTTGGATAAGACCAAAGGTCATCTGCTATTGTATCCTCTGTAAATTGCATATTCTCCAAATCGAATGGTGGCCATGTGTCAGGTAATGGAGCGTTAAGGTCCAGAGAGGCTTGACGGATTTCATCTGAAGTATCATCCAATGAGACAGGGTTCATTTCATTAGACTGCGAGGGTTCAGATGTCGCGAAATTGATGTTCCGCTGGTTCTGAATCGTCGGGGCCATCGTATTCACCGAGTGTAAACTCTTCCCCGCCTCTCTGCCGGATGGGTATTGACATGAGATGCCTAGTTGAGCACATCGTGCACAGTTCGGACGGGCCAAAGAACAACGGAGCTTCTTTTGAACGCATGTTCCACAGGACTTTTGCTTGGATTTGCGGCCCTGGCCTCCTTTGGCAATACATCGACGCCGGTGTCGGTCTCGTAGATCATCTGGTAGGATATCAGATTAGACATAGATCTCTTCTACCTGTTGAGTAAGAAATGAACATACGCCGTGAGTAAGTTTTGTGACAAATCTCACAACGGAATTCGTTATCATTGCCAGAGTTCCGGGAAGAAGAATATTTCGACCCCTTGGATAACTCCTCACTGGGTGCGTGAAATATATCCATTTCGTCTTTGCCTGGAATTAATCCCAGAGTGTGTTGGTAGCCATGTGGGGTTGTCAACGGTGAGTACAACATAGAAAAACGGGGTTCGTTTAAGAGAACTCGGTCTATTTGTAATTCGATTGGATTAACTCACGCCAAGTAAGCTAGCCGCCTCGTATAATACCACTCGGAACGAGAGCTGTCAAGAGTAATGGGTCCAATATCTAGGTAAAAGCTTGGATTACGATCTGCGGCTGATAGTTTCCTAATATACTAAAGCGAGTCTTTGCATTGCTTCAAGAAATCCTCCCAACTCGTCACTCGGTAACCAGACTTTTCGAGCAGGGCGTAGCTCTCCTTCAAACTCTTGCCGTTGAAATAACCCGGGTTCTCAGAAAACAAGTGATTCTCCAACATCTCCTGTCCTAGCGGACCAGGGATAAAACTTTTTGTAAGTATCGGAGTCCACCTGAACAAATCGGGTTTCGTTTCCAGTGACCGACTCAAACGCGGCAAGGATACGCGTAGGGGAGTAATAGTCTGCCGCTGCCAAAAGCTGAAGGCAAAGAACCTCGGAACGGTTCTTCAAGGCCGCTGCCACGTATTTGCCTGTCCATTACATTTCGTTAGCTTAAGCTGGGTATTTTTACCCAGTAAGTATGGTTAATCACGTACCCATATCGCCAGCAATGTCAATGGGCGGGAAATGAGCGTCCTTGCCGACAGGGTCGGCCAAATTGTAAACACCATCATCGCCCTTACGCAGCATCCTAAACACGGTGTAATTGGTCATGAAATAACCTGGCAGAACGAAGGTGGCTGGCACGCCAACGGACCGGATATACTCGACCGTTGCCTTCTGGTCAAAATGAGGAACGTGCTTGAGCCGACCACCCGATGTCTCTGTGACGTTGAGCAAAGATGAGAAGATCAGATGCTGCACGCCAGCCTCCTTTGCTGCATCGGCGACATTCTTTCCATGTACCAGTTCAGCATCGGATCCGGCATTTCCCCAGTCCGGGGTAGTCACAAGACTGAGTGGCTGCCTTGCAATGCCTGAGCCAGTCACTCCTTTGAGTTCATGTTGGTCATGAAAAACAGTGTGTAAGTATCGGGTTTATTTCTATATAGCGAATAATGAGGGATCTTACGGTCTTGACCTCGACGCCCTGTTTCACGAGAGCTTGAGCCACCGGCTTAGATGCATCGCGAGTGATACCACGAATCTTGAACTCCTGGGAGAGGGTAGGCATCCTGCTGAATAGTGCGAATGACAGAACCACCTTGCTGTCCTGTCGCGCCGAAAAATGTGATAAGCTTATACATTGTCGACTTTGTAGATGTGTTTGATAATTTCTTGATTATAGACTAGTTGAAGTGCTGAGCATTGGAATTTATAGGTCGCGATGTCTCTCTAGGCTCTTTCCAAATGATTAAGCCAATAGCTTCTTAACTATTTGCAAAAGATCAGAACTCAGGGTTCTTGGTTTGTAAGCATGCCAACGTGTCCAGGGGATATAAGCTTGGTAACAAAATCTATCTGGATTAATCTCATTGCCGTGATAATATTCCAAGTTGTTTCTTATCCAAGTGTAAATTTACTCAGCACGGGATTAAGATGATGCCCAAAAACTAACAATGACATATACATACTAGCCTCCACATGAACTTTTTTTTTCCCCCTACACTTTTCCTTGGTCAATATTGCCACTTGGAAATCTTCCATGCATATTCAATGGGTCTGGCAATCTCGGGAGACACCATCATTCACCCTCACATCCATATACAACCAACGCAGCAGAGCGTTTCCTCCACACAATGGTTGCAGTACTAATTACCGGTACGACGGAAAGCAAGGAGACGCAGTCATGAAGAATCTAATTGCTAGAAAATCTTCTTTCGAAGTTCTTGCCATCACCCGAAATGCCCAATCCCCATCTGCCCAGAAATTGGCGAAGTTGTCATCTAGCATCAAACTAGTCGAGGGGAACATGAACGATCCCACTGTGATCTTCCAAAATACACGTAGAGTCGCGAAATCTCCTATCTAGGGTGCCTATAGTGTCTAGGTATTCACTTTCCAACTCCCTCGGCGAAATTACTTAGCCTAACCAGTCCTAAATAGGTAGCAATTGGCAACGGCGCGCTGGAGGAGTCGTAAGGAAAGACACTTATTAATGAGTCGCTAAAGGAGAATATTCAATTCTTCGTATATAGCTCTATTGATCGAGGAGGAGATGCCTCTTGTACGACTCGGACTAAAGTCCCGCACTTTATCAATAAGAACAGTATCGAGCACTACCTCGTCGAGCGAAGTAAAAATACCCACACTTCATGGCATCGAAGGATATGGGATATCTGTTCAAGTGGTTCCATGATGGGGGCTACAAGGAAATAATTAACATCTATCTATACATCTCCACGGATATAAATATATAAATATATAAATATATGTATGAACAAGAATAGCATTGTAGTCTCAGCCATGGGATTCCGATAAGACAATCTTGGTCCGTGCGCCCCTCAACATTTGACAACTCTCCTTCCAATCCCCCACAAGGTAGATGCTACCTACAGAAAATGAATCGTCTTACTTCCATGCGTCTCTGTGCAAGACGCACTTCAATCACACCTCTCACCCGACTTCCCAGTCTGCACGCATCCGTATTCCCGCTCACGCGCTCTTTCCCGAGAATGGCATCCAGCGCGTTTCAGTTTGCCGAGGGCGAGGATGCGCAGCAACTTGCCCGAGACGCCGATGCTTTATTGCAGCAGGGCTGGGCGCAGGATGGAGACGGGATGGGGGTCATGAAAACCTTTCATTTTAAGAGCTATTTCAAGGCTGTGGTGAGTTATTATTTTCATTTTCATTTATTTTTTTCCTGGTCTGGTCCGGACCTAAGACTGGGGCTGCTTCTACTTGTGAGACTGAATAAACTGACAACCTATACGGAGTAGGCGTTTGTTAATATGATTGCAGCCGAGAGTGCATCCAAGAAACATCATCCCACTATGACAGTGGTAAGTGGGCCGTTTTAAAATCGGTGCCTGGATAAAAAAAGAAATTAAGGCTGACGCCTCATTAGCGGATTGGCTCGGTCGATGTGCACTGGACAACCCATCGCCCACGAGGATTCACCCAAAAGGATGTTACAATGGCACAACATTGTGATCAGGGTGCGGGTCTGATGGGTGCTGTTGATCCAGGTCAGGGACTGAAATGTGGTCCAGCTAATTGATCACTCAAATTTGCGACTCACTTGTTTATTCCCCAGTCTGGCCCCCCTCGCACACTATCACCAGTCGATCCCCACACTGGCGGTTCGAACTAGTCTGAATGCGAATTTCCCCTTGAAATCCTGCCTTGGTGTTTTTTTTTTTTTTTTTTTTTTTTTCTCTCTCTCCCGAAAGGGTCGTTCCTCGATTTCAATTTCAAGTTCAATTTCAAGTTCAATTTCAAGTTCAATTTCGATTTCGATTTTGATTTCTCTCAGTTACATATTTATAGATCTACTTCAACGGCTGTGCCATGACGTCGAATCAGTCCCATGCCCACGTTCTTCTCCGATGATCATTGCCTATATTAAACCTTGGTCGCTCCTTTTTCTCCAATGCGCTCAACGTGAAGTCCTTTGACTTGAACTGTCTGGAGCTGTGTGGAATTGTGTGGAACTCTCCTCAACCATGAATCCAGATCAGCCATCAATTGGCGAACGCAGAGGTCGTCGACTTGCGCCCCTACAAACCAATTTCAGTCGACCAGCTGCTCAAAAACGGGTACAGCGCCCTCGGCCAACCGAGTATCCCAGTACCAATGGATCAGAAGGTCCCGTTCCGCTCCAGGCCCCGGTTAAAAAGCAATCCTCCAAAACGAGTCTGCGCAATCTCTTTGGTCATAAGTCTTCGCGCGCAGACCCCAAATTGGAGGAGATTATAGAGACACAGTCAGAACCTCAAACGGCCATTCTGTTGGAAACAGCCCTGTCGCCCTCTATTATGAGCCCCCAAACCATAGACACCAATCCCACCATTACCTCCCCGACAATTAGCTCCCCGGCAGAACGATCGCGCATGACATTGAAGCCCTCCCGTCCGAAACCCGACCCCAAACATGCGAACCAGGAACAGTACGGCTGGAAGCCTCCCCCATTGTTCCAGGCCTATCCCCAATCTACCAAGCATGCCTGTCTTCCGGCACCAGCTCTCTCTGCGGATTCCATCTTGCGCCTGCACGCGACCACCGCAAGGAGTTCTACCGATGACAACCCTGTCAATGCCTTGGAGCAGGACGAGGCCGCCGATGCCGCGCGTAAAAAGCGAGAGCAAAAGCAAATGAAACATCTCCGGACGCTATCCGGTACTATCAACAAGGTGGATTGGACTGAGAAAATATATGTACTAGCAACCACTGGTTACATCCTCCAATATTCAGGCGACGGGAAGCACGACCGTCTTCCGGAGAGGATGCTACTACTAGGGCCCAAGTCTGTCGCATTTGCTAGTGATGCTATCCCCGGGAAACATTGGGTAGTCCAGGTCTCTCACAATCCGACAGATGATGATTCCGCCGGACCGGAGGCCCCCAAACCTCGATTTTCACGCTTTGGCTTCCACAAACCTAATACCCGGCGGTTTTCGCGCAACTTTCTTCTGGTGTTCGACAACCCCGAAGATATGATTGGCTGGTTGGTGGCCGTTAGAGCTGAGATCGAAAAACGGGGAGGGCGCAAATTTACGCAAGAGAAGCACTCGGATGAAGACACGCTGCCTCAGCTGCGGTCCAAATCAAGCGTTCGACAAACGATAAAGAAAGATCCTCATCGTATTTCCAGTCTTTTCCTTCAACCCCAGATCCTCCAGTCGCCCACTGAGGAAGAAGATGGTCATTCTGTCGGTGCCGCAACATGGCAATCTCGCCCTAGTTCATACGTGTCGATTAATCGTCGCTCAACGGTTGAATCTCGATCTGGATCAGTGTCGACGAGCCGAACTGAGGCCACAAATCCTACCAACTGTTCTGCTTCGATTAGGTCTGACATTCGTTCTTCGTCATTCACTTCTTCGAATATACCCAACTCGCCGCCAATAGGCACCAGTGCTTTCAGACCTGATGAGCCTCTACCGGAACAGCTTGACCGAACATATACACACAGCCCGCCCGCTTCTAGTCAAGGGAAACGGCAATCCTTATATATGCCCCCGCCACCTCAGCCTCCCCCAATTACCGACTTCACGGAGGAGCCTCAAGCAAATCGCCCGCCGCCTATTCCTGAAGCTCTCATCCGCAGTGCTTCACCTCCAGCGCCTAATTTCAGTGTCCCCTCGTTTAGCAAGAAATTCGTTCCGAGATCTGGGCCGATCCCCATTTCTCATGCCTCTCCTCCTTCATCAATTAATGGGTTTGCACGCCGCGTCGAGACCGATCCGAATATGCCTGCCTTTGCATCTCCTCCGCAATCCCCAACATTCAGCGTCGCCAGTTCGCGCTACACGGATTCATCGGAGCCCAGGCGCGTACTACGACCCTCGAATTCAGAGGATGCCCTGACCAAAACCGTCCGTTCAACGCAGAATGCCCAAAACTTCTCACGGGCGCCCATAACAGCGCCTCCTACAGGTCCTCTACCTGATCCCAGAGCATCTTCCCGCCCAGTCAGTCTAATCGGCCGCTCTAGCATGAGTCGGAAACCCATCAATGCAACCCAAGTCCAACCTGCTCCTCCACCGACAAACCCAATACCGCGCAAGAGAGTCTCCACTATATACCCGGACAACCAAGCTGCTCAGAGCATGTTACGCCGCAAGAGCATGCCCGGTCTTGGTTCAGCAATCGGGCCCCCATCTGCACCACCCCCCAACTACCCACTCCCTAAACTCCCCTCGCCCGCCCCTCCTATCGCCAACACCACCACCCCTGCTACTTCCACCGGCACGGCCGCCCCGCAGATGCTATCACCCTGGTCTCCAACGTCTCCAACGCAACGGTTCTACGGATCCGAGTCAGTGCGGGATCACGTCGAAGACCGGAAGAGCGGTGCCCATGCCGCAAGCAATGATCCAGCAAGCAATGTCCAACGAACTGCTCGGCATTCGAAACTGATCAAGAGTTCCCTGGTCTAAATTTATCCACACATGCTGTGACTCAACATCACATCTATGACGCTTCACCTTGCTCCAACGCCGATACTCCAATACCCCCTCACATTTCTGACCTTGAACTTTTCCTACGATCTCCTTCTCACGACAATACCTTCAGATGCATTCCCTATACCCTTTTTCCTTTCTCGAATATGTTGTTACTATATCTGGCATTTCGGCCTCAGCCTTACTCAGCATCGAATACCCCTTTTTACATCTATTGCATATCTGAGAGCCTATCATATCCCATTCTCTTATTACGCACATCAGTGATACCAACGCTTGCGTGCATACGTTAGTTCCTTTTTTTGTCTATAGTACCTACGCATTACTTCTCTTCGTTTCGATTGTGTTTCTATTGGCAATTTGTTCTTGTATATACCCCGTTTTATTCTATTTTCTTGTTCTTTGCATTGGAACCATCTCTTCTCTCTTCTGAACTCGGCATTTTCTGTCTTCTGATTTCAATTGGGATTCGATAAGCTACGGCGGATGGGTTTACATTGGGCATAGAGCATAGAACCGAGCCTATAAATTACCATATCTCCTCCTTGTCTACTGTCTGCAATATTCCTACATCGATTTGATGCTATATGAAATCCAAGTCGAAGTTATGCAATGAAATATAGATAGAAACCGAGGGAAAGAAAGGCTTTCCCACCTTTCTTTCCCAATGATATCAATTCTCAGGAGCAAGGCCTAAAACGCCAGAATGAACATGGAATAAGGATCTTGAAAATACAAATCTCGGATGGCTTGGAATAAGCACCTGCATAAGACCGCATAAGACCAATTCTGATCTATCGGCTTTGTATGTCGTTCGAAACGTAGCAGCACTACTCCTCCACTTCTTCCACACTTGCGGTCAGACCTCGTCGCGCTGCGACTGCGGACGGGGTAGAAGTAGGCTCGGCGGAGGTTGTGGTCGCCGAGGGGGTGTTTGCAGAGGGAGCATCTGCGGTAACTGGGGCGGGAGCAGAGGTTGAGGCCTTGGATTTGCTAGACTTTTTGCTCTTTTTTGTCTGTGGGGTTGAGTTGTCAGTTTTACTATTTCTGGAGAATATAAGAATGAACAGATGCATACCTCTTGCCAGCCCCATAGAGGCTTGAAGCTGTCAAAGAATCCAACATCCTCGAACAGATTGGGGAAGAGCCAGAGACCTGGGGCCACAGTGAAGACAGTAACGCAGAATAGAATCAAACGGAAGATAGCCATGGCAAAGAAGAGACCCAACAGTCCCATCATGCCAACACTCAGATACCACACTCCCTGGCGCATGATCATAGGCCACAACGGGAACAGGACAACGGCGAAAATACCCGCGACTACGGCGGCGGCCATGGCCTTTTGCTTCCACTGTGGGCCGTCATACAACCAAACATAATGCATCATAGGGTCGGTCTCCTGGTGCTGTTCGATCTTCACAGTCCATAGACCCTTGGTGCGGTTCTTGGGCTTGGCATGGTTGTGTCCTTCGTGGGGATCAACCTTGCTGACTCGGAGAGCCAAAAGGGAAAGTGGAAGAAGCTTGAAAACGTTCTCGGCGGAGGCGCGATCGGTCACTGGGGGGAGGAGGGAGTTCTTCTTTGAGGCGGCTTTGGCATAGGCGGGGGATTCAATGGCTCGGATTGCGCGCTTGACTGCATTGAAGAAGGTCATGTTAGATGGTGATCCCTCGTAATCTATTTAGATGTTGGTCGCTGCTCACCCTTGAACATGTCCTTGCGTTGTCCGTCCATGATACATGTGCGTGGCTTGAGGTTTTGCGACCGCAGCCAGTTGGCCACTGCCACTGCCTTTGGGTCCGGGGGATTGTTTGGGTTCACAGGAACCTGTTGTGTGGTTGTGTGTTGGTGCTGCTGGGGTGCGGGCGACCCAGCTTGTTGGCCTTCTGGTGCTGCTTGACCCTGTTGTTCGGCTTGAATCTTTTGTTGCTGCTGGTGGGCTTGCATTGCTCGCATGCGCAACTGCGCAACATATTGTTCAGTGGTCAGGCCAAGCTTTGCAGCATCGGCAGTCAGCTGTTCACGCTGCTTTGCGGCGAATTGCTGGGGCGTCATCCCTCGTTTGGCGGCTTCGGCGGCGAACTGTTGCTGCATGGCCGCCATTTGCTCAGGGCTGGGCTGGCCGGGGGTGGCCATTTTGAATTAAAATTGAAAATAAAAAAATAAAAAACAGAAGAGAAGAAGGAAGTCCAAGGCAGAGTATGAAGTTGTGAAAGAAAAGAAAGAGAAGTGGCCAGATTGACTCAGCTGATTTGTCCGCCCTCCCGACTTCGCCAGCCAAGCTTAATCTTCTTCCCTTTTACATTCAACGTCGTGCTAAACACTGAACATGAGTTAACATGAGCTTCGGAGCTATTTTCATGTCGATGCTCAATGTCTGTCCAATATGATTCTACGGAAACCCTGTTGAACGCTACCTGGGTGGCTGTTCTACTGGTATGTGTTTCAGTTCACAATTAATGTCCCCACACTTATATGAATATATTAATCCAGAGCGAACGAGATGTGGCTGGTCAAATTCCACTTAACTATGTGACAAACCCTGCTGTGTCACTTTCCGCTGCCTGCTTTGGAAACCGCATCTATGATCGAGAAGACGCTGCCAAATGTTTCTCTAACCTCGTCGCAATCGGGTACCGACGTCTTGTTGTCGATCTATATTGGTCGGTCAACCGTAGGACTTGGTCTTTCTGTCCGGTATCTGTTCCAGCCGAATCTGGAGTAACTGTATCCTCAGGTACATCCACCACATCAACAGCAACAGCTAGTGCGGACTCTGCGATTATCACCGGTACTACCGATTCACATGGACACACTCTCTATGAGCTAGGCTCATACAAGTGTACCAACGACCTCGATCTCTACACCTTGGCGGAAGTGCTTGTAGGTTATTTCCGTGAGACAAACTCACGTTTGACCGTGTACACAACTTATCTCGTTCTCAATCTCCATGTCGCCGCAAGTGACTCCACACCAGATGAGCCTGCTTCTACTATCTCAGGGGGTCAAATGCCATCGGGAACTGAGCTAGCCGGCTCGATCCTCGGGATGGCCCTGGAGAACTTTATCTATAGTCCAGCTCAGCTTACCTCGGACCGAAGCAATCTAAACCAGTCATGGTATAAGGTCGAGCAGGGCTACATGCCCATCACAGAGTACTTCACCGTTCATGAAAATGAAGCGGGTGTACAAAGCACTCCGGATGGTTGGCCATCATCAAAGTACATTCAGCTTGCGAAACGCGATCGAGTACTCATTGAATACGGCTCTGTCGATTCCCAACTAATGAATTACAATCTGTCCACCGAAGAAAATTTGGTTTTTCCTCCCGGGCAACTGACTTCTGATGTGAAGATCTCCGCAACAACCAACGGCACTCTCAATTCAGGCTGTCTGTATGAGCCTGGGCTCACACGCGTGTCTCAAACCAACTCATCATGGGCTATATCCAGTCGCTTCCCTGTCCCTGATGGTCTTTCCACAGATGAGACGATGGCTTCACTATCGAATGTTCTCTCTGGCATTACAGCTTGTGGTCTTTCGCCAATGCTCAACACCACCCTCTTCGGCCAGACCGCAGACCAGCAAGTTGAACATTACCGTAATGTCTCCCTCGCTTCTTCCTGGGCTTGGGCTATCGGTAACCCCCATGATGCAAAATACGGCGGTGGCGACGGTGATCCCAAGTATGACCGCTGTGCGATCATGGATCTTACGCTGGACGGCCACTGGCGATCCACGAATTGCACTGAGCAGCGGCGTGGCGCCTGTCGTATCGGTAATTCGCCTTTCTCCTGGGTCCTATCAGACTCGACCGAACCTTTCTCCAATGTGTCGAACACATGTCCTCCAGGATCGAGCTTCGCTGTACCGCGCACCGGTCTCGAAAACACGTATCTCTATAGACACCTTCTCTCTCTGCCAGAGACAGAAGTTGACTTGAGTTCCACAAATCCCGCCCTTCGAGAGGTCTTCATAGACTTCAACTCGATAGATGTCACTTCCTGCTGGGTATCCGGTGGCTATGAGGCGAGGTGTCCCTATGCCTCTGACCCGCAGCAAATCGAGCGCAGAACTGTGCTTGTAGCTGCAATTGCGGGTATCGTCGTTCTTATTATCACGGCATTGACTTTCTTTGTCAAGTGCAACGCCAACCGCCGAAATTCCCGACGCAGAAAGCGTGTCATCGAAGGATGGGAATATGAAGGTGTTCCCTCATGAGAGTCTCTATGCATTTGAAATTATCTCGGTGGTTGATCCCAAGCGCTCGGCACACCTTGAAGGTGCTGTCTCGGCCTTTGGGGTGTAATATCAAGACTGGACATCTTATATACTATGTATATTGCCTTGTGTTTTCATTTCACATCTATAATTATGAAGCTCCTGCCCTCTCCACCACCGGACTTGTCTGGGTGCACTCCCCGCAACATCCTTGAGCTTAAGTCCAGCGACCAGCTATCGGGCTCGACTCTGCAGCGGGTGGAGATCTTCCGGGGTGCTCTTTTCCGTTGATTATATTAGCCATGGAAACATGAAAACAATCGGCGACTCCCTGAAACAAGCTGTTCTTCATTGACAATTGCCAATGACACAGGATGTGTGACAACAGATGGGTTTCTGCTGCTTGACTTCTGCCACTTAGGCACAGTATAGCCTGTTCATAGGCGTCACAAACCATACAGATACTCGCTGCGCGTGACACACTAGAGAACGCCAGTTCCTAGGCGACTGCGATCTCGTTCGTTTGGCCGGATCTGCCGTTGGACATCAGGAACTTTATCGATTGCTATCTTCAAAGAACTACCAGAAATCTTGGAGGGTTTTGTATTCCATTGGGCTCTCTTTTGACTCGTCTCTCTTTGTCGCGTCTTGTCTACACAAGAGGATTCTTCGAGCTATTGCTTCAAATGCATACCATGGAGACAGTCAAAAACTCGGAGAATCCATACCTAATTATCTTTCCATCAAAGACTAATCCCAGACTTCGATCTATGCCCAATGTAACCAAGTGGTCAGTCATTCCGTAGATCGTAGATGGTGTCAACTTTTTCTGACAGACCATGGAAATTGATCTACCGCTTTTTGATAATGTCTACAACCCAAGGTCGGGGCTCCGGCTGGCGGCTTCGGTGCCAACCGCTGCTAGCATGGACGGCGCATCTGATAACGATCAATGGCTGGTCTGCATTCTAGCTGCAGAGACCGTATTTAAGCTAACAAAAGCCGCTGCCTCACTGCTGTAGTTCACTTCGACCTAAACTCATTGGTATATTGGAGCAGTATACGGCAAGGTGCATAGCTATCATGCTCGGTTCAAATGTTCATTGGTCAGAACTACATACAACAAAAATGATATCCATAATACACAAACAATTCCAATCCATACATATTTCCATGAAAATCAATCCACTGGAAACGGGATATCAAAGTCCCAAACAAAACAAGTCGCTACATGCCGTTCATGAAGACAAACCGTAAACTCCTGGAGAAAAGAAAAAAGACGATAGATATCACATTCAAAGTCCGGCGAACCGAGCCCATCCTGCAGCCCGATTTGGCGAAGCACTCGGAGTCAGTCTGTGGCTTTCGTTCTGGTTGTGGTCGGGTTGCTCATCGAGAAGGTTGTCGCTGCGCCCTTCTTCGGCGACCTTGCCACTCACATCGCGGCGGCGTCCAACGCCCAGACCGGCGATGTAACTTCCATACGAGGATAAAGATGAACCAACTCCGGCTGCAATTCCAGGCCGAGCAGTGTCTGCACCAGTGTTGCTCACGACACGGCCCTTGCGGTCGCTTTCGGTGGCGCGGGGCGAAGCAGGCATCCTGGTTGAGAGGTATCCGTTTTCTTCATTGTCATCATTCTTCTTGAGAGACTCATAAGCAGACATCTTGCTGCTGCGTTTCTTCTGAAGCTTGGTGGGCTTACGGACAATCTGTTCGCTTGGCTCGCGAGACACGGCCAATCCAGGCTTGCCATCTACATCCAGCTCGCCATAGAATCGAGTCTTGGGCGAAGTGGGTTTGGGGCTCTCGTGTGGAACAGACACTGGCTGTGCCTGTGCATTGTATGATAGATTGGGGCTATCGCCCAAGACAACGCGGCGCACGGGATCGGTATTCGCGGGCTTTTCGGTCAGAATAGGTTGCGGGGTTGGTGGATTAAGCATGAGCGGGTTAAATGGAATATAGCCATCACGTTCATCATCAAGGTCGTCTCTGTGATCTTCTGGGTCTGGGAATATGTCCATGCGCTGATCACCCACATCTTGTTCACGGCGGCCATCATCAAGGCCGTAGAATTCATGCATGGCGAGCGACGCATATTCACCGTGAACATCTTCTGGAATAGCACTTCCGATACTTGGCTCTGGCTTGGAGCCGTAAGCAAACCAGTCTCGAATGCCACTACCGGCGGACGTGGCGGTTTTTCGGCTGTAGACAGAGGAGGACTGACGGAGAGCGGCTGCGTTCTCATCCTGCGTCTCGCCCATTGGCGATAGAGACCGCTCAGAGTATGCCACCCAATTATCGGACAATGGGCTGACGGTTTCCGATCGATCAGCGGTGCGCGATGACAGGTTACGCATTTGAGCAGTGGCATTGATGATTTCGGGGGCGTGCGAGGCAACTCTTCGATACTCTGGGGCAGGTGTTTGTGATGTGAAGTCATATGGCTGGCTCGCTGTTTCTTGGAATAGTGTCTCGGGGCTGGAAGGATCCATGTGAGGTTCTGTCGGGGATTCTAAGTGGGATAGGCGATGCTGATAAAAGGAAGGGTGTGACTGTCGCTGCTCGTCGAGCATACCCATTGATTCACGGTTGGAATCACCACCAGAAGACTGTTCACGTGTGTGCATGAATGGTACGCTGCGAGGAGATCCAATGAGCGGATCCTCAAATGTGGAATCCAGGGTGGATTGGCTGAGATGTTTCTCCTCCATTTGAGTCTCCTGGTGGGTCTTACGGGGACGTGCAGTCAAATTGTCTTCAAGTGGGTTCATGTCAGGCGGTAGGCGGGAGATCTTCCGGAATGTGACAGCCAAGAAAACCGATATGGCAAGGGAGATGAGGTGCAAGCCGCCATTTGCGATAGCCAGGATGAAGGTGGCCTCCGACAGTTTCACCGTCAGGTCGCTGTTGTTGAAGAGAGTTCCCCAATGGTATGCATTGGAGTTCCATTCGCCATACGCCATAAACGCAGTAAACACGTAGAATGGGATGAGTCCGAAGTCGAGAATCGCAGAGAATAGCCCATAGCTGGCTTGAGAGCCTGCGGGGCGCGTAATAACAGATCGAGAATTATGGTAGATGGCATATATCGTGTGTAGAATTGCAACTATAGGCTACAACAGAGGTCAGCAAGAGAAAGTTTTCTTGGGTGGACGGTACTCACGCCGGCGCGAATGACCCAGATGACGGTCACTGCAGCTCCCTTAATAACGACAGAGCAGAACAGGGACCCGAGAGCCCCCAGAAGAGTGAGCACTCGAAGTGCAAGTTGGGTTGATCGTGCATACTTGACCCGATCCTTTGTTTTGTAGCTCATCGGTGTAAATGAGCTGGCTGTATTGAAGGAACCCCACTACATCCACCATTAGCAGAACCCCCCATTAATTTCCGAAAAAAATCGCACATACCGTGTCAGGGTGGCGGTTTAGATTTACTAGCGGTCCTTTTTGCTTGGGCCTGTCTGCTGGACGGGTCCAGCTCGCCTCTGTCGCGGCTCTCGGGTTGAAGCCGCGGTCGGTCGGACCTTTAAAGCTGTAGGCGGTCGGACTTTCATAAAGGAATGGAGGTGACGATCTCCCCATGGTAGCGACTGAAAGCCACTCGTGACACCCACGCGAAGCAAAAGAGATGAATGTGAAGAACCTTGGGGAATGTGAAATGCGACTGTCAGCTCCTGGGATGTGCCCAAGGTCTGAGGATGTTGTACATCTGCAAACATATGATAGTAACTCGGGGCAACCGATAAGGTCACGTGCCATGTTTCATTCTCTCCGATCACCTCCGCGGTTTCTTGAATCCATGCATCATGCGCCTCAAACAGACCTTTGTATGTGCTCAATGCACTGTGCGGCTTAATCGCCGACCTCCTCTACAATATGAGAGCTTTATATCTCGATTTACATCCAAACGCTCCAACAGTCATGTCGCCCAAACCGGCCGACCCGTCCGTGTGGCCATCGTGGGCTCCGGCCCAGCGGGATTCTATGCTGCCTATCGTCTTCTGGCTAAACAGGAAGATGCGATAGTTGATATGTATGAGAAGCTGCCTGTACCATTCGGCTTAGCTAGGTTCGGTGTTGCTCCGGACCACCCCGAAGTCAAGGTGAGTCACAGTAAACAACGATTCAATGATGAGTCGGCCATTGAACATTGTATGTAGGAATAAGCTCATGATTATATGAAAATTAGAATTGCGAAGATAAATTCACAGAGGTGGCCGAGTCCACGCGCTTCAATTTTGTCGGTAATGTCGACCTCGGACATGATCTACCGCTCGCTGCCCTCAAACCACACTACGATGCCATCATATTCGCCTACGGTGCCTCAAAGGATAGAGAGCTGGGGATTCCTGGAGAACAAGCTCTGCATAGTGTGCACTCAGCACGTGCCTTTGTGGGGTGGTACAATGGTCTTCCAGAGCACAGAGATCTCGACCCGGACCTAAGCGGAGAGAACGCCGTTATTGTCGGACAGGGCAACGTTGCACTAGACGTTGCCCGTATTCTTCTTTCGGACGTCAATACTCTCCAAAAGACAGATATAGCAGATTATGCTGTGGAGAAACTCGCCACAAGTCGCATTAAGCGAGTGCGAGTTGTTGGGCGTCGCGGACCTCTGCAGGTGAGTTACCATGAATTGACTGTTGATACCCACAAGTTTCTAATTACTTTACTCAGGCTTCCTTCACTATCAAAGAGCTCCGTGAAATGCTACAGCTTCCAGGTGTATCATTCGACCCCATTCCAGAAGATGTTTTTCCGCCGGAAGAGGTGGTATCGGCACTGCCCCGAGCGCAGAAGCGTCTAATGCAGCTCCTGGCTAAAGGATCAGCCAATGATCCTCTGACAGCCCCAAAGTCTTGGTCTTTGGATTTCTTACTTGCTCCTGATTCTCTTCACTGGTCGCCTGATTACCCATACCATCTATCCCATGTAAAGTTCTCTCGCAACGAACTCGACCCATCGGACCCCCACAGCCCCAACTCCAAGGTGTCTCCAAAGCACTTATCGAGCGGAAAGCGTGCACAGGTTAACCTACCAGCTAGCGTTTTCTTCCGCAGCGTGGGCTACAAATCCCTGCCTCTTCCAGGACTAGAGGATCTTGGTATCGACTTCGATACCCGACGCGGTATCATCCCGAATGATGGATTTGGCCGCGTGACAAGCTTGTCGAACAAGGGCGAGCCTGAAAGTTTACCTGACGGATCTCTTATCTCCCACCTCCCCGGCCTGTACTGTGCTGGCTGGGTGAAACGAGGCCCAACGGGCGTAATTGCCTCGACAATGACCGATGCATTCACTACTGCAGACTCCGTCGTGCAAGATCTGGCAAAACGTGCCGATTCAACGTCCTTGCTTCATGCACCCGATCACAGTAGCGGTCTAGGCTGGGACGGAGTGAAAGTCGAGGCCCAGCGCCGCGGTCTACGCCCCACGTCGTGGAAAGACTGGCAGCGAATCGATGCGGCAGAGCGAGAAAGTGGCCAACTGAAGGGCAAGCCTCGGGATAAGCTTGGCCGTGTAGAAGAAATGTTGAAGGTGCTTAATTGAACCTTTGTGTATATTAAGGACTATCTGTATACATAGTTTGACAAATCTAATTACATACTCGGTCCAACACTCGCATCTTTGCCCGCGCATTATCCAGCGCTTCCGTGTACCATTCTGTCCCTTCGTTATTACATACCATGAATATGAATCTTGTCTAGCCCTCACAGCCCGCATGCGCTGGCATCCACTTCAACGTAAGTGGCGTCAACACGGCCGAGTTGCTCCGCCAGACCGTTGGTCAGCGTGTTCATGGCTTTCAAACCGATGTTGAAGCCACCCGGGGCGGCGTCGACAGCAATGACGTTGATTGTGTTGTCGATCTTGCCGTTCGAGTAGTGCAACGCGTAGCATTTGCCGCAGTTAGGGCTGTTCCAGCCTGAGATGGTGATCGCACCGCCAATGTTTGGGAAGCTTGGCAGCGATGCGAAGTCGGTGTAGCCTTCAGTAATCAGGCCGTTAACACCATCGGAGCAGGCGACGGTGGTCAGAGAGGATGTTCCAACATCGTATTTGGTGTCGTAGGAGACGGATACCGTTTCCGCTGCCGCCGGAGCCGGGGCAGCAGAAACAAGGCTGAGAGTTGCCAGGAATGCAGAGGTGAAGGCGGTGGTGGACTTCATATTTGTGGATGATTTAGTGGTACTTTGAGAAAGAGAATGATGTTCTTGTTGCTTGTTGTGTCTACTTTGCTCCCTCTTCGACGAGGTTTATATATCTCCTTCACTCAGGCCTCCCATCTAATATTGTTCTATTTCCTCTTTGATGGCAGGCTGCATCCAGCACAGGTCTTTGGAGAAGGTCTTAGACTCGCAGGTGACACGGTCCAAATAGGATACCCTCATCTTGGGTCCATCATCAGCCGATACTCCCATAACGAATAACCCGGAGAAACCGGTGCAATAAGGCCGAGGACTATTGTGGGGTTCACGAGGAAGCATGCAGGCAGACTGAGACATGGCATATCTTGGCTGCTATTTTCGTCCGATCCGTCAAAGTGCTGCATAGTCGATCCACATACAGCTCACGCGAGACTCTCTTTACGCTACAGTATAGGGCGACTGCATTCGAGGTTGCATCGAGCAATACGGACAGTATGCCACAGCCACATTTTATTTTGGTCTGAGTTCGAATCAAAATTCAATATTAGATCTATAAGCTGACCTCATCAAACCAGAGGAGAAAGGGGAAACAAGAAAGGAAACAAGTATAAGTAGTAATCAAAGAACAAAAAGCAAAAAGCAAAAAGCAAAAAAGAAACGTCCCCGGGAAGGCTTGAACTTCCAACCTCCCGATTAACAGTCGGACGCGCTAACCAATTGCGCCACGGAGACGTGCTTGTTGAAAAGGCAAGGACAATTTTGTTACTTGATGTAAATTACCATAGAGGACTAATCAACGTCTTGATTGTTAGTTATCATCAATCCTCGAGCAAATATAAATGTTGGGGCTAACAGTAGACTTGGTTACTACTTCCGCCTTTGTAGATTTAGTCCTTTCCTGCAGATTCCGCCACAACAAGTCTCCGTGGCGCAATTGGTTAGCGCGTCCGACTGTTAATCGGGAGGTTGGAAGTTCAAGCCTTCCCGGGGACGTTTCTTTTTTGCTCTTGTTCTTTGATTAACTTTATTCTCATTTCCCTTGTCCCTCTTTTTTGGGTGGTGTTTTTTCTGATCACTGTCAAATTTGATCGACTTCATGAGCAGGGGGAGACCCTTGTTTGAAACAGAGCCCATATACAGGCATGTTTTGGTATCCGTGGTTGTGTTTTTGACTGAACTAAAGGTTGGTTTTAAATTGTTGGCTGAAACCCTCGCTGGGGCTATTACTTCCATTCCTTTTATCTTCGACGGCATATGCAAATATTATACGCGGACAACCAGAAAATATTCAACGTTTTAGCTGCTGCCATTAACCGCAGGTCGGATGGTCGCTTCCCCACGGATGCGACATATTTCAGTGTCACCGATTCCTGATGGCACTATGTAGCTGCCTTGGCACCGAGCACAGCACCCACCACGGCTGCCGTAGATAATTACCTCCCAGTAGTAGACCGACGTCACAACTAACGGCGTTTCCAAGTACCGCAGTAAGGGATTCCGTAGCATCTCACTTTGGTTCCTGCTTCTAAAATAGTGATGATAACGTCGATAACTTCTTCGATATCAAGGCAACTGACTAGTCTGTTCAAGGGCTCGACTGATGACATCGTACGTATCAAAAGACCAACAACAGTTGGGTTTTCAATGTCGAAGTAGTTTGTTTATTCCTTTCACTTTCATCGTGCCACGGTTTTGTACACACTATATGTCCCTACTCTCTCTGCTTCTTCTATGGGTAGGGTATAATGCACCACCACTCATACCATTTCTCTGATTTATGACTTGATAGTGAATTGAGGTGAAATTTGATATTCAAATATATTCGCAATGTACATATGTAGACGGCCGTCACTCCTTTACCATAATATATAGTTAGCACATTCCAAAAACATGTTCCAGTATTTCTGAGATTTGCAGGACCGGTGCCAGCGGTAGCCATGCAACGCTATTACTTCGGGCCGAGTCAGTGGTTCTTCATTTTAGAGCCAATATCCACTTTTGGGGATTACCTTCTGGGTAGAGAGGGTATATATTATATATATTTATATATGTATACAAAAAGTATAAAAAAAGAAGGGCCCGAACCGCGATTTGAACGCGGGACCTCGCACAGGTTCACCCGAAGCACGAATCATACCTAATTATTCATTAGTTGAGATTCGCAGGACAGCATATTAAAGTGGAACGTACCACTAGACCATCCGGGCGGTTGTGTGTTGGATTTGACTCTTTGAGGATATTTGACCTAATTTTGATATAGACAAAAAATAGATCTTATCATAGGTGATCTATACATACATTGTAGGCTTCTAAATCTATTTCTTCTAATTATCTAGGGATAATCCATTTAAAGGTTACCGTAAATTGTATTGCAGTGGCTTGAAAGATAACATATGGGTAGCATATAATATACGATTGATTTGTGCACGGTTATCATAGGAGAGTATATATATCTGCCACTGACCATGGATGTGAGTGAACCAATGATTATGACTAAAAAACACTACCGAAGAACCGAAAAATGTCCACGGGTATTATCAAACCCGCCTGACGTGATCAGAGGGGTTATTCTCGCTAAATTAGGCGGAGTTTTGTGAGGACCCCATGGGCATTGAAGCGCTTGGCTTCATCGCGGGGGGCCTTCACTCCCCCTACTACGTTCACTAAGACATCATAACCTCAGATCGAAAGGAAGCAGAGTCAAGAATGACAGATCCTAAGTCAGTCGCTGTTATTGGGGGTAAGTTTAAATATCCGAGTGTACAGATATTTGAGACGTACTAACAACCATTAAAGCGGGCATATTTGGCCTTTCACTGGCGATTGCCCTGCGGGATCGAAGTAAGCAAGGTATCTCACCGGAAACAGGTCACTAATAGCTTACAATTCACAGATTATGAAGTGACTGTCTTTGATCGAAGTCAATACGATGAAAATGGATACGACCCCACAGCCGACGACGTGCAAGCTGCATCTGCCGATCACAACAAGATTGTGAGTAATCGAAACTGGCACAGATCAAAGTCCATGTTAATCAAGAATATCAGTTCCGCGCGTCATATGGGAAAGAGATTCACTATCAGCGTCTCGCACTGGAAAGCCGAAGAGCGTGGGTTTCGGAGGACGAAAAGCGTGGACCAGCGGAACAAGACGACGACAGAGATGTCGGACTATTTGTTAATAGCGGAATGCTCCGTATACAGCCCTTCGATCACTTGGCTGCCCTAGAGAAAGAGACTCTAGCCAACATGCAGCGTGATGGGCTGCGAGACACGCAGTTCGTCAAGAGTGACCCCGCAGACTGCGAACGGGCCGATAAGCTGGGCTGGAAAGACAAAATTCTCAATTTCCACATCCCTGATTCTGAAAGCACATATGAGGCGGTCCTTGACTCTCTGGCTGGATTTGTGAGGTGCAGTAATGCCTGTGCTCATTACCAAAAAGTGGCCGCCGACAAGGGCGTGAAATTTCACCTCGGGCCACAGGAAGGAGCCGTTGATCACTTGGTTAAAGTGAAAAGCAACCATGAGCCAAACAAAGACAAAGTTACCGGTTTGAAGACCAAGGACGGTGTCGTTCATGATGCGGATGCTGTTGTTGTGGCTGGTAAGTCACGAGAGATCTTCCTATCCCCATCTCCTTTTACTCACCGTTTCGAAGCCGGATCATTTTCGACGCAAATCCTCCCTGAATTGAGCTATCACCTCGAGTCCTCAGCCGGTAGCCTTGGAACTTTTAAGATAGACGAGAGCAATACTGAGCTATGGGACAAATACTCACCGGAACGATTTCCCGTCATGACCTGGAAGAGTACACCACGAGACACTTCCGGAAAGGACACAGGGAGTATTTACGTCCTACCAAGAACCCCGGAAGGCCTCGTCAAGATTGGATACCGTGGAATAAAGGTGAGTACTGGTAGTCATATCCTTCGATATCTACTGACTGTGTTGTTTCCAGTGGACCAATTTCCAACCAGCGCCGCAAGATACTCCGTTCACCCAGGACGGTCAATGGTCAGTGCCTCTTCCAGCGGATGAGTGCTCTCTACTTCCAGAGCCAGCCTTGTATGCTATTAAGCAATTTGTGTCTATCTTCCTACCTGAGTTCGAGAACACGCCCTTTTTCTCCACAAAACTTTGCTGGTACACTGACTCGCTGGATAATTCGTTTGTGGTGAGCATATAGTTTTTCCCTATCCCGAAAACCTTTGCTGATACTATTCTCATTCAGATCGATCATGTCCCAACATACGCAGAGAAATCTGTCTTCGTTTGCACTGGGGGTAGTGGTCATGGTGCAAAGTTCCTACCGGTCCTGGGAAAGGTAGGAAACCCCACTCAACGCATAAGATAATGGCTGACAGATCGCAGCATGCAGCGGATATTTTCGAGAATGGTGATCACAGCACATCCTTCATGCGCTCATTCTGGCGCTGGCGCCCTGATGCACCTAGAAGAAACGGGTTGGAAGAGGGCCCCGGCGGACCACGAGATATTTCGCACAATTAGTCATTCAACATTGGAAATTCATATATACAATTCATGCGATAATTCTATACTGACGTAAAAGATTGGAATAAATAGTTTGGGCTCATACAGGGTACATCATTGACCCTGTGCTCACGGGCTTCAAGATACCTGCTTGTTCCAAATCCTCGATGAGATTAACCAGCATCAAATCACAGCCCCGGGCTGCGCCAAAGCTCATCGTAACAGGCATGAACTCCGTTTTGAGCGAGATCGTAGAGTAATAGGGGACCTCTCCAATAGGAACTACCAGATCAGGGGTACCGGCCAAGACGGCGATCCGACCATCCGAAAAGCCCATCGGAGGCGCAGAAGGTGCACTGCGGATATGAGCTATAGATCATTTTGTCTCTTCAAGGGGGTTTTACTCACTCAAAATAGGCATTCCGATACTTTGTCTGACCCTTGCTGTAAGGGTACATATAGATACCCTCAGAACAAGTCTGTTTGTCTGCCTTTCCATATCCATCTGATTCCCACCAGTCTTTGAAGATCGTTTTGTTTTTCATAGCTTCGCTGTATGCGGTGTCACCACCATTATTCTGGCCCCAGGTCCACCGTGCTAAGGGACCTGGATTCACAAATGGTCGGCGACCATCGTGCTTTGCTGCGTAGTCTGCGTAAAATGGCAAAGAAAGTGAGCGATATTGATCGACAGATACCAACACAGCGTATGTCTGTAGGATATTAGTGTCTGAATATGTATTTCAATCTTGATGGGACTCACTGTACTCAGTAAGTCGGTTATATTCGAGGGTGTCTCTGAAGGGCGGCTTTTCTCCCAATGCGAAGCGACATCAACGAATACCCTCTTTGTACCCAGAAAATCCTCCACTTTCATAAAAAATTCCTCAAGCATTGCACCGGATGTGGTGTTGGAGCTAGGGAAAGAAGAGTTCTGGTAGAACAACCTTTTCGGATACTCTCTATAGCTGGTGAAGTTCGGGTACCATGCATGGATAACTTTTGACCAGGTTGCAGCATTGCGAGCAAAAACACCAGCAGTATCGAGTGCGTGGCAAAGTGGAAGAACATTATCAAGAGATACAGCCCCAGTAGAAGGACGGTTGGCGAAGAGTCCCTGCATTCCGCCTGGGTTGCGCATAGAGCCACCTGTGTCACTTCCTACGGCAATGTCCAGCCAGTCGTAAGATGCAATACCGGCACCAGGTCCGGATGAAGAACCACCGGGACTTTGGTAGCCATCACCCTGAAGCAAGGTTTAGTTGGATCCTATCGAATTCAATGGTTGGACTTACTCGAGGGTTGAAAGGACAGTGGAAGTCGACCCAATCAGCTGTTGGATTGTCTCCATTTGCAAATTGCACAGTGCCCATTTTCCCTACGACAATGGCTCCCGCATCTATGAGTCTCTGGAGTGCGGGGCCCGTGGTGTTTCGCGGAGGATATAAATCGTAAAAGGCCCGATTGCCACCACTAGTCCGTAGTCCCTTCAAATCAAAGATATCTTTCACTCCTAAACGTAGCTGTATGTTGTTATTAAAATCTTGAATTATAGCAGACTACCTTGCTGAACGTACCCCAGCAAGTGGCTTCGTTGATGTTGGCGTGTAGTATAACCTAGATGGCACAGCAATGCTCTTCGTCATCGCACCCTGGAACTGATCAGCAAAGCTCCTCGAAGACAGGTCACAACTTTATTCACCGATGAGGTTGCTGGCAAGGGTTTGAACCCTCCGGCCCCATCACTAAGAGCAGCTTCAGTGAATGCGAGCTGATGATCGGAGTACAGGCGGAAGGCCTGATAGATCTCTCCAGTCTGCGGCGAGTAAAAGTAGGGCCCCTTTGGTACGTCATGAAGCAGTTTGGCGGGTGTGATATGTGCCCCAGCTCGGTATCTGGAAGATGCCATCACAAGTCTATTTCCAAGTCCACTCAGAGCTTTTTGAACAGCAGACTCGACTTGGCCACGACCATCTCCGTCGTAGACAAAGAAAACCGCTATCTTAGAGTCAACAGAAGTTCTTTGGCAGAAGCATTGGTTCCATTAACCACTCACCTTCAAGAAATCCTGCCTGAAAAACATCATCGGTGGCCGAATAGTTTGAAATGGTTTCTTTTACAATGTTCGTGGTGAGCAGAGCTTCATCTGTCCGAATGACCGTCAGGGGAACGATTGTATCGAATCGAGTCGAATTGAAATCCGAGGTAACTACTCTCGAGACCGCATCACCACTATAGTAGTTGATACCATTGACCGTAAACAGTTTGCCGTCATCAACACTGGAAGTGGCAGAGATAGTCGAGGCAGTCAAAAAGAGAAGAAGAGAGGTAGAGACCCTCCAAAGGCAGGAACCAAGACAATTAGGAGCCATGATATGCTTTTCTTGCAGAGATGTCGCGAAAGCAGACAGGAGCTTTATATGCCAGCCTAACTCACAATCGGATACTTTCACGCATATCCGGCTGGGGACCTTCCGAGGGCATTGGAGTCACCGGTCTTATTAGTCCCAAGAACCCCAAATAGATGGATAACGGGCATGGCTTGCATTAATTGGCCGTTCTTTTGTTAATATTTCATGCTAGATAAGACATCTTCTCCAACTTCTCTTGGCAATGGTTTCGGGATTTCTCGGTGGGTCTTAGGGGGAATTTGTTGGAGAACCTCGGGAGATATTGGCGTTTGTTGAAGGCCTACCTTGGCTGCATATAGACATAAGGCTTAATAGCCATCCGAATTGTTTGAATATATAAGTAGCAGTATGCTCAACTTGAATTAAATGACAACGCTGACAACTGTTGGCATGATGGGGAGTTCTGCTCTGATTGGCCCGCTTCACATAAGCCCTAAGTATAAAAGGAGGGGGCGCATTGCTCTAATTTCTTTCTTTCCTCTCTTCCTTGAACCAAAATAGTTGCATATAAAAATTATTCATGATAATGGCATCCACTGCAAACACAGTATATGTCGTGACAGGTGCAAACAGAGGCCTCGGCCTTGGACTGACCAAACGCCTACTAGAACGCCCTGCCACCACCGTCGTGGCCTCGGTGCGCACCCACGACGCCGCCACAAGCCTTAGATCAGACGTTGAAGATGTTTCAGTGGGCGAAAATAGTGACCTCCACATCATCGAACTGGATTTTTCAACTGCGATACCCCCCGAAAAGATTGCACAGACCTTCGCCGCAACAGTCAGTACAGTGATGCACATCGATGTGCTTATCTGCAACGCTGGATTTGTGACGCCCATGACTCCCGCCCTAGTCACTTCGGCGGAAGACCTCCGTAAATCCTTTGAAGTCAACACCATCGCCCCGCTCCTTGTGTTCCAGGCCTTCTGGCCACTTCTGCAGAGATCGGCTTCTGCGCCCAAGGTCGTCGTCATATCTTCCTCCGTCGGTTCGATTGCTGACCAAGAGCCTGTTCCCGGTGGAGCATATGGTCCAAGTAAAGCGGCCTCCAACTGGCTCACCAAGGCTCTTCATGTTGAAAATGAGGCAGATGGATTGGTTGCGTTTGCTCTGCATCCTGGCTGGGTGCAGACGCGCGCGGGCGATTTTGCTGCGAAGGAGTGGGGATATCCCGGTAGCCCGCCGATAACTGTTGAGGATAGTGTCAAGGGAATGCTTGGTGTTATTGACAATGCTACAAGGGAAAATGTGTCGGGAAAGTTCATGTCGCTAACGGGAGATATTTTATCGTGGTAGAGAGGGTATTTGAATAACTATAGGGAAATGACACGGTATACAATATTGGAATTTTCTACTACACTACAACGCTGATTGACATGGTGTGATGATTATGTATGCACCGGTCTGACTTAAGTCGTATGAGGGAACCTGAGCTGAGCAGAAATCCCTGCCCATGCTTAATGGTTAGGTTCGTGTTTTCATCTCATATCTCCGAATAGTTCGGGGGATCCCATTAATGACCTGCATGGCAAGGGTTCATTGGATGGCAACCCAGATAGAATTCTACTCAACAGATCCAACTGGGGGCCTCATCTCTCGCTGGTACTATTTTTACAGTTTTCCCGCCGCAATGATATATGGCATGTCAGGTGTTGATGGGATCTGTGTTCTTCTACTAAAGGGGGAGCTGTATAATTGATATGGAGCCATGAAAATAGACAAAATATATAGAGGCTATGTATCTATGTATGCTTTTTAGGATAGTTTACCCCAAACTAAGGAGGACGGTGATATCATAGTTTGATCCATCTCCCCATCCACTGCTGGTTAAGTTCCTTTGCCTCATCAACCAAACCCAACTCCAACAGTAGCTGAACCGACCCACGAACAGAAGAATGTAGCGAAGAGCTGACCCAGGCTTGAGTTGGTGCAGTATGCTCTCCAATGAAAATCGTGTTATGCTCCGTCTGATGATAGGCCGGAATGTATAATTCATGCTGTGTAACATCCGGTCGACACCAAGCGGTCGCAGTATGTTCGTCCTGGAGCCAGCAAAGACGCTCATAGTCTCCTGTGTAAAGGTCACGCGCTTGTTCACCGTGCAGACTGACAATCGAATCCAGCACCGTCTGGACGTGTTCTTCGTCGGAGAAACTCACAAACCGGTCGCTCCAATCGCCGCCTCGGTAGTGCATGATTAGACCTGGACGGGACTCGTTGAGTCCGTAGACTGGGTAGTAGAGTGCACCGACTGAGTTGCTTGATGGCTTGGAGTAGCCGCCGAAAATTGGTCGGTCGCCCTTTTCCCAGAATCGCTCAGAGAACAGTAGGGCTACTTTGCATGCGGACTTGAAGCGTAAACCTGCTTCGCTGATCGCGCGGTCTAGGATGGAGGAGAATTTCGGTAGATCCATAAAGCGGGTCATGGTGAATGGCGCTGCCATGATTGTGTAGTCGTACTCTTTGGACTCGAAGGTGCGATTCGAGACATTGGGGTACCATGACAGTCGAGTGCGGATGTGACCGTCACTTCCCTTGACTGACTCCAGTTTCCGGATCTTTCGATTGAGAGTAAGCCTGTCACGGACGTGAGGAAGAAAGGCGTCGGACAGGCGGTTGAATCCTCCATCGATACAGAGCCATTTTGTTTCGCCTAGACTATCCTTGCTTCCATCTAGGCCGAGATTGGAGTTATGATGCAGCTCATCCCAGAACACATCGTAGTCGGATGATGTCCAGATCTCGTCGGTGATGTTCTGGCTGGCTTTGAAAACATGTCGCATCATTGCCTGTTCACTCCAGTCATCGAGCCCCTGGTCTATCGCGGTCTTGTGGGCTCTCCAGACATCCGTCTGAAGAGATTTGAGAGTCTTTTCGTCTTTTAGGAGTCTGTTCATCTGTTTCTCAGTTTTGCCGTATTCGGCACTTGTCATTTCTGGGGGATCCTTTAGGCTTGGATCCTCCTCGATCTCAGCGCGCGTTGGGATTCTTCCATCTGGATGGCGGCGAGTGCCTCGAGCATACAACTCATTGGGACTGTGTTGGATCCAGGGGATGAAGTCAATCTTCCATTGCGAGTCATTCTTATTCATGTTGTTCAATATCTTGGCCATTTGGAAAGTCAACTGATGATCAGAATACAGGAGTGTCTCATTATCGTCTCTGTAAATGACGGAGTGTGGAAGTCGCATCGGTCCCATCTCAGCCCATTCTTGAGTGTTTGCAACGTATTTCGTCCGGAATCTGCCACCCACGCGGTCACTGGCTTCGATAATCTCCCAGTTGTGTACACCGACACTGTCCAGCATCAACCCCGTTGCAAGGCCGGATATTCCACCTCCAACAATTGCGATTGAGGTGTTCCTTGGCAAATTTTTTGAAGCAACTCCTCCATTACTCTTCACTTTGGCCTTGATTTTGGCCACTCCATCGAACCATGCTCCCTGCGCATCAAAGTCCTTCAGCAATGGGATATTGGTGTCTGCTGTGGACCTTTTTTTCGACTTCTTCTGCAAGGAGACAGGGCCGCTTTTCCCCAAGACCCTTTGAGCCACATTTGGGCCAGCAGACCCATATATGTAAACACAATGGTGCGTTGGAGCCTCATCTGGAACCACCCAAGCCAGTCGCTGTGGAGGATGATCGTGGATTGAAAACTGTCCAATGATTTGCCCCTTTCTCGATGAATCCTCGCCGCCACAGGGCGCATAGACAGATTTGATCAGACTTGGAGGTTGATCATACCAGTCGAGATGAATATTGGCCAGTTCACCACCTCGAACTGTCTCGGAGGTTGTCACTTTGACCGTTTCTCGTTCGATGATCGCTCCGAGTCCAGTCAAAGCCTGGGCGACCAACGTAGCCACTACAAGAGATGGCTTTCTGAGCATTGTGATTGTGTTTGAGCTCAGTATCTGGCATGACATCTAGCTTTTATGTTCACACACTCATCGGCGTATCCCGCACTTCGATGGTCCTGGGGACCTTCCGCGGTGCCAAGAAAGGCACGAGAAGCGATCGACCATATCCGCTGGAACAATTTGAGCCCATTATGTTTATTTCTCCGAAAAAGTGGGAATATTTCCCGTATCTCACTTCTGAAGAGTACCGCGTGGAAGGGGACCTTGTGGTTGATCAGCAATTTCACAGATTTTGTAAGACAGACCCATGTCAGCGGTTCACGTCAAGCCCAGAGGATGGAATCAGAACAAAAAAGGCCTAATCTGCGGGTTGTTACCTGGGATACATGGATAATAGTATTAACTAGATAGTTACATAGTCAGCTTGATAAAAAGATTATGGCTCGTAGTCACAAGACTCCAATGATTTGCGTACCATGGCAAGAAGTGTGGTAAGAATCGTGTCATTCTTTGAGGAAGTTTGGCCACGCCTTGAACCTGTAAAGGTAAAAGCCAAAAACACAATATGTAAGTAAAGGATCGGTAGATCTATAGCTTTTGCTTCATCCAAACTTGCGTGAAATCCTTTCCAACCAACGGAGCGAGATCTGGATGTCATTCTATGGGGCGGTTGGTGCATGAGAGAACATCTCAAACTTGATGATCAAAGGCTCTTCGGGGCTAGTGTGATGAGAGTGCCGGGTTGTTTCGGTGCGTGCGATGTGGTAACTGACTGCCGCACAACTGGTCCTTCTTACCTCATTGACTAAGAGTAGATAGCATATCTGCCAGCACAGGCATGTTAAACAAGAGAAAGCAACAGGGGAATTTACGTATCTTTATAGATACCTTTATAGCCGTAAACTGTAGAGTATAGTGAAAAAAATCCCTACAACACGACTTTTCTACATATTATTATGTGGGTAGAGATACTTATTGAATAAATTATTGTACTATAATAGCCTTGAAAATCACATAGGTGGGCAATTTTGCTGCTGGAAATCAGAGTCAAGACCAAGTCCCAAATGTTATGCACTGTAATATAGGCGCACTAGCGCTAGAATGAGGACAATGGAAAATGAGATTTGATCATCATTCTCGAATGTGCTTGCATGATATGAGTGGTTTCCAACCTTTGCTAGAACCGGCAAGATTACGAAAGCCTTCCTATTGTGATCTGGACTGTCAGTTGTAGTAATACATCAAAGACAGGAAGACAATGCAGGAGAAACTCATAAATACAATACTCACACCCATACACATGGCCATGCTCATCTTATTAGCCGAGTTGTTGGGCTTGAAATAGAGCTGGTTGTTTCGCTCGCCGATTCGCCGGCCATTCTCGGCGATTTGTCCTTGGGCTCTGGGGGCAACCCTGAACAATTGCTGGTATGGTGCTGCCTTGTACATTTTCTGCAGCTTGCTATAAAGAGTTCAGGGGTTCCCAGCAACCGCAGCTGACAAAAAATGAATAAGCCAAGCCTGCCTTGCTTACGGCGGATTGATAATACCAGCTATGCCGGCTGGCAATGGCCAATCTGACCATAGTAGTACCAAATTGGATTTGCGTTATTGAGAGGAACTAGATTTTTCGGCGGGATATTGATAGGCTTTCTTGTAATGCTGACTGATTCCTGTATCTGGGACAAAGCCACTCGGATCACCGGGGTTACAAAGAAAGACCTGCGACACTGAATGACTCGGGTCGAAATGAACCTCGATCTTCTCTTCCGGGGAGACGCAACGGCGAAACTGTCTTCACCGGTAGTTTTAGTTATCATACCGTTTCCATACTAGGCGTTAATGTGGAGAAACTCAAAGAGGGGAAAAAACAACTTCTTCATTGCGATTGAGGATGTCCGTATTCGATAGTTTGAGTAAGAAGAAATTCCAATGAAACTGTCTTCTTTTCTCTTACCGGATATCCTTGACCTCATATAAACACACAAGTAACCTTGAAACTATGCATAACCCTAATTCCCCATAATCTGCATCGGTTTAATATACCAAAAGCTTAGGCACACCGAAATTGTTTAGACCTTGGCCTCGGGATATCTTGCAGTTCTGACTGTGGATTGACCACTCATATTTTCCCTCATTAACAACACATGGATTGAAGTAGCCTTGATATTTGATGTGACTGACCCGACACTGATCAGGGTCTGACAGACGCAGCAAAGCCATATTTCCTTTGACTTTAGGTAGCTTGGAACACAAAAGCATGAAACGAGATAGTCAGTTTAAGCTACTCCAATAGGCATCTTGTAAGATAACCTTTCAACTCTTTGACAGATATTCCAAAGATCTGTGGCAAATTCAAAAATCACGCTCACAAAGACTTGGCCTGACGTAGCCCAATTGGTATGTCAACCGTGCAACAAAGAGCTGGGAGGTATTTATTGGGATGATTCCCATGATTCCCTTGTTAGACCAGAGTAGGCAACCTCATTTTTTTTCAATGGTTCGGCATATTTTCTCTTGGCTCTGGGCCGTTCCTGCCCTGGCCCAAGTTCAAGTTCAGAGCATTCACCCTCAAGGCCACGATGAGATCACCTATAGCTTCAATATCCCCGATGATACTGCTAAGTCAGGCTCTGGCCCCATATACTTCCAGATGAATTCTACTCGCCAAGTGCAGTGGTTTGCCTTGGGCCAAGGAATGCAAATGGCAGGTGCCAATATGTTTGTCGTGTACACGTCTGGCAACAATGTCACCGTTTCTCCGCGGTCGGGTGTTGGGGAAATCGAACCGTTGTATAACAGGGACGCCCAAATCACAATTTTGAATGGCAGTGGTGTGCACAACGGGGTCATTACTGCCAATGTCCGATGCGATACCTGCCTAAAATGGAATGGGGGAACAGCAAACGTGAACAGCTCCTCAAGTCCATGGATTTGGTCCATCAAATATGGAGAGTCCCTGAATTCGGTCAGTTTGTCTGAGGGTATCAGCCAACATGATGATCACGGTGCCATGACCATCGACCTGAAAAAAGCGACGGGCGGCAACTCAGTTAATCCCTTTGCCCCAATGGCCCGAGCGCCCATCTCCTCCAGTGGAGAAGATCCGGGCCTTGCGGCCTTCCAAAGAGCAGTCAGGAGGAAAAAGACGGCTCATGCTGTGCTCATGATTTTGGCTTTCGTGGTCATGTTCCCTTTCTTCGCACTCGGGCTTCATATTTTCCCATCGAAATGGACGGTGAACATTCACGGAACGTTTCAACTCCTCACCTTGGCCGTGGCAATTGCAGGCTTTGGAGTTGGTATTTCTATGGCACAGCAGATTGAATTGATCGATTCTTATCATACCATCCTGGGGATGATTGTTGTACCATGCCTTGTTCTTTTCCAGCCTACTATGGGCGTGTTGCAGCACCGATTCTTCCGGAAGACAGGCGGGAAAGGACCGTTTGCTTATATGCACCGCTGGTTTGGACGGTTGATGATGATTTTGGGTATCATCAATGTTGGGCTGGGGTTCAAGCTTGCGAAAGCACCGCGTGGGGCGGTCATTTCAACTAGTGTTGTAGCTGGTATTATTGCAACGGTTTATATTGTGATTGTTAGTTGGATTGGAAGGCCAAGGAGACACAATTTGTAAAGGGATGAAGGGATGGAGATGAAGAGGATACCCTGAGTATGGGGTAAGAGATCGGAGGTTGACTTTGGAGATTACCGCAGATCCATTTCTCCTATGACATCATTTCCCCCCCTGGTGTCTTTTTTGTTCTCTTTTTGTTTTTAAGTCAACGTTGACTTGTCAACTTATTACTTATTTGGATATTCTTATTCTAATCCCTTTTCGTTCCTTAAATGACGTCGGCCCATTCTGAGATCAGACCCTCGGTTTTGTCTTTCATTTAAATCACATTGGTTTTGGTTCTTTTGATTTTGGATTTTGCGACAGCTGGCATACTACTACCATCTTTCCCCCGAACAGAACCATTATGCCATTACATACTGCTGCACTAGGTGTGGCATTGACCCCTACTGTCCTTCACACTCTCATCAGTCACGTAAGTCGTTGTGGAATACCCTGGTAGGGTTAGGATTATCTGGCTGATAGCGCATGATCTATATAGTACCTGCATCGCAAATCGCTACATAACAAACCCACCGTTCATGTTACCTACGATGAGGGTATCCAGATCGTTCGTCAGTTCCTATTCTATGCATCTAAACACCCCGTCGAAGACCTACAGGCATTCACCCGCCAATGGGCCCCAAGCCCACATTGGGTGAGAACCGAAACCATCACAATCCCCGACGAGTTTCTGTCCTCTGCCGCGGATGCTGTCATAAAGCAGCTGGGTCCCAAGGGTGTTATACGAGTGGGAGGAGAGAAATGGTGGCAATGGCGGGGGCCGTCCGAAGAGCTGAAGGGGGAGTGGATTGAGATGCGGAACCACTACAATCAAACGGAGGGGGCCGGTGGGCATTGTAACCGTGTGATGCTATATGTCCATGGTGGAGCCTATTTCTTCGGAAGTGTCGACACCCATCGGTACATGATGCAGCGTCATGCGCGCAAACTGAAGGGACGTGTATTTGCGCCGGAGTATCGACTGTCACCGCAGTTCCCTTTCCCATGTGGCCTGCATGACTGCATGGCGGCTTACCTCTGGCTGCTTAAGTCATATGAACCCAAAGAAATTATTCTTGCTGGTGATTCTGCGGGTGGAGGCCTGGCTCTATCGATGCTGGTCATCATGAGAGACCAGGGTATTCCCTTACCAGCAGGCGCCATCTTGATCTCGCCCTGGGTTGATTTAACACACTCTTTCCCGAGTATCGTTGAGGAAAACCCGGGCGATTATATCCCTGCCTATGGCTTCCGCCATAAACCCTCGCCCGCTTGGCCCCCACCCAATGCCGATGATATCCTGGAAATGAAAAAAATATCGCGTCAGCCAATAGTGACTGCCGAGGATGTCAACAAAGCTATTCCCCAACCAAACAGCGCCGCTGAAGAGACCGCCATCCGTGGTTATACTGTCCATGAGAACGGCCCACCCCTAGCCGAACACGCCTACCCTGGCCTCCAGCAAGCCCCGAACCCTGCTAGTTTGCATGCCGAACCCGATAACATTCACATTGTTCTGGATGGGAAGACAGTCGAACTCAAGGACCAAATTCAGTTGTACACGACAAACCAGCTCATGTCCCACCCTCTTGTTTCTCCAGTCCTCCAACCCTCTCTAGGCGGCTTGCCTCCTCTACAAATATTGAGTGGCGGCGGTGAAACCCTTCGTGACGAGCAATTTTACATCGCCCACAAAGCAGCGAACCCAACAGCATATCCACCTAGTGATGCATATCTCGACGAGAATGATCCCACCCGGGAGATTTTGAACAAGTACAAACCAACTTATGTACAACTTCAAGTCTGGGACGACCTATGCCATGTCGCTCCCACTCTGAGCTTTACGCGACCAGCCAAGTACATGTTCCGTTCCATTTCTCAGTTTGGCTCTTGGGCGTTGGCGCGTGCACAAAATGGCGAGGTCGAAATCGAGGATGATAGTGCACTTTCTGCCGTTTCGTCAAATAGCTCAGAAGATGAAGATGTCCCGGGGCCCCAAACCGCATTGAACAGTCCGCCTGACGCACCTGGGCCTTCCTCTGTCGGAAAGGCAGGGGATCCTCTTCCAGCCTTCCATCAATACATGATACGACAGCGAATCGATAAACGAGGACATGTCTTTCCGCTAGATCATCCCTCTTCATACCCAGTGCTAGAGATCCCCCGTGCCCAAGTCGGGGCAATCAACCCCTTACTCATCAGAATGTGGCTGGATGCAAAAAAGGAATGGGATATCAAATTTGCGAAGGAAAAACTTCGGATTCAGAGCCGACGCCTGAAAGAGCTCGCGCATGGCTTTCAAGACTTTGATGGCGAATGTCCTCCCCCGAGCTCTTTGGCCGCCCGGCGAGCTGCTCCTGGTGTACTACCAAAACGACATGCCAAGAAGAACTACGGCATGATGATGTGGAGCGGCTGGGGAAGCAGGCATGACGAACGCAGAATGGAAATGGAGAAGCGGGCCGAGGAATCGGGCAGACGTTCCACCCGTGTCAGCACTGATGCTGGGCAGGCTGGAGCATGGTCTAGCACTCCGGCGACACAACCCCAACCCCAAAATGTCTCAGACAAAGACCTTACCGACACAAAGTCGCAGTCTAACGGCTACACGGCAGTCTGCTCGGACAAAAGAGAACATCTCAGTAACGGTGACTCTTCTACTGGACGTACGTCCACATATCCCGAGACCGTCTCCCGACCCCTCTCGCAGAAAAGCGCTGCCCCAATCCTTATATTGCCCGAGGTGAACAACAACAAATTCACGGACGAGAACGCCAGCACAAGGGCTCTCTTTCATGCAGCAGGCTCTCTCCCAATGAAATCCGATCTTTCCTTATCTCACAGCCGGTACCGGCCATCATCCGCTGCAGGATCAGCCGCTGGCCGTAGCGAGATGCTGTCGGACACTGCCAGCACCGTTGGCGGCGACAAGGACTCCGTTGCCTATATGAACATGGCACCCGATACTGCTAGCACTCGAGCTGTGCTGAGTGCGCGGGGTGTCATTGCCCCAATTATGGCTGGCGAGAATGGCCGTCGTTCTACAGATACTCTATCTGTGTTCTCGGCGGCTGGTCGGGACTCCATGTCGCACCGTCCTGAAGTTATGGACAGTGAGGGGTTCAAAACCGCCGAGTAAGGCCTGTATAATTGCCATTCATGAACACAACATATCCTATTATCTCTTCCAACCTTTTTCTTCGGTTTTTTGGCTCTTTTATTGAAGCTCCACACAGAGACTTCGAATTTCCTTTTGTTATTTTTGTGTTTTGTTGCATTGGATATACCCCATTTTGGCAGTCAACTGCGAGCCCTCTCGCAGTCGACCATCATATGTAGATGGAAGTAGTTCTTGAGAGTGAATACAGACTATACTTCATATGAGAAGAACCCCCCAATGCTGAAGAACATAAACAGCCAGTAGCCAGCCACTGGATGATGCAAGTCTAATATAATAATACATAATGTTTGTAACCCTACGTTTAGGTAAGAAGAATTGACCCTTCAGTGCCAATCAAGACCAATCTTTCGAGCCACCTGCTCAGCGACACCAAGGAAAGCATCCCGCCTTGCGCTGCGCTCAATACTCTCCTCCGCAACAACAGTCGGCATTCCACGATCAGCATCTTCGCACACCCGAGCATCAAGAGGGATATCACCAAGGAAGTCCACTCCGAGCCGCTTGCACTCAGCCACGACACCGTGGTTCTCACCGTGCGCGTGGTGGTGACTATCGCCGTGCGAGAATATGCGAGTCTGAGTCCCGCACTGTGGACACGCGAAATATGCCATGTTGCGCACCATTCCGAGCACTGGAACTTCCATTCGCTGGAACATCCCAATGCCGCGCACGGCGTCGCGGAGGGCAATGTCCTGGGGCGTCGATACGATCACTGCCCCGTCGATGATGACTTCTTGGTTAATTGTAAGTTGAACATCGCCGGTTCCGGGGGGTAGGTCGAGGATTAGGACGTCCAATGGACCCCATGATACTGAGTGGAGGAGCTGGTGCATGGCTTTTGTTACCATTAGTCCGCGCCATGAGATTGGTGTTGTGTCCATAGGTAGTTCGCCTGTTGTGCTATCGGCTTGTGTTTGAGGGAGGAGATAGCCCATTGACATCGATTTGAGGCCATAGTTTGTTAGAGGGACGAGGCAGTTTTCTGGCAATGTTCATAAGCATATTGATTATGGCTGCGATGGCGATGAGCCTAAAAAAAAGGAGACCCACTTTCATCAAGGCGAGGTTCGCCAGAGAGATTTAGGAGGGTAGGGATGGAGGGACCGAAGATATCAGTGTCAAGAATTCCAGTCTTGATACCACGGCGTGCAAATGATAGTGCGAGGTTGACTGGTAAGACCTCATTAGTGATTGTTCGTTCCACTTGGGTTCACAGGTCATGCGCTGTCGCCACCAGTTTGAGGTAATATATAGAAAGGAAGAATTTCAACGCACCTGCTATTGTAGACTTTCCAACTCCTCCTTTTGCTGAAGAGACCGCAACAACTTTCTTGACATCTCGAATCTTGCGCTTTTCGGGAAGCCCTCGGCGTGAACGGAAAGTTGGCGGGGTACCAGAGCGTGGAAGTCCCTATCCATAGTTAGTTAATGCAAGTAAAAAAAAGCAACTCTATCAATGAAAATGGTTCTTGGAATCAATCAGTGAGCCGAGATGCAATCCACCGGAGCTCCAAATGTAGATCAATCACTAACCAAAGGATTGTCATGCTGAAGAGCTCGACAGGTGGAAAAAAGTCTTGTGCCCCTGGAAATGGTGCCAGATTGAGAACCCAACATCCTTACAGGCCAAAAAAGGCAGATGAGAAGGGAAAATGTAAGACCAAATAATATGTGAGCAACAGAAGTAGTTCCAGAGGTTGAAGTGCCACCGAGATACTGCCAATGAGAGAGCCGACCGCCTTTGGCGGTTGAAGCTTCCACGCCGTACACCGCCCATGTGAAGTTATACCGCTCACGGACACTAAACCTAGATAGGAGTAATAATCCGTTATCCGGAAAAACCACAAAAAAAAAGTTGCTCGTCCACCTCTTCTCTTTCCATACCAAACACCATGGGCAAACCACGCGCAGCTCGTTCCCTAGCTGATCAGCTTGCTGATTTTGAAGACCCAACTCCCAAAGGTATGCCTGAATGATTCATCTACAGACTCTTGGGTACCGGGCAGTCAATGCTTACTTCGCGCTTAGATTTCGATCCCGAGGATATCGATAATGGCCAACAATCAAGTGATGATGAAGGCGAAGATAATGAAGAAGTGACTACAGGCAGAGAGCATTATCAAACTGTTGGGTGTGTAAAAACATGTGTATTAGGTATCAACAACTCGCTAATAATCAAACAGGAAAGCAAAGCTCCGCAAAGATGACCCCCTCCCCCTGGGGAAACAATATGATGGTGCCCGTGTCAGCCGGGCAGCGCTAGGCGCTGAAAGTGATGAAGATGACGAGGACTCAGAGCTCTCGTCCGGCTCTGAAGAATTTGCCAGCGACGACGATGCCCTGGCCCAGGAGAGCTCTGATGAGGACACAGAGGGAGGCGAGGATGATGATGATGAGAGCGAAGAGGACGATGAGGATGAGAGTGAGGATGCCGACGAGGTAGTGCACAAACACTCCAAGAAGACTCGTCAAGATGTCCGATATGGCGACACAAGCGCACCATCCGGTGATCGCGACGAGATCCGGAAACTAATGGCGACGGATCAGAAAACTATCGCTGCGACAATCTCCTCGGCAGCCAAGGCCGATGCTACAAAGGGAAAGGCTGTCAAGCAACAACGTACCACTTTTGATGCGCTCCTTAACGCGCGGATGAAGCTCCAGAGTGGATTGACGTCTATCAACGGTATTGCTGCTGTCTTGGGTTCGAAGAACGAAGCAGATGGAAAGGACGCGATGAATGACGAAGAGGAAGTTGTTGACGAGGAGGCAATTAAGTCAGCGGAGTCAGCTGCGCTGGCATTATGGTCGACTCTCGAAGGTTTACGTACTGCCCTGGCCGATGCTACCGCCAAAGACGGCAGCAAAAAGCGCAAGCGACCCTCCCCCGCCTCGCCTACCACCAGCTCCGCCTCTCTTTGGGAACGCATGGCTGAATTGGAGTCTGAGTCCATTTCCCACCGTCGTTCCATTCTCGACAAGTGGTCCTCGAAAGTTCGTGGTACTTCTGCAGCTCTCCCCAATGCCAGAGGCAAACTGCTCGGTTCGACCTCCGGTCGCCAACAGACAATCACAGCTGTTCTCGATGCTCAAGTCGCCACAGAGATCGGAGAACGATCCAACAAGCGTTCGCGCACTGATCAACAAGAACCTCTCTACGATGACGGGGCTTTCTACCAGTCCCTTTTGCGCGATCTCGTTGAGCAACGCATGTCGTCGGCTGACTCCATGACCAGTGGCTTCGACAACCTGCACCAGCTTCCCTCACGCCTGCCCATTCACCCCATCACTGGTATGCGCAACGATAAGGTCAAGCGAGACATTGATACCCGTGCTTCTAAGGGCCGCAAGATGAAGTACAATGTGCATGAAAAGCTTCAGAACTTCATGGCCCCTGATGACCGTGGTTCCTGGTCTACGCGCGCACGAGACGAGTTCTTTGCTTCTCTGCTCGGCAAAACGGCCAGTGGCTTGCTCGGTGAAGGTGATGAGGGTGCCAGTGATGAAGAGGATGATGTTGACCGGGAGGAAGGTGGCTTGAGACTGTTCCGGAACTAGACTTGCATACATCTACACACGCATTGTACAAATAGTGGATACGGCCATAAAATTAAAAGGCGAACCCCTCGGTGCATTATCATACAAAAACCCCTTCCTGCAGTCTTTATAGAGTGTACTGCGGTTTGGACCTTGCTTGCTTGTACAGGCTCAGCCAAGGCACAAGGAAGGAACCCAAGGCTCTGCCAATCCACTTGACAGGACATCATTTCTTCTCATCTTCTCAGGGTGTATACAGCGGCAGTGGTAATTCCTCACTCTCGGTTCCTGTAGTTCCCGACATTCCTGACATCCCCGATGCTCGCTGGTACCATTCAAACTTCGTCGTCCGTGGTAACCCTAACATCTTCTCGCGCACGGCTTGCTGCAGTCGATGTTGTCGCTCTTCCTCTTCCTCTGGTGATAGCAATTGAGGTTTGCCATCTTGGTTTATGATAATGGCGCCGCCGCACACATCATTGTAAGCAGGCGGGGGTGTGCTTGAAGGTGGAATTGGTGTGTTTTTGTGCTCTTTGGTTGCGCTGGGGGAAAATGAATTTTGCATGATGGGTATATAGTGTCTCGATTCGTCGGAATTTGAGAAATCGAAACCGGATTTCAGACTTCCTGGGACCAGCCCGAGGAATAACGAGAGAATTGTGTTCATTTCTTTTGAGGGGAGGAAGATTCGAGGCAAAAGCAAAATGTCCTGTCACGCGCGTCGACTTCTGTAAATGTCCGAGGCCAATGCAGATCCGCTTTCACTAGCGTGAGGTTGAATTTGCGGGGGTGAGACACAGTGAACTTGGGGTAATTTGGAGATTGAGTACTTGTTTTTTTTTTTTTTGAAGCAGTACTTTCGAAGTGCGAAGTGAAGAATAGGAGAAATGATCTAAGTTTCAATGATCAAGAGGTGTCATGGTGACTTAAATGACACTGGAGAAAGGGGGGTGCGACTACGTACGATAGTCCCCCTGAGATTGAGATCTTCCCCTTAACACACCCCTTTGGTATACCCACCTGGGCAGTCTTGGAGCCTTGGGAGGCATTCTCATGAAAATCGGGTATTTTTGTTGAATAGAATAGATTCTCTGTCTTCATCGGCTCAATAATCCTTTTGTTTTCTTTACCTTTACTAGTTCATATTCTCGTCCACCTCTTGCCACTGTGCGCGCAATGTCCGAATGAGCGAGTTCATATTCCAACCAGTCCTTGCATGCATGGATTGTAACACTGATTCCGCAGCCCTTTGGTCGAGGGGATTCCGAAGGACCCATCCCCCTGCCAAGTCAGTTTCAATACTCAAAAAAACCCAACACTTGCAACTCACAGGCGACTAGACTGTGACGTGCAGTAAATAGCGTGTTCTCGGCCTTCGCGTTGGAATGTGCCAATCCGAGGACCGTGAGCAGATGGTGGCGTACATTTTTCTAAATTCATTGTGAGCACCGACAAAAAAGGATGTTGGCGTTCAAACAAACCTCCACTGTTCGAGAATGCCGCAAACTTTCATAGGTGGAAGATGCCCGTGAAGACTCGGAAAGCGCCAAAACAATCTTGGCAATATGGTAATATTGAATTCCAATAACTGCCAAGCATTTGAGAGCCAATGTCAGCTTCAAGTCTGCTAGACACACGTGTTATGGGGATCAGTCACCATGCACGGGTAGCAGCATCCACATGGTAGGGAGTCGTTGATCTGGCCCAGAACCTTGTGGGATTGATCTAACCGGGTCGAAGGTGTGCGGTTTAGCGGAATACCACTCTTCGATCTGGTCTGCCTCATGTGTTATAGTGGAGTCCGTAAAAGCACCCTGGAGAATATTAGCAAGGAGGAAGACCATTTTGCTTGACCATGCAAAGTCGTCATTTCTTTGAAACACATCTGACTGGTAGAAGCTTTGTAAGTTGGTCCGCAGAGGCCGTTGGCTAGTTAGCGAGATATAGATATCCTGCCGCAAACAAAGCCAAGCAGCGGCTTCACCCAGGCCACCTGAAGAACCAAAGGTTGATACCGTATTTAGGATATGAGTTGTACCAGTGAGATGGAATTGATTGTCCTCCCCTAGAAGGTGTGAGCATTTATTTGACGCATGCTGCTTGTCCGCATTCGATGACTGACCATCCATTTCCTCATGCTGACGGAGTATAGCGACTGCAGCTAGTATGTCCTCGGTGATGTGCTCACGAGCCCCAGAGAGCACTGGAATAAGCAGTTCTAAACAGCAATTATGGTACTGCAGTGCCTCTGTTACATCGCTGCTGTCCCGTCGGTCAAGATGGCACGAGGAAAATGCAAAAATTGCATAGCGCAAGACAGGCTCCTTCAATGCCCGAGCTGAAACCTCTGTTTCAAAATGACGTTGAGGGTCAGTGATATCAGCCTGTTCTAATTAGTGATTAGTGGCTGTAGATGGGTATGTCGTCGAGCACAACGCACCCAGAGCGCCATATTTTCAACGAAATTCCTCAACAATATAGCTTCCCGTTCGTTTAGCGGTTGCAACGGCTTAGAGGATTTTGTTGATTGGATTGATCTTGGAGAAGACAAAGAGGGTGACACGGTCTCTGTAATAGAAGCTGGGAATTGGACCAAGGCATTGGCTTCGTCGACTCCATCGGCTGCATATGGTTGCTGTACCAGTAGACCAGTTGGACTATTGGGCTCCTCTCTCAGCCCGACTGCTAACCTGTAACTAGAGTCGTTGATAAAATCCGACTGGCTATCCTGAATAGTCGAGTACAGGCTAGCGATTTCGGGTGTTTCGTCATGGAAGCGCACTAGAACGCACGGTTAAATTTATATAATCGAAAATAATCTGTTCACCTACCTTTGCCACGCAGTTGGGGCCAGCAGCCCCCCGAAAAGGCAAGCTCAGCCTCTTTGGCTAATGAGAGGCCATTGCGAAACCGGATATTGGTCCTGTCACAACCCACACCAGCTTGTTGACAGTGCTCGCAACCCAGGTCATTAATATCGCCTAAATTCTTGTTAGTCTGGCCTATTAGTTTTTTAGGCGGCAATTCTTACATTTTAGGTGTCGGACTGTGCAATTGTCTCGGGTTCAGTAACTTGCCGTGTACGTCGATCCCTACCCCACGGTGACTTACCACGACATCGTTGGCTGCGCTGGTCAATTAGCAGAGATATTCATAATATTCCAAGTTGAATACTGGCTAACCCACCAGCCAGCCACTAGGCGATTCCTTGGAGACATCTTTCCACGGAGATGTGCAAGGAGGAAATTCTTTCCGTCGCCCACGGGGCAGTATGCAAGACCCACATTTATCAGGAAAATGAAATACCTGGAAAGCAAGATATCTTGGCATTACGCACCAAGCAAAACCACATCAGAATAATCGCCTAAGTACATCAATCGTATAAATGGGGAAAAAATGCGGGGAAACCTAACCTAAGCAACCTTCCCCTTTCATTGCATCTAGCAATTCTTTCCGTTCACCTTACACCTTGCAACGGGGACTTTTACCTTGAATTAGGATCAAAAGCAATATACTGATAAAGATGCAGATGGGACAGCTTCTTTCTAAACTATTTAAACCCCCTCGAAGACCCAGGAAAATGAGGGTTCAGAAAGACATCAATTATTCGCAGCTCTCCTGTTCAATCCCTCCAAAACTATGGCAGTTCAGAAATTACAAGTTGGCCTGGCCGGTCTTGGTCGAGTCGGCAAGCTCCATGCTATCAACTTCCTCCAGAAAACACCCCGTGCACAACTTGTTGCGGCATTCACCCCAGACCCTGCTGAGATTACATGGGGAAGAGTGAACTTGGAGCCTCACGGTGTGACTCTGTATACCGACTACGATGAGATGCTCAAGCATCCTGGTCTGCAGGCTGTCGCTATTGGTACGGCTACCTCAGTGCATGCGGAGGAGACAATCAAGGCTATCGAGCAAGACTTGCACGTTCTCTGCGAGAAGCCCTTGTCTACCGATGTCGAAGTGGTATGAATTTCTCCCTGTTTGGAATTATGACGAATGCTGATGAATTTTCCTCTAAAGTGCAGAGCAGTGGTCCAGGCTGCTAAGAAGAAGCCCCATTTGAAGGTGATGTGTGGTTTCTCCAGACGCTTTGACGATTCGTACCGTGATGCCCACGCCAAGATGGAGCAAGGTCTCATCGGACGGCCTGCCATTATCCGCAGCCAGACTTGTGACAAGTTTGACCCCTCGGGTTTCTACGTTGAATATGCAGCCTGGTCCGGCGGTGTGTTTGTTGACATGTCTGTGCACGATATTGATCTCAGTCTGTGGTTCTTTGGGGATGAAGTCCTTCCCAAGAGCATCTCTGCCCACGGTATCACCGCGGTCCAACCAGAGCTGAAGAAATACAACGACTATGATAATGCTGTGGGCATTGTGGAGTTCTGGAATGGCAAGATTGCCTACTATTACTGCTCGCGGATGATGGCTGCAGGTCAGGAGGATACCACTGAGATAATTGGTACTGAGGGCAAGTTGACAGTGAATGGCAACCCCCAGCGGAACTTTGTCAATTTATACCACAACGGTGGCATTACTCGCGAAATTCCTCACAATTTTATGGGTCGATTCAGCCCTGCCTTTGTCCAGGAGGCTAATGACTTCACCGCGGCCTGCTTGGACAACACCCCGCTCCCTATGAAGTTGAGCAATGCTGTCAAGGCCGTTGAGATTGGTTCATACCTTCAGGAGGCACTGGTGTCTGGGAAGCAGATCCATTTCGATGAAATTGGGCGACGAATCGAGAAGGCGCAGTTGTAGATACATATAGAAATGAAAGCAGATGAATTGTATGATGTTCATAGTTCTATAGTTGGATACCAGAATCTTTTCTTCTTCTACCAAGCCTCAGCTTAAGTATTAACGCCATTCAGCCACAGTCTTACGCAAAAAAAATGAGTCTGAAACCAGAGCTAGTTAGCTATTTATACTCCATAGTTAGGTGATACGTAAGTACTGTGGGGGTTTCCCCCCAATCTGACGCAGGAAGATCGGTAAAGGATTTGTTACGATTTACGATTTACGATATATAGGTCCTGCTTCTGACTTCAACAGTACACTTCCCTTGAATGTTGATCAAGGTTATATACTGACATCCACTAAGCTGTGTATATTTCCATCTACAATATATGTGCCCGGCGCGCTTGATCCCACACTTCAACCTCCGACACATACACGGATGGCCTCACAAATATCAACATGCGATTTAAGCTAAGCTCATTGGGACTGGGATCTCTCTACGCTTCAGTGCTCTCTTATTTCTCGGGCCAGAAGTCGAGTTCTGTAACACATCACCCTGTCCTCCCGCCGTCTTACCCGCTAGCAGTGCGCAACCCGTATCTCTCAGCATGGATGCCCAGCGACCGAGTACAGCAGCTACCCTCTGCTGAACCCCAATTCTGGGCTGGCCAGGAGCTCGGCTGGTCCGTGATTGTTCGTGTAGATGGTCGGGCATATAGTCTGATGGGCGTGTCAAACCCGGGCGCAAGCAATATCCGTCCTGCGACGGTGCGTCGTGCTGAGTTTACTGCTACGCATTCAACATTTGATCTCACGGTTGGTGCTGTGGCAGTCACGCTGGATTTCTTGTCGCCTGTGTCGCCATCAAACTATGTTAGGCAATCACTTCCTTTTAGTGGGTTATGCGGAGTATAATAGATGCCATATTCGTTGGATTTACTGATAATAAATAGGTTATTTGACAGTTCACGTATCTGAAGCGCATGGTCATGATATCCAGGTGTATTCGGATATCGATGCCAGGTGGACTGGCCGAGAAAGCCGCTCACAGCGCGACTTTGAAGAACAAGACGGACTAGCCTTTTACTCGCTCACAGTCGAAGATGCACCGCTATATGCCGAGGCAGATGACATGGCTCTTTGGGGTTCAGCAATCCTCGCTTCTCGACCTTCTGTCTTGACTCAATTGTCCGCCCTCTCAGGAAATCCCGAGGACGTACGAGGTCTATTCGTCAAGGACGGTGAGCTATCCGGCGAGGACGATATCTGGGGTGAGGGAAGTGTTGTCGCTTTGGCTCACAACCTTGGCAAAGTCACCGGTGGGCTTTCTGTAAACTTCGTGGTCGGATACGAAAGAGAAGCCGCCATCGACTATCTGGGAGAAGCGTCCACAGGTTTCTATCGCGCAGAGTACCCGACTGCATCGACTGCCCTTTTATTCTTCTTAGATGACTACAGAAGCGCATTGCTAGAGTCCTTAAAGCTGGATCAGGAGCTGGCCACCTTATCGACCGCCACAGCGGGTCCCAAGTACGCAGATATCCTAGCTCTTTCGACCCGACAAGCATACGGAGGCATTGACTTGGCTATTCCCAATGACTCTCTCGACACAGGCGAGGTTTTGGCTTTTATCAAGGAGCTTTCCAGTGATGGAAATATCAACACAATCGATGTGATCATGCCCGCATTCCCAATTTATTACGTCATGGATCCGGACTACATCCGACTGTTGCTGGAGCCCGTGATGAAGTACCTTGCTGCTGGTCGCTGGCATTTGCCATACACCATCCATGACCTTGGTGCCCATTATCCCCATGCCATTGGTCACGATGACCAGGAAGCAGAGCCAATGCCCATCGAGGAGTGTGGAAATCTGCTCATCTTAGCTGCTGCGTATGTTCGAGCCACTGGTGATACCGATTGGACTTCGCAGTACATGGAGGTTTTCCGGAAATATGCAGATTACTTGGTGGACAATAGTGTTGATATTGCCAATCAGTTGTCGTCAAATGATGCAGCTGGGCCCCTCGCCAACGAGACAAATCTGGCAATTAAGGCCGCAGTTGGTCTCAAGGGGTTTGGGGAGATGAGTGGGGATGAGTTCTACTCCCGCATTGGAGAGGAGCATGCAAATATCTTCTTCCAGCAAGGCCTGGGAACAGACAAAGATCAGACACATTTCGTTCTGGAATATCCTGACTGGCCAGGTACCTGGAAGACCCCATACAATCTCTTCCCTGATGTATTGCTAGGCCTGGAAACATTCTCCGACGCTGCCTTTCAAATGGGAAGTAGATTCTTCACATCGGTTCGCGGTGAATATGGGGTCCCTCTCGATAATCGGCAAGACTGGGCCAAATCAGATTGGAATATGTGGCTAGCTGGCACATTTGAGACGAGCACCAGGGACGAGTTCGTCGATGACTTGTGGTCATTTATGACTAACGGAAAACACAATTGGCCTTTCTCTGATCGGTATGTTGCAAATTCTGCGCACGGAAATGAGCCAGGAGTTCCTATCTTATGTCGGGCCCGTCCGACTGTTGGTGGTCATTTTGCGTTGTTGGCACTGAAGGGCCCTCGATCCATCCAATCTTTATCATGTCCGCGTGGAGGAGCGTCAGACCCCGTTGTACAGATGTTGGATAGGCAGCAATATCTCGCTGGGAACCACACCGAAGAACTTTGATACACGGTGTCGCTGGTCAGGCATCTGCGCATAGAGTAGGTTAGCTTCATACCTGATAGTCGAGACACCTTGAGATGGGAATTAAGTTCCATCAATTTGTTGGTTACAGATCATAGGAATACATATATTCCAGATTATTGGACAAGGAGAGTGTCTCACTTCCAATGTCAGACTATAACAAGCTCAGGATGAAGTTGTACTCGGGCCAGTAAAGGGGAGAAAAACACCATAGTTTAGTAACAACCAAGAGGAATACAATGTATTCAAAAGAGTCAAATCAGTCAAATCAGTCAAATCAGTTAGTTTCAACCAATTTAGTGCAAAGGACCCATGCATGAGTATAAAGAGTGTTATTTGTATCGGTGGCCAGGGGCGGCTTACCTAATCGCCATGTCACGCCTGCTGCTTCATCGATGAGAAAGTGAATCTTTTGACATCTTTTTCCCCTCGACACCACCTTCATCCTCTTCCTTCCTTCCTTTCTCTTATTTCTCTCCTCCTTCATCTTGACCACACACTCCATATCCTCCGATCCATATCGATTTAATTGAAAAAACTCCATGGCTTCTGTAGGTTGCTCCCTAACCTTACCTCTCCCCTCGCATTTGCGCACCCCAGCTTCTAACCGCACGAGATGAGTGTCATATGTTGAGATGTTGGGGAGATTAGCTAATATCATCACTTCCTTTTCATTTATAGCCCCGCCCCAACTTCGGTGCTCAAGGCTACCCTATTTCGAATGGTGCGGCTGCGGGCCCTGTCCCCGGTGCCACGCCGCTTCTCCCCAACAATGGCCGTGTGATTCAGAGCGGTCCGACACGAATCCTGTGCATTGCAGACGTGCGAGGTAATTATTTTCTGGCAACATTATCATTGGCAAAGTGACACAGTATTAATTGGACCCGTAAAACAGGCAACTTGAAGTCTCTTAACGAGCTTGCAAAGCAGGCTCGCGCCGACCACATCATTCACACCGGTGACTTTGGTTTCTACGATGACACTTCCCTTGAGCGGATTGCGGACAAGTGAGTGTTCTTCCCAAGCTTTTCGGCGCGTGTTTGCTGCCCAACACATTCGCCTCACCAGGCATCGAAATATACCGGACAGCATCAGCTAATCCTGGATCTACGAATAGGACATTGAAGCATGTGGCACAATATTCCCCCCTCCTTCCTGAGAACGTGAAACGGTCCATCGCACAGGTATCTCCCCAGCAATCAATTAAGCAGCGCTTCCCTCCCGAGCAACTGCCCCTCTCCGAGCTCTCCATGCTTCTCGACAAACGCATCACCCTTGACGTCCCGGTTTACACAGTTTGGGGTGCCTGTGAAGATGTGCGCGTGTTGGAGAAGTTCCGCTCGGGTGAGTACAAGGTAGATAAACTTCACATTATCGACGAGGCCAACTCGCGCCTTCTCGATATCGGCGGTGTGAAGCTCCGTCTGCTGGGTCTAGGAGGTGCCGTCGTGATGCATAAGCTTTTCGACAATGGTGAAGGAAAGACGACTATTGCCGGCGGCCAAGGTACTATGTGGACAACACTTTTGCAGATGGGTGAACTCATTGACACCGCCAATCGTGTCTACGACCCCTCCGAAACTCGTGTCTTTGTAACCCACGCTTCCCCTGCCCGTGAGGGCATGCTGAACCAGTTGTCTGTTACGCTCAAGGCCGATTTCTCTATCTCAGCTGGTCTTCATTTCCGCTACGGTTCCTCCTACAATGAGTTCTCCGTGAACCCGTCCTTGGACCACTATCGCGGCAAGCTTGCTGCCTCCAAGGCATCATTCAACGATGTCTGGGAGACGGTTAAAACCGAGGTTGAAGCAGCTATTTCATCTAATGATGGGCAGAAGACTCTCCTAGAGAATGCCCTGGATGTTGTTCACAAGATGCCTTCCATCGCCAATGGCGGTAATCCATTTGGTGGCCCCGTTGCCGCTGGTAATGCTGCTGGACAGGTCGATGAGAGTGCATTCAAGAATATGTGGAACTTCAACTTGGCGGATGCCGCATTCGGATATCTCGTACTGGAGGTTGAAGGTGGACGCATCGCGACGGAGATGCGGGCTCAAGGGTTCAACTTTGCCCACCGCACTGGCAAGCCCCAGGCAGGTGGTGCTCCTCAACCTGTATCCAGCGGTCTCCCAGCGACCACTGCCTCGCCCGCTCCGACAGGCGCTGCCCGGGCCCCCGTCGTGGCTCCCCAGTTCGGCCAAGCCCCCCCTGCGCGTGCACCCATTCCTCAGGGCCAAAAGGGGCCGAGAGCCTCTCCTGTTCCCGTGATTCCCAAGTCCATCAGCCCGCAGCCACCTGCTGCCGCCTCTGCTCAGCCCGCCGGGGAGGAGACCGCAGCTGCCGACACTAACGGTACCGCCCCGCACGAAAAGCCAAGTGAATCACCTGCACCACGGGCCGAAAAGAAGCCCACCAATGCTCTTTTCGTAACAAGCGCCGAAAGCGAGCAGGCTGTCCGTGACCTCATCTCTGAGGAGGACAGATCGAAGATCACCAAGATCGAAAAGCTCGGCAAGTACAACCACGTTGTGACCTTCTCAGGCGCCGAAGAGGCTAAGGCGGCTTTGGACCACCTGCCTATTGAGCTGAAGAAGCCCGGCCCCACTCCCCATGGTCAGCAACGTAAGCCCAACTTCAAGTTCTTCGAGGACCGCAGCACCCGTGCTGCTGTCGGCAATGCCGGAACCTGGCAGTCCAGCACCCGGGGTGGGATTAATACCGCCCAGCGTGGGTACCAAAGCGCCAGTGACAGCGATGGCAGTCGACGTGGTGGATTCGGTGGCCGTGGCCGCGGCGGCCGTGGCAGTGGCGAGCGAGGCCGTGGTGGTCGTGGCGGAGGTCGGGGCGGCTTCAAGAGTGGCCCCAATGACTCTCCTGCTCCCTCAGGTGACAAGCCTGTTGCATCCGGTGACGCCTGATTGGTGACATGGAAAACCCTCTGTCTCATATTTTTCCCCTGGCCATCCTCGATCTTACACCTCTTTGATACTCTAATTCTCTTGTGTCTTTTTTTTTTATCTCGTCCCATTTGCAAATTTTCTTTTTGCCTTTTTGACTCTGATAGCGCTCAATATTTATGTTCTTTGTTCTCAAGTCTGGTCAGAGGCACAGAGCATGAACGCGAATTGCAGCGTTGATCTAGACTCCGAAGTAAGTCCTTCAGTGAGCTCCAGTCAGTGTTGTGGTTTTTTTTTTTTTTTTTTTTTTTGTTTACAGATGGAGGAGTGGATGCAGAAAACATCAGGGAAAAAAAGGAAAAAAACAGAATACACCATTTCACCTCTTTTCTCTTTGTACTTTAGTTTTATGTTCGTGGACCACATCGATACCCTTACAGCTCTGCTTCTTTTAAAGTCTGTAGATCTACGAGATTACTACTTCGTACTCTTTCTCTCGCGTATAACGCTTCTGGACTGGTAGAAATGAGTCGATGGAACGGAGTAGAGAACCATTCAAGAACAGATTGTGTACAAAAAGAAAAGTACATTGAAAATCGCAAAGCATAGCCATCCCAGCTGCAAAGGAAAGTAGTATACCAAGTTCGCCATAGTCCCTTTCCGTACAATAGGCATTGGAAGTGCCATCCCGTTTTTGTTTAAATCTCATGGCCAGTGTGAGACGGTGGTCCCCCGTTCAACAAGCTTAACGATGTCGATTAAAACAAACATGAAACAATCAAACGGCAATTACAGTTGCAAAAAACAAAAAAAAAGGAGGATAAATAGGCAAATGTGGACGAGGAAGAAAAAGAAAAGGATTGTGTTGTCTCCTTAAGATGGGACACTGATAGATTGCCCAACTATGGGCATTGATAAAAAGATTTGTGTCCAAAATCCAATATCCGTTGAATTGGATGTTATTTCTCCCCTCCCATCCATGAGTTTTCCTCTTTTATCCTGTGTTGTATTCATGACGCCGAGCAGGATTCCTCCCATAAATGACAATCGATGATGGGTATGCGTAGAAAATCAAAAGAACGCGAGTATCAGTGAGTTGGTGTTGGTCCGTGAATCGTGAATTAAGCCCAAGTATGAGTTATGCTAAGGGCGGCGGTGATGATGGTGAGCCTTCTGAAAGCAAGCCGCTACTTGGCTCGTCCCATGATGTCGTCAACGTCATTCTGGTTCACGACTACACCACCCTCTGAGCATCGCGCCTTAGTGCGAAGCTCGGAGCAGAGATTGTCAACATCGATCTCGCCGTTGCGGAATCTTTCCATGGATTGAAGACGATCCCTAAAGAAAAAAAATCAAGTCAGTAAGCTGGAGCAAAATGAATTAATGAATATGGATATGAGCATGAACATACCAGATCTTCGTGCACGACAGCATCTGCGACTGGTCTTCGCCTGGAACGACTTCATCTTCCTCGAGCCTGCTATCAATTTGGGCAAGGAGGCTCTTCTTGGGTTGGGTCGCGTCAGTGACGACCTCGGACAGGTTGTGGGAAGGACTACCCAGGTCCGGCAGAGGGAATGCTTCATTGAAGAAAGAGCCGAAATCCTGAGACAGCACAGCATCTTGGGGCTCCCGCCAATCACCAAAGAGCACCGGGTCGAACTGGCCGCCATTCTGATGGGCCAACCAATCGATCCCAAGATCCGGAGGATCTTCGCCCTCGGCTGGGCCATCAGTTGGGGTGGGGTGGCTACTCGAAACACTCTGGGATTTGGATCTGCTGTTATCCCGGACCGCTGGGATGGGATTTCTGATGTTCCCGCAAGCCATACCAAGCTGTGCACAGAAGGATTTCTCGCCATCGGTGGTGATATGCCCGCCGCACGAATCACCTGGTCCCAGCTCGCGGTACTGCCCATCTGTGGGAGAGTTCAGACTTGGTTCTGGGGAAGTTCCGTTCGAGGACAGCATCTGGCTCTGGTGCGAGTCGGACGAAGACGACGGAGAATTCTCCGAAGTAGAAGTATCATTTGCGGAAGACTTGAAGCCAGAGTAGGGTGCTTTGGCGGAAGTAGCGCTGTGAATAGTTCCATGAGACTTCGATTTATTCGACAGGGCAAGAGAGTTCGATCGAGACGAAGGACTGTTCAGACTCTCACGGCCCAAGACACCAGGTGCCTGAGGGGTGTTGACATTGGATTTGGATTGGTCGTTCTTGTTGGCTTGTCCATTGAAGAGATGACCACCAGGCAAATCGCCAAACTTGGGGAAGTCGAAGAGAAACTCATTGTTCTGGAGGCCATAGGCTCCCTTAGAATGGGCACTCGGAATGGAATTCGAGCTCATAGCCGACATGGCATTTCCTGATCCCGAGGCCATCCAGGAAAGGCGCTTTCGGTACTCACGGAGCTCGACCTGCAACCGCTCGACCTGGGCACGCAGCAAGCCATTCTCCTGGTTTGTCATGTCCGATGTCTTCTGCAGCTTCTCCACCGAATCCTCCAGATCCTTCAAGTGCTTCTCCTTGCGTTCGCGGAAGGCTCGCTGGGCAGCTCGGTTTTGGGCCTTGCGCTTCTGCTCAATCACGTCAGTTCACGACTCTAGTCCCAGCAACTTCCGCGTGCAGCAAGAGTGGCATACCGTAGTAGGCTCTGAAGTCAGTGGCTTCCTACCAGGCTTCTTGGCCTCACTTTCTCTACGTTTCTTTCCAGTCTCTTCCCCTTCAATGTCCGACTTCCCGTCGAGGGACTTTCGCTTCTCGCCGATATCGTAGTCGGCCGATCCCGGTAGGTCCCCGATCAAATCAGCGGAACCGGGGAAATCGAAGTCAACGTCCGGGGTGAAATCCAAGAAAGGGCTTTCGTCATCCCCAAACCCGAAATTGTTGGCATGGGGATTGTCAAACCCGCCCGAGGGAGGGGCGCTGATACCGTTTGAGGAAGTTTCGTCGGGGCTCTGAGAGGACTTGAGCGGGGGAGAGCCACTTTGGGGCTTTTGACTGGGGTTATTGGACGATAGAGCGGCAAGCAGGAGATCTTGCTGGTTTGGGGAAAGGTAAAGACCTTGCTGGAATCGTTCGTAATCACCCATTGTGACGGTTTACTTTCAATGGATAGAGGGGCTGACAAGAAACCAAAAAATGGCGATGAGATGGAAATTGAATGGATTTCAATACAGAGTCCAGCCGGGCCTCCCGCCCGTAACAAATATTGATGGATGCCGTGAAACGACGAGGGTTGGAGGATGATTCGATCCTCACAATATAGCCTCACAGCTTAACCGGATTTGTGAGTGAACAATCTCAACAATCCGACTGTATGTTGGATCTTTATCAGTCACAAGTAAAAATCGATCGAAAATTGCGAATATGGGGATGAGGTGATATGGGGGGGGGGGGGGGGCGATATTTGGATATGGAGGGGGAAAGAAGAAGAAGAGTTTCTAGCGGCTCTCTCGAGAGGGGCCTGAGGACAGATTCCCCGCTAGTCAAATTGCGGTCGAAGTGTGGCTCAAAATACGAGGCTGATATGGAAAGATATGAAACAAATGAAATTCGAATATGAAAGTTGCAGAATCTAAGAGAACAGATGAAAGAGAGAGTATGACTGGAGGACTGGAGGACTAGAGGACCGGAGGACTGGAGAGAGGGGGGAGGAAGGGCGATCATGGATGGGCGGTGAATAGTTCCAAGGATATGATTGGTTATTGAAGTCTCTGCTTTGAAATCAATTTTCTCTTCTTTTTTTTCTTCTCCACTTCGAGTAGCTTCTGTCAAGCCCTAAACGGGTTGAATACCAGTACTATGTACTTCGTACTGTTCCCGGAATTCCGATTGTATTTTTATCTGATCATCGTATTTGACTCATATCTTGACTTGGCGATATATCTGCAATCTACTATGTTGTACAATGTCTCCGGGTCTGGCCCCACGGGTCTCCCAATCTCCGGTCCGAGATTGAGTATCCCGAGGTCAGACCATTTAATGACGTTGCCACTTGCCACTTTTCCTATACCAGAGGAAAACAGGGTATGTATTGGACATGGTTTATGTTGTATACAATCTATTACATACTGTACGGAGTACTCCATAGCTCTAAAGCGATGTAGACTTTAACATGCATATCCCCGTCGATCTGCAGAAAGTGGATTCTCTATGATGTATCCAATACTATAAGATAATGACCTATGTACATAGCATCACAACAAGCCTGTCTACTAATATAAGGTAGAATAGCTTAATTTGCCCCATGATCCCTAATTCAAAGTCTCGGCCCATACAAGACTTGGTACATACATAGCTACGTACATAATCCATGTAGGTACATAGTGGCGTAAAACCATATGTTAAGGCGGAGAAAAAGGCGGAAACAGAATGCACGTGATCAGGGACGAATTTGCCGTGAGATAGAACAATAATTATTGTTTCTCCGCACTCACTTCTTACCGATACGCGTCAGATAGATTCAGTTTCTAATATCACGATCTCGCACGAATCAGAATCAATCAAAATTTCATCATGGCTGATATCTCTTCTTTGGAGACAGATCTGACGGAATGCAGATCCCAGGTTAGTTACCGCGAAAACGGTCACCACGCGCGTTGACCCGTCACTAACTTCAAAAAATCAATAGATGGAAACTGTCGCGTTAGGCTTGGAGGTAGACCCTGATAACGTGGAACTGAACAGCCTCAAAACTGAGCTCGAAGAATACATCACCGTTCTCCAGACTCAGATCGCCGAACTCAAGCCCATTGCGCCCGTCAAATCGGCTCCAAAGGGTGGCCCATCCAAGGATAATGGTTCCTCAAAGCCTATTGAGCACTCCGAGGAGGCACCTGCTGTAACTACTACTCCCGTATCATTCTCTGTGAATGACACTGTTCTTGCGCGTTGGGTCTCCGGCGATCGTGGTTTCTACCCGGCCAAAATTAACTCCATCACTGGCTCATCGACCAACCCAGTCTACCTTGTCACATTCAAGTCATATGCAACTGTGGAAAATTTGACCGCCAAGGATATCCGACCCATCTCTGGCACTGACTCGCGAAAGCGCAAGGCTGATGGAACCCCAGGCAGTTCGGCATCGCCCTCTCCCGCTCTCCCTCACCCCGGTGTGATCTCCGCCGCGGCAGATATCAACCCCGCACTAGCTACCCAGGCTCGCAACGAACCAAACAAGGCCGGTGATGGACTGGTTCGTCCTGCTAAAATGCCCCGCAAGGTCAAAGCGAACAAGGAGCTCGAAGAAGGCAAGAATAAGTGGAAAGATTTCGCTGCGAAGACCAAGGGCAAGGGCAAGGGCGCGTTCGGCAAAAAGGAGAGCATGTTCCGCACAGGTGAAGGTGTCAATGCACGAGGTATGGGTTTCCTATTCAATTGGGGTTCCCCCCCTCAACTCTGGTGGATGCTAATTTGTCTCATCTCTTAGTGGGATTTACAGGCTCTGGACAAACCATGCGCAAGGATCCGACCCGGACCCGCCACGTTTACCAACAGGTGGAAGAGGACAACTATTAAGTTGCATGTTTATGTTGCCAGGCCCGCATTGTGATGATACCCCCTGGGCGAATGGTTTTACCAATTTTTTTTTTTTTTTTTTTTCGCATGTGACACCTCATGATATCTCTCTGGGTTCTTCTCATATTTGTTCTCATCGCTAACTGAATCACCGGCGATGCAGATGCAGTCATATCTGTCTCTTCTGTTTTGAGACTCGGAGTTCCTGTTCATAGAATGCGGTTCAGCTCGGAGTCGGTCATTTCTATGTTTGTATTATTCCTTTTTTGAATGAAATCATGAATATTACAAAAGGGGCATGTCTTGGGGCTTAGGCTTACAACGTAGACTCAAAATCTCCCTGTATCCATTTCTTGGGGTCTCTTTGAGCGATGATAAAAATATATATATATTGAAAATCACTTGGAAATATATTTTGAGCAATCTGAGTTTAGTTCTAGATGCCAAGAAGAGGAAAGTAAGTTCTACAATGTGATTTGAGCCACGATATAGCCAAATCATCGTGCCTGACGTTAGCGCCAACTGGGTACTTTCATGGGTTGGTTGCGTGACCGTGGTGACCGTGCGGGGGGCACCAAAATGTACCGGGGGTCTCCGCCTTCACGTCACCCAACTCTGAAAGCTTGCTTTGCTCTCTTGCTTTTTCTCTTACTCTATCGCTTCTTCTATCATAGCCGCTATCAAGCTTGGAATATTGATCTTAATTTTATCTTTGTATTGGATCCCATCGTCAAATTATCCTTCGAATTCGCATTCCCTCCTTGCACCAGCTCCTGAGCCCAGCCTGCAATCTTCCCCACACGGACCGACCAGTGCATGGCCAATCTCCAGTATTGAAAGTGTCGCCCTCGGCATCTTAATTGAAGACTGGTATAAAGGGTCCTTTCTCTCACCATACTCACCCTCTCCACAACATGCGGTTACCTAGGGCTATCGCTACGATCGTTGGGCTGGGCTCTTTTGCGCCCATGCTTGTCGGTGCACAGGGCGAAACCAAAATCCACGAAAAAGGCCGTTGTGCTATCCGAGGTCATTGTGGAAAGCAGTCTATTTTCGGGGGAGAACTACCTTGTCCCGATAATGACCTGGCGCAACAACCAGAAGACGCAGTACGCCAGAAGTTGGTAAATCTGTGTGGCAGCAAGTGGAGTGAAGGCCCGGTCTGTTGTCGAGATGAACAGGTAAGCAATCTGAACCTCTCAAGGTTTCCATGCCTGTATTTATTATTCCATCATGCTGATGAACCATAGATCGATGCACTTTCAAGTAACCTCAAACTAGCAGAGGGAATCATCGCATCCTGCCCAGCCTGCCGAGACAACTTCTTCAACATATTCTGTACCTTTACATGCTCTCCTGACCAGTCGCTTTTCGTCAATGTCACCAAAACAGAAGAAAACAGCTCTGGCAAAAGACTTGTGACCGAGTTGGACAATATTTGGTCCAAGGAGTACCAAAGCGGCTTCTTTGACAGCTGCAAGAATGTAAAGAACGGTGCTTCGGGCGGAAAAGCCATCGACTTCATTGGTGGTGGTGCGAAAGACGATACCCATTTCATGAAATTCTTAGGTGATAAAAAGTTTCTGGGCAGCCCGTTCCAGATTAACTACCACACAGAGCCCAATGGGTCTGACCCGCAAGGAATGAAGGCTTTGTCAATAAAGCCAAAGGCCTGCAATGACGAGGACAAATCATTCCGGTGCTCTTGTGTCGATTGCCCGGATGTGTGTCCGGAGTTGCCCGCCATCTCTCACCACAAGATGTGTCACGTAGGACTACTACCGTGTCTCTCTTTTGCCGTCATTCTCGTTTATTCCATCTTTCTATTGTTTGTTATCGCTCTAGCAAGCTATGTCACATACAAGGAGCGCCGGTTCCGCAAACCAGAGCGGGTGCGCTTGCTGCAAGATCCCACGCCCAGCGACGACGAAGATGAAGGGGAAATCATGCACCGTGGAGGATATATAGAACGGTCACAGGGAGTGTACAAGCTCAACTCTATGCTGTCAGCCTTGTTCCACCGAATTGGTGGTGCTTGTGCGCGGTTCCCAGGAATAACAATATTCGCCAGCGTCATCGGAGTTGCGCTGATGAGCCTAGGGTGGCTGAGCTTTACTGTTGAAACGGACCCGGTGCGACTCTGGGTGAGTCCGTCATCTGCGGCCGCCCAGGAGAAGGATTTTTTTGATCAGAGCTTTGGTCCATTCTACCGAGCTGAGCAGGCATTTTTGGTGAATAACCGCCCAGGGAACGACTCACGTCCGCTCTTGGACTACGAAACCCTCACCTGGTGGTTTGACGTCGAGTCTCGCGTGCGACGCGTGATCTCTTTGGACCAGGCTCTCAACTTCGATGACGTTTGTTTCAAACCGACCGGAGAAGCCTGTGTCGTGCAATCGGTCACTGGGTATTTCGGCGGTTCTGTCTCAAACCTTGACCCAGATACATGGAAGGACAGACTTAGCCACTGCACAGAGTCACCCGGAGACCCTAGCTGTCTCCCCGATTTCTCGCAGCCCCTCAAGCCCGAAATGATTCTTGGTGGATATGAAGACACAGGGAATGTTCTGGA